GGGACGTTCTAGTCTCAGCCCATTCTCTCATATCCTCAACGTCCTCCTTGGTCTTTTCTTTTCCGGTTGATTCCTGGGGGTGCCATGCACAGGAATCCATCTTTCAAGCATAGCCCCCCCCCCCCCAGAGATCTGCAGAGAGATGTTATTACACCTCTGTGCATTCAGGAATAGCAAAAAAAAAAAAAATTGGAAACAACACGTCTGTCAACCGGGGAGTCATCAAATTGAGGAGAACATCGACATTCTGGAATACTGCGTAGCTGATTTTTTAATAATGGGGGTAGATCAAGATGTAGTGATGTGGATTAGATTGTTTAAAAATTCTTTTTAAAAAAGCAAGCCACAGAAATATATATACAGGATACGGTTTTACTTGTGTTTTTTGTTTTATAAATCTGTAAACGTGGAAATGGAAGGATACATCGAACTGTTAACATGTTAGTTCTAGGATCCCCACCCCAGAAGGGATCCCAAGGGGTGGGGGGTGAGGGTAAAAGACGTTTGTTACTCTGCTTTTGTATGATTTGAATCGTACAAAGACACTGTATTATTTGCATAATTTCAAAGATTTTTTTCTTTAATGTTATGGGAAAAGAGGAAGCAGAGAGCTCCCCTAACTACCTTATTCTCTAGAAGCAGTGGTCAGATCTGGAGTGGAACCTGCAGGAAAGCACCTGCTATTCTCACAACCTGCACCCCCTACTGGGGCTTCAGGATGTCTGAGCCCCAGGAGGCTGCAGAAGCTGAAGTAGGAATCGCAGGGCAAAGGCTTAGGGGCAGAATCTCTAGCCTGGGTGGGGTGGGGTTGTCACTCAAATGGCTCAATCTCCTGCAGCTCAGGGTCTTGGAAGGAGGTTCCTTCCAAGCTCTATGCATCAGGTGTGTCTGCCCTGACTGGCCAGGGCCAGTGAGAGGAGCTGCCATGCCACCCAGCCCCCATCGGAGGGTAGGAGCTAGTGTGAGGCCTCAGGCACTTTGGAGAAGGGCTCCTGACCTGCTGCATGGGCTCCCTGCAGGCCCCGGATGGAGCAAGTCATTTGGGCTTCCCAAACCACAGGACTCCCAACTCCAGAGGGGCTCAGCCTGTGTGCACAGCCCCAAGAGACCAGACATTGGGAAGCACCCACACAATTGCCAGAGAAGCAGCAAGAAGGCCACTTGTCACAGTGGGGCCACCTCCCACTGCACACTGCAGACTTTCCCATGTGTCATGGAGGAACCCTGATTCCATCAAGGTGTTATCATTTCAGATCAGGTTCCGACATCAAATAATTGCAGGAAATCCTGTGTTGAGCTAATGCAACCGGGCTTCTTTACTTCAGGACTTCTTGGGACCTTTAGCATGCTTGGGTACATGGTGTCTCTCTGTGGAGTGGCAGCTGCAGCTTTACCAAAAATACATTGACTCAGGAGCTCTTTGCTTCCCCAGCATCTCCAGGGGATAGGGAGCTGCAAAACAATGAGCTAGTGGAGGCGGGACTCAGGCACAGAGGGGGAGGACTGTCACAGGCACAGTCTGAGGAAACTTAAGATGAGAATGAGTAGAAAAAGGTGTGAGAAAAGTCGAGGCCAGCTCACCTGGGAAACGGAAACACGGAGCAGTCCTGCGCATAGGACCTGTGGGGGCTGGGGAGTCCCAGCTGCCAGAGCAGGTGTATGGAGCTAAGGTTCATCTCTTTTCTGAGAGCTGGACTCGGGGGGCACATACCTGAGGACACACACCTGCACGCACGAGCTCACAGGCATGTACTCAGCAGAACGCACACAAGCACAACCGTAAGAGCACCCACGCAGCTCCTCCAGGAACCCTCGGGTGCAAGCCGCTCACCCCACAGAAACAGAAGAGCGCATCCATGCACGCACCCACATCCAACCCACACTAGCCACGTGCCCAGGCTGACTTGCCCCCCAGGACTCAAAACACATTGACACACACTGAGGCACACACGTCTGCACACACAAGCATAAGCAGGCACACACACACAGCACGCCCAGGAAAACACACACACACACACACACACACAGCTTCCATCAGGTGACTGCAGATGCAGGCGCACTGGAGTACGCGCTGTCCTCACACGCACAGTGTGTCCAAGGCCATAACAGTCTCCCCGCCCAGGGGCCTGGGGTGGGCGTGCAATGGTGAAGTGGCATGCAGAGGAGAGCTGAAGGACTCCTAAGGCATGGAGTGGTTCACAGAAGGCATATGTCCTTCGAGTATTTTTATCTTTAGCACTCCTATGTCTAGCAGAGTCTGGGTGGCTCTGTGTTGCTACCAGGAAGGAGGACAAGCAGTTGGATTTGAAAGCAGATGGCCTCCAAGTGCCAAGGACTCCCCCTACCCCACGAACCCCACAGCATTCCCTCCTCCAACATATCAGGTCCCGAGGCTTGCCCAGGCCACCCATTTCCCACCATTCCAGCAAAACAGCTGCAGGGCGGGGGTGGGGGGTGGGGGGTGGTGGAGCCTAGTGGTAGAGTGCTTGGCAGGCCTGCCCAGGACCCCGGGGTCCACCCCCAGCTCTGCAAAACAAACAACACAACCAAGACAGATTAATCAGCCCCAACTCGGGACTTTGGAGAGAGGGTCTGTTACCCGCCTCTCAGGAACTCAGCTCTCCAGAGCCCCTTGGGCCAGGATCCCCTGGGCTGTGGCCAACTGTGTGGGAGGTCTCTCCCTTGCTGCCCCAGATGCTTGCACACCCCGTGTTTTCCCCTATGCCTGGGCTGACAGAAGGTCTGGGCATGTGTGCTGGCCCTCTGGCTGGTCGAGGACAAGCTGGTGGATTTCGAAATCTATTTAATCCTTGGTTTCTAACGCAGCCGGTTCACCACCAGGCAGGATCTAGTGCCCACAGATCTGATGTCAGAGGGCAGGAGTACCCTGGCCCTGGTGTCACTCCAACCCTCCTGCCCATGTGGCAGTGTGGCAGAGCCAGCAGAGAGCCCCCACCATCTTTGCCTCTGTAATCACAACCAGTTGCTGGGCCTGCGAACACCAGCATGGTCTAGAAAATGATGTTGTAAAAGAATAACAAGGGAAAATAATTAGGAGCTATTAGGTGAAGAGAACAGATAAGCAGAACACCGTATGTGTGTTTGTTTTAAAACAATAATAAATGTATTTAAGCAGAGGCGAAACTGGAAAAACTAACAATGGCTATCTTTGGAAATTTATCATTCAACAAATATATTTTTGGAGCACCTGCTACCTATTCGTCAGACTATTCTAAGTGCTGGAGATATAGCAGTCCAAGAAACAAAAAGCTTTCGGGAAGCTTGAGTTCTAGCTAACCTCTGCCATGGAGCTGCTCCCTTGGTCCCAGGAGCTTATATTCCAGGGAGTTAACATGTAAGAAAATACACAAATTCAATATATAGTATGTTAAGTGGTGATACAACGAGAAAAAGCAGGGCACAGGGGATATTGTTGGTTGAGGGAGATGTCATTTATTTATGTTTTGGTGCTGACGATTGAACTCAGGGGTGCTTGGCCACTGAACTACATGGTCAGCCTTTTTTAATTTTTTATTTTTATTGTGAGACAGGGTTCTCACTAACTTGCCAAGGCTGTCCTCAAATTTGTAATCCTCCTGCCCCAGCCTCCCAGGTTGCTGGGATTACTGGTATGCACCACTGCATACCAGTAATTTTTTTTAAAGTAAAATGTATTTTTAGGGCAGTTTTAGTTTTGCAGGAAAGTTAAGAACACTGTACCTTGACTTCCCCCCAACCCCTCCTCCTGCACCCAGTTTTCCTATTATTGCCCTCTGACCTTAGTGGTGTACATTTGTTGTGGTGACCCAAACAACATGGACCCATTCTTATTAACGGACATCTAGTCCTTTTAGACTTTCTGGGTCCAGCTAACTCCCTTTTCTGTTCCAGGACGCCCTCCAGGATATCACATTCCATTTCATGGTTTTCTCTGGTGGCTCCCTTTGGCTGTGACGGTTCTCTGACTTTCCTTTTGATGACCCTGACAGTTTTGAGGGGTGCTGGTTAGCTATACGTGTGATGCAATTTGCCTCATGCTTTCTCAGGATTTTGCTGGGGCTCTGGGTTTGGGGAGCCAGGTCACCATTTCCACCTTACCAAGGGTCTACACTACCAACCGGAGTGACGTTGACCTTGAACACCTGGCTGAGGTAAGCTTCTGCCACTTGTCTCCACACAGGGTCACTTTCCCCTCCACCCTGCACTTTCTGGAGGGAAGTCACCAGGTTCGACTGCGTGGTGTCAGGGCTGGGAGTCCTACGCCTCTTTCCCATCCCCCAGTTTGGGTAAAGTATCTGCAAAAATCCTTAGAAATTCTTCCACCTGGAAGCTTTGTCTCTTCTCCCCCATTTGTTTATTCAATCAGTTATTTATAATAGACTCCTGAATATCTGCTTTACATTTGGGTTAACATCCAATATTTATGTTGTTGCTGAATTGTTCTAGCTTGTGGCCGGGTGACTCCTATGCTCCCCTCATGTACCCTTGTTGATGTGTGTGTGTGTGCTTTTAATATATATGTATATATTTAGTTGTCAGTGGATCTTTTTTCTTTTTAATTTTATTTATTTATTTATATTGGTGCTGAGGATCAACCCAAGGCTTCACACATGCCAGGTGAGTGCTCTACCACTGAGCCATAACTCCAGCCTAATGTGGTCCTTTTTTGTCTCTCTCTGTTTTTTGGGGCGTGGGTATAGAGGGGCACTTGACCACTGAGCCACATCCCCAGCCCTATTTTGTATTTTATTTAGAGACAGGGTCTCATCTAGTTGCTTAGTGCCTCGCCATTGCTGAGGCTGGCTTTGAACTCCTGATCCTCCTGCCTCAGCCTCTGGAGCTGCTGGGATTATGACAGAGCACCCCCATCCCCCCCATGTGGTTCTTTTTAAAAAGCCCTTCCTGACTTTCTGGCATTCCAGGATGCTTCAGGATCGTCTGGTGTATTTCTTTCTTTCTTCAGGTTTTTTTTTTTTTTTTTCAGTTGTAGACAGACACAATACCTTTAGTTAATTTATTCATTTTTATGTGGTGCTGAGGATCGGACCCAGTGCCTGACACAAGCCAGGCAAATGATCCACCAACTGAGCTACAACGCCAGTCCTCAGCTAGTGTATTTTTTTCTCCACTAGGGCAGGGAGGAGGCCTGGAGAGCCCCTGGCCCCAAAGCCCGCCAAGTGGAGCAGGGGCTACATGAGGGCATTGAAGAACCCTGGGCTTTGCTTTCAGGATTTCCCATGAGCCTCTGGGGCTCAGGGATGGACATGCCCCAGGTGGAGACTGGGCTTTCCCACCAGGGGAGGCGGGCGCTCCAGGGTGGGTCCTGGGAGCCACATCTACCTTCTCCTTAGCTCCCAGCCTCTGGGCCCTGGCCACAGTCATCAGGGCTGCTGCCTGTCCTCAAGGGCAGCATCTCTGGCCTGCGGGAGGTGACAGCATGAAGTCACTGGACTCCTGAAATAGAAGAGATGGGGCAGGGGAGGCCGGGCAGAGGGGTGAGGGAGAGGAGGAGTGAGAAGGGAAAGGCAGAGGGAGGGGAGGACAGGGAATGGGAGATAAGAAGAGGGAGGACACAGGCAGAGGGGAGACACCCAGAGATCAGGGGAGATAAGAGGACGTGAATGGGCAACCAGCAACCATCAACCAGGCCCTGCTTCCTCTCACAGGCCACATCTAGTCCATCCACAAATGCTCTGGATGCCACCTTCACAATCTGCATAAAGTGAGACCACCTCCTACCACACTGACGGTCAGGCCTCTACTTTTCCCCTGACTTGAGCCCCCCACCCACCACTCCACCCAAGTCTGTTCTCAGAGCACACAGAGTGATCCTTCCGTAACAAAAACAAGATCAGGCCTTGCCTTCTTAAACCCTCGCAATGGCCCTGCTAGGTCTTCCCTCTGTTCTCCAGTCCGCACTGCAGTCCTCACACACTGGCTTCTCTGACACATGTGCATCTGCCTCAGGGTCTTTGCACTTGCTGTACCCTTTACTTGGATAGTTCCCCTCCTCCCCTGCCCCAAGAGCTTTATTCCTTCACTTCCTCTAGGCCTCAGCTAAGAAGTGCCCTCCTCAGAGAGGCCTTTCCTGACCACCCTATCTGAAATAGACTCCCCTCCCCCACTGTCATGCTGACCCTGACTCTCACAACTGCCCTAACTTATCAGGTGCCAGTCTCTGAAGGTCTCTGGCCCTGCTCTTGTCACTATGGGCCAAATTCCACAGGGATCCAGAATGATCTTGCTAGAAGCGGACTGGTCAGCTCACTCCTAGGTTTAACCCCCTCCAGTGGCCTCAGGATGAAGTCCAAAGTCCAGCCCACTAGGACCTCACAACCAGGCTCCCCTCCTCCTGAGAGCTGCCCTGGGGACCAGCCCCTTACTGCTGCCTGCCTGGGGGACCACAGCCCAGCCTGCTCCTCCTTGCTCCAGCCCTCTCCTGGCTTGACTGCAGTGGACTGTGCTGTGGCTTCAAGTCTTCCTGCTCTGAGTTCTTGGGCACAGCCTCGCTGGACAAGGCCTGGCTGGCAAGCTCTCTGGACGGTTTGGCTCTCTGGCCTCAGCTTGGATGCAGATGGGGGCAGCCCTGGTGGGTGAGGGGCGGCTGATGGAGGCCACAGAAGGTGCAGAGGCCCTGGTCTCTCCCTGGGTGATGCCACTGCTGACCTGGCCTAGGCCCCAGGCAGCCTGAAGGAGGAACTGGGTCTCTTGCCCAGGGTTTGACACATAAGAGCCTCTGAGAAAACATCCATTGGCTGGTGGGATGGTTGACTAGAAATAGTAGTAATGGGTGCTCTTTATTTTATTTATTTTTTTCAGCCCTGGGGATTAAACCCAGGGGTGCTCTACCACTGAGCCACATAGCCAGTGTTTTTTATTTTTTACTTTGAGGCAGGTTCTCACTATGTTGCCAAGGCTGGCCCCCAACTTGAGATCTCCTCCAGCCTCAGTTCAGGCTAGAATTGCAGTGTGTGCGCCACCATGTCTCTTTTCTTTCTTTTTTACAATTCCATCTTTTCCCATTTTTAAAAAAAACAGTGGTGTTCTTGTCATTTTTTAAGAATGAAAAATAAATTAACCTTGAAATTTCACTTTTGCTGAAATGTTCAATTAAAAAGTAACACTTCCTGGATCTTCAAAGCTGAGCAGACACACACCTGTCCTCCACAAGCCCCCAGGATGCAGTGTGCCCAGAGGCGCTCTTCAGGACAGCCAGGAGCTGGAACCTGCCCCAGTGTCCATCAACAGCAAAATGGGTGAATAAATGGTGAGAGAGTCACACAAGGGCAAGCTCCCAGCAGGATGAGTGGCCCCTGACTCCCGAGAGAGGAGCGGAACCTCAGGAACACAACCCTGAGCAAGAGAAACCAGACACCAAAGGGCACGGACTGTGTGCGCCCTGCATGCATGCTCAGAAGCAGGCCAGAGCCGGGGAGGTTGGGAGTCAGCAGAGGCCTTATCTTTGGGGGTGCTCAGTGGGAGGGGCCTTGTGGGCCTTCTGGGGCCTGGAGGGGCTGTTTTCTGATCTGGGCGTTGGCCGGGTATGTTCTGCTAGTGCAAAGTGACCCAGCTGAACGCTTTTGTATACTGTTCAGTGTGTGTACTTAACTCCGGGGGGGGGGGGGGGGGATAGAGTTTAAAAAATAAATGGCACACTCTCTCCAAAGGGAGGTGGGAGAGGTGCCAGCCTCCCCAGATGCCCCCAGTAATCATTCCCCTCCCCAAGCCTCTAAGACCCCTGAAGCCCCGGTCTAGGGGATCTGTTTCCATACAGCAGAGAATGCCTGGGGCTCTGGACTCAACCCCACCATCATAGTTTGGGTTCAGTTTGGGCTCTAGAAGCGGGGCCGGGTGTGGCTGTGGGCTGGCCCTCCCTGGCTGGGTCCCTTTGGCCTGCCTGCCATCATCCATGAGCAGGATAGGGATTGAGGGACGCCGGAGTGGAGCGAGCGGGCCGCCTGGGTCCCTGGGTCCTGCAGCCTCCTTTCACCTTATGGTGGCAGCGAGGAGGGCCTGGGGGGGTGGTGGTGGTGGTGTGCAGGGGTGGCGAAGGTGGGACTTCAGTGACTCCTCCCCACCTACTCCCCCCAGCAGAGGACAGGAAAGCCCAGGGGCCTGGTCTGACCTTGCGCGCCACCCCCAAAGGTCACCGCGCTGCGGCTGTCTCAGGGTTCAGGTTCCTGCAGGCCGGCTGGGGAGGGCAGTAATCAATCCGTGCCCGCGGGCCGGCGAGGGGCGCCGATCCAGCGAGTGGCTCTCAGCAGCCGCCAGGCGCTGTTATTTATAACCGCGGGTCGCGTTACCTCCTGACCTTCAGCGGGGCCCAGCGATCGCAGCGATTAGCATCTCTCCCCGCCGCCCACTGCGAACAAACACCCCTCTGTGTGCCCTCCCTGGCCGGGCCTCCCGGGAGGGCCCTGCAGGAAGCAGGATGTTGACCGGAGTCTGTGCCCAGTGGCTCCTTGGGCGGGTGGACCCAGCCACGTGTGAGTGGGGGAGGTGGGGTGTGGTTGGGGGGAAGGTGCAAGAAGTACTCTGTTCCCTTGCTTCCCAGGTTGCAAATGTTCTGGTCTATTCTGGGTGGCAGTTATATTTATAATATAGGACTCCCTAGCCTGGGTTTGCCCAAGAGGGTGCCCTCTCCCAAGCCAGTGGGAAAGAGGCTGCCGTGGTGGCCAGAGCACTTGCACAGGGGTAGTGCTGGAACCACAGCACTCTGCATTCTCCCAAGAAGCACCCCCCCATTCCTAGGTGCAGCTGGTGCCTAGAGGGAGAAGTGACTGGAACAGGGTCACACAGCCATCTGTAGCAGACTCCCAGCTCCTGGTTGAGGGCCTTTCCCACTAGATCTGGGAGCTCAGTTACAGTCTGGAGGAGGCTTGTAAGGGAGGCTGGGGTGGGGAGACTGGCCTGTTCATTCATTGAACACACTGTTGGGTGGCAGCCCTGCTCCAGGGAAACCCCTCACCAGCCTGGGGAGTTGATGGTCTAAGGAAGACTCCAGCCCTGGAGCCACATGCCAGGCAGTTGCCAAGGGTCTTGATGTGTGAGATCCAGGGAGGGAGCCTGAGGCAGGCAAGGCCAGGTGGAGTGACTGGGGGAGTAGGCCTTGGGCTGAGTAGTCACTGAAGAAGCCTGTTGGTCACCATCAAGCTGTGAAGGCTTTGGCTGTGCTGTGGGGCCTCCCCTGTCAGCTTCAGTTGACCTTGCACCCAGGACAGAGGGTGAGCCCAGCCTCACCCTGGGAAATCACTCTGTAGGAAGCCTGGGGTGGGGCCAGCTGAGGGGCTCCTTGCAGTGAGACAGGGGACAGTGAGGAGGCGGGAGTTTCCATGCTGTCACTCCCTCTGGCACTTTGAAGCACTTGGAAAAACTGATGGTGTGGCTTGACTAACCCTTGCCCTCTCAGGAGGCCTTGGTTTCCACAAATGAGCAATGAGGAGCTTCACTGAGGAGCCATTTCAGCCCTGGCTGCCTGTGTGGGGGACTCTATGTGGGGGAGCAGAGACTGTGGGGAGCGTGTGGAGGGGGGGGGTGTAGGTCCCGGTAGGTAATGTAGGGGTGTTGTGGAAGTTGTGGGAGTATCCTTTGGGGGTGGGCTGGGGTTGAGGCAGGCAGAAGGCCTGGAAGGGCCTCTCCCTCACTCTACAAACCCTCTGCCCACATGGTCAGCTTGTGGCTTGCCGGCCCTGACCAGTCAATGAACTCAGGGTCTGGAAGTGTCAGCGGCTTTTCCGACCTTTTTGCCAAATGGGATGTCAGCATGGGGGTGGGAGGGGGCAGGGGGATGCCAGCTGGGCAAGGTGGCAATGACCTCATGATAACTGGCCAGGGGAGGAGGGGCAGCCACAGCCTAACTGGGCCGAGAGATCTGCCCCATTGGCCGCTGGTCAGGGCAGAGGCCAGGGCTCCACTCCAGGTGGGGGAGACAGAGTGGTCACAGGTGCGGGCTTTCTCAGGACTGTTGGTTCCTTTTGTGGGGACTCCCTGGAGGGTAGGCAGAGCACCTTGTTTTGACCCAGCATCTTGCAAGGGCTTTCACCTGTGATCTCAGATAAACTCACAGCAAACTTTACCTCCTGTCCCTATTTTATAGTTGAGGAAACTGAGGCTCATCAGAGTAAGAGATCCAGCTGAACTGGGAACAGGTGTTGGTGTGCCCCTACTCTGCCCCATGGTAACATGGCGAGGACAGGTGAGTGCCCTGGTGTTCAGGAATGGGCCTTTTGTGAATCCTCAGGCCTGATGCTCTCCACTTACCCCAGAGAGGCTCCTCCTTGGGAAGCCCTCCACATACTTTTCTACAATCTGGGAGGCAGTCAACACCAATAACCAGAGGGCAGCCACCATAACAGAAGCCTTTACATCCAATACGGGACCCTTTCTCTTGTACCGGCCGGAGGCGGGGTCCTAGTCATACAGAAGGCCTCTACCCGCCCAGGCCTCTTAGACTCCCTGGATCAGGTTGGGGTTGCTCCTCTGTGGCGTTGGAAGGGGCTCCCAGTTCGCAACCCCAGGGTGGGTGTGACCCTGTCTTTGTACCCAGATGCTGAGATCAGCTGTGGGACTGCTCTTTCTTCAGCTGTTTATTAGTTTCCCATAATAATAATAGCTACCCCTACCTAAGCTTTATGGTTCACAAAGTACTTTCACAGACATTCTCTCATCTAACCCTCACACTGGCCCTGTGATGAGGAGCTAATATACCCATTTTATAGAACAAGAAACTGAAGCTCAGGGAGGGAGGTTCTGGGGCTAGTCTCAGATCACAGGGCAGAAAGTGGAGGACATAGGCTCTGGCCTCCCTGACCTGGCACTTCCCACAGCAGCGATCCTCAGGGAGCCTGGTGGCCCTGTGACTTCTCCAGGGCAGCCACTGGGCTGCAGCAGGGGGCCAGCAGTGCAGCCCGGACAATCTGCTCTTTTCAGTCTGGGAGTGCTATGAAGAAGGCTCCTCACCTCCTTCTGCAAATACTGGGGAGAGAGGAGAGGAGGAGCAACGAAGAGGCCAAAGTGCATGAGATGGCTGGGGAGAGTGCCGGGGAGGGTCCCCCAGCACAGCTGGCTGCCCTGGCAACAGGCCCAGGCTAAGCAGTGGAAGGGACCAGACGTTCCCAGAACAGGAGTCCAGCAACCGGGTGCCCAGTGCCAGCTGTTGCCATGTTCTCATCTGCCCGCGGCAAAATGAGAATAATAAGGACAATATAGTGAGGTTTCAGAAAGCTGAATCTACTCGACCTTTCATCTGAGCCGTGCATTTTCAATAGCATGTGCATGTATTTAAAAGCACCCTTACTTTGACATTTCCTTTTAATGTCCTTAACTCAGCAAAATAAAAAAACTGGTGACTATGTCAGATCCTAAATTGTTTTTTTGGAAATGTTAAGTGATCTGAGAAATCCAAAAGATGGCGAAGTGAGCTACCCCTAGAGTGCTTCCAAGTAAAATCTGGTATAGGGCTTGGGATGCGGCTCAAGTGGTAGCGCGCTCGCCTAGCATGCGTGAGGCACTGGGTTCCATTCTCAGCACCACGTAAAAATAAAATAAAGATATTGTGTCCACCTAAAACTAAAAATAAATATTAAAAAATTAAAAAAAAAATCTGGTATGAAGGGAGTTGGTTTAAATTGAGGGAGAAGGGATTGGGGTTTATGCCCAGGCAGTCCCTGTGGCCCCAGACTAGGCCTCCCCAGGAAACCTGAGCAGAAGGAACAATCGAGTAACTGTACAAGGAATTCTGAGAAAGGTTTCAGGGCCAATTCTCAATGCCACACACCCTCAGCTCCTCTCTGCCCTGGAGCCAGGAGGAAATGTTCCCTTAAACCCCACCTCTGCCTTCCCCAGACCCCACAAGGATAGTCCCAAAAAAGTCCAGGCCCTAGAAGCAGACATCAGGGCTTGGGCTGACTGCCCCTCTGAGAGGGCATGTCAGTAATGTTGCAGCCAAATATAGAGGGACACCAGACACTGGCAGGGGCCCCAGCCCTGGGGGGCTCCCCAGACTTCCCGGTGCCTATCCTATCTCTTCTCTTCCAAAGCCCTACACCCCCTAACCCAGGAGGGCAGCCAGGAGGCTGGAAGCCCTCGCCTGGTCCGGCCCACGTTGGGACATGTCCCAACAAGCCCCAGCACAGTGGGAAGCTGCCTTGAAGGCCCAGGGCCTGGGCTGGGCATGAGCATGGAGACACATCTATCTGGAAACTCCAAGCACTTTTAATAAGCGTAACTTCCCACAGGGCACTCTGACACCAGGACACCAAGAGGACCCTCCTGCTCTCTGTTCTCCAGTTTCCGAAGGAGACCAAGCCATAAAGCTGGGGGTGTGGGAGGGCAGGAAGCCAGGCTAAACCCCAATAACCTGCTGGTCGAATTGAATTGCAGATAATTAGTCCTGATCACCTCCACCCTCCTCTCTGGGGGAATTAAAAGTCAAAGGGCAGGGCTGCTGACGCAAATGTCAGGGAAGACAAGCAGTCTGAACAGCTGAGATCCTGCTCTCGGCTTCACTGCCTGAGGTCCTGAGCCCCAGTGCCTTGGACATGGTGTCCCCCAGGCTGCTGGGAGCTGGCAGTCCCCAAGATGCCCGCAGGCAATGGGGCCCAGCTCGCTCTCCCTCCTGGTTCTAAGGTCCACAGAACTTGATGGTGAAGGTTAATGTCAGACTCCCAAGAAAAGCGTTGCCAGGACAGGGAGACTGTGTTCTGGGTCACATGAACCCCTCTCCTTCCCACCTCTACAAGAGGAAGAAACCTGTGTCCCTGTGACAGAGGAGCCAGGCTCCCTAAAACCCATGGTGTCCCTTCTAGGCAGGCCCCAAGGCAGGCACACCCTGGGCAGCTCCATCAAGTCTGTGCACCAGTGGGGACCCCTAGCGGGCGTGGCGGGACTTGAACTTGGGCTTGGCTGGGCTGCTGCAAACCAAACAAGGCAACCACAACTCATGGCCAGTAACTTGGGGAACCCTGGTGTGAACAGCTGGGGAGTTGAGTTTGGCAAGGGGGTGTATTTAAGTCTTGATTTTTCCGAATTGAACTGTGGCTAGATCTCAGCCTAAATGTCCCGCTGTTAGCAAATCAGGGTCAACATGTCTAAGAATGAACTCATCATCTCCTGGCCCTAAACTTGCTCCTCCTCTAGACTTCCTAGTTTCTATTAATAGGGTCATCACCTGCCCAGTGCCCCAGGCTCCAAACCTTCCTGTCATCTTCAGCCTCTCCCCATAGGCTGTCCTGCCCTGCTCCTCCTTACTAGGCTGGCCAGTCTGCCATCCTTCTCCTGCGTGCTCCTTGCCATTGCCCAGTCCGCCAGCCTCTTGCCTGAGCTCCTTGTGTTCTCAATAATGCTGCTGCTTGGTCAGGCCTGGGCGTGTTACCCGCCCTCCACTAACTGGCTGTGTGACTTTGGGCAAGTTATTTAACTAACCTGAGTCTCAGTTTCGTCAGCTGGATGTGAGGGTAATGATCTCATAAAGCAATGCCTAAATTAAATCTAAAATATACATAAAGACCCTGTCACATAGGATGTTCTCAACACCTGTGAATTATTAGAGATCATCCAGTCCGACTCCTCTATTTTAGAAATAAGGAAACTGAGGCCCACAATGTGAGTGCTGGGTTCCAAATGTCTTTACAGCAGGCTGCAGAGTCTGGGCTTGGAAGTTCCTGGTGTCTTCATGTTCCCTTCCCCATCATCCTCACATTCTAGAACCCATAACAAAAGGTCACTTCTGAGCTCCTGGGGTGTACACCCCTGTCTTCAGGACCAGGTATGTCTGGGTAGGTGTTGAGATCATTCAGCCACAGGAAGCATTTTCTGGGAGAACCATAGGTCATGTCCAGAGGGCTGAGTCAGGGCAGCCCATGTGCATGAGGCTCATCATGTAGGCCCAGCCACCGGCCTCAGACACATGTCAGATGGCCATAAAGCCCAGGTGTCTCCTCCCTCATCAACCTGCCCTTGAACGCCTCTCCCTATACTCCCAGCCCCAGTCTTCACATGACTGCACTTCTCTCGTGGCCTGTTTTCCTGTGAGCTTATGTTCTTGACATTCACACCATGGATAAGCACCTGGAGTCCACCCTGGAATTAAAGGAGGGAGCTGCTTCTGGGAAGACAGTCATCACTCTCATCAAAATTTCAAAGGGGACTTCCCCCTAAAAAAAAGGGCGGTAGCAAGAAGAGCAGAGGCACAGATGGTCCAGGTTTCAACTGGGCCCCTCCTAGAGTCCCCGGGCACCTGCCATCTAAGACAATGGTTCTTAAATAGGGACACCTCTGCCCTAGGGGACATTAAGCAACATATTTTCTGTCACATTGGAGGTGTGTGGGGGGTTATGCTACTGGCATTTAGTGGGTCGAGGTCAAGGATGCTGCTGAACACCCTCTAATACACAAACCACACAACCAGGACGCATCCAGCCCCAACTGTCAATAGTGCTGAGATGGAGAAGCTCTGGTTTAAGAGTCCTGTCACACAGGGAAATACGGGCCTCACAGCTGCCCTGAGCATGAAGGGAAACAGTGAAGCCCTTGAAGGAGCTGGGACTGGCTCAGCACTTGCCCCAGGTTGCAAGGACCTTCCTTTTCTAAGACCTTTTTGGCCTGGCACGCAGAGGTGGAGTGGGCACATGTTCTGACCTTAATACTTTTTTTTTTTTAATTTTATTTTGTATCAGGGATTGAAACCTACCTAGGGTGCTTTACCACTGAGCCATATCCCCAGCCCTTTTTATTTTTTCTTTTGAGACAGTGTTTCACTAAGTTTCTGAGACTGACTTTGAACTCACGATCCTCCTGCCTGGGTCTCCTGAGCTGCTGGGATTACAGGTGTGCGCCACCACACCTGGTGACATGAGAATTTTCTGAATGATTTTTTTTCCTCTTATGGACACAATACCTTTATTTTATTTATTCATTTAAAAAATATTTTTTAGTTGTAGGTGGACATAATATCTTTATTTCATTTTTATGTGGTGCTGAGGATCAAACCCAGCACCTCGCATGGGCTAGGCGAGCACTCTACCACTGCCCACAACCCTAGCCCCTTCTGAATGATTTTGATGTTCCTGTTTCCCTGCCCAGCCTGGGGCAGTTTCTAGAACAATCCACATTCACTTCTCAACCCTTTCAACAAGGAAAGGCAGGCCCTGTGAGGAGGCTCACCCTAGGCACTCACGGCTCTGCTTCCTTTGAGTTGGGTCTGGGTCTCATCTCATCGGCTCTCCAGATGGCCCTTCCTGTGTGCCCTTCTTTTTCACTGATGAGGGGAAAGGCCAGATTGGCAAGAAAGGGTGCAAATGCTTGTTCCAAGCTGTCTGTAGATCAAGCTTTTAGACTCCAGTCAGGGCAGAGGACTTGTTGAGGAGTAGCCCTTTGTAGAGGCAGGGGAATGGCCGAAAAGACCTTTAATAGCAATGTGAAGTTAGGGCTAGGGGCTGGCAATCCCTCCCTGCCCCTCAGCTGGGCAGTCTGTAGCCAGTGGGGGTAAAGTTTCTGTCCCTGCCTTCTCCCCTGGGACTGGCTGGAATCCCCACCTGGCCCCCTGGAGCCCTGCTGGGCAATGGGGATTGGCTTATCCAACTTAAGTATAATAGATTATTGGATTACTGTCTGAGGAGGTGACTGGCCTAGGGCCAGCTACAGAGAGGGAACTTGAGACCCCTTTCTGGCACTGCTCATTTGTTGTTGGTTCTTGGGACTAAAAATACACTCCCCCTCTGCAGGTCTCAGCTTTGTGGGGAGGATTCTGCCTTCTTCCCCACCTAGGGAGAGTGCTGGGCTGTGAGGGTGGGGGCAGCTGTGGCTCAGGACACCCAGCTGCTACCTCCCCTGGGACAAGCCCAGGCAGGCCACTGCTGCTGAAAAGGAAGAGGCCCTTGGGGACAGGGCACAGCCAAGGGGGAGGAGCCTGAGGACAGCAGAGTGACTGAGTATAATAAAAGGCTGAGTCCTGGCCGCCTCCTGCCACATGTCTCTTCTCCCGAGGGACATTTTTGTCTTGCTTGGAAACTTCCTCCTGATTAGTGGCATCCAGACTTGACCTCTTCCACAGTTCCGCTCTGCTGCACACCTGCCCCTAGTGTTCCTTCCCAGGCAGGCTACCTTGCCCTCTGCCAGTCTTCTCTGCAGGAGCTCCAGAGGCTGGATGGCAGCATGGCCTCCTGGGCTTCCTGCCCCAGGTCCCTCAGGGAAGGAACTGGGGCTCCTGGCTGCTGCTCACCAAAGAAAGATTCCTCCCAAGCACCCTTATTCTCTGGCCACTCCAATTTCCACCAAGCTTTCCTGTCCTTTCATGAGGCACAAACCTGACATCTTCCCTCTTCCCCAGGTCTTTCCTTTTCTCATGTCAGCTGGTGAGATCTGGCCTGAAGTTGTGAAGAGGCTGGGCAAGGGGGTGCGCAATAAAGGAGCTGACTCGCTAATGCAACTGGAGTTTGGTACATTCATACCTCCTGGAGTATCCTGGAACAGCCCTGGATCCTATGGGGCATTAAGCTTTCCAGGCTTGAGGATGTCAAAACACTGCTATGAGGTCCCCATCCTCTAGGCCCAGGCCTGCTTCAGCTGTGTGCGTAGCCTGGGCCTGCTCTTGCTTGCCTCGGTATCCCAACTGTGGTGAGGCCTTGGAGAGGTGGCAGGGATGTTTCACCCTGGGTACTTGGAAGCTGCCCAGTCCACTCAGAGCAACCTCCGTGTACCCAGCTCTCTTCTCACATGGTCAGTCTCATGCATCTGGGAAGGGGAGTGCTCTCCAGCCCGTCTCCTCCTTGGTCTACCAGTCAGGCCCTCATCTGCCCAGTCAGCATAGTGATGGCCTGCTCTTCCTTCTTCGCCATCAAGAGGCTCCAACACTAACACTGGGGGCAGCAGTGGGGAACAAACCTACTTCAGCTCCTGTGCTCCTATAGTTTCGTCATGGGAGAGGAAGGTATCCTAGAACTCATCCAATCCAGCCCTGCCATTTTATAGAACAAAAAAAGGCCAGGTCTTAAAGCTGTGGCCACTCACTGCAGCTTGGGACAGGGATATGAGCTTGCTGGCAGGAAGCGCAGTGTCTGCAAGTGCGTTGATGGTGACGCACGTCCTTGAGTGAGCTGCAGAGGGGGTGTGTGGAGAGACTGGAAGGTGGCCTTGGAAGTTTATTCCAGGCACAGATTCTCTTCCCCTAATCCTTACCCCCTCCTTTTTTCCTTTTCAGCAGCAGTTATAAAACCCAGGAAATAAATGTGGACTGATGGCCTGTGAAGGGCTTAGTTAGTGCTGTGACCTGCTGAGTTATGTAACTCCTATTTATTATCGGCCTTGGATGAAATTTCCATTGAGGCAACTCACTAAGCTCATTCTGTGACATTTTCTTGTGCTTGCTTGGAGGTGGCAGCAGCAGAAATTCCTCTGCAACTTCAAAGACAGAAATGGTGGTGTAGATACTTTCAGAAATCCCTTTCTTTAATCCTTTAGGCCAATGTTTCTCTCACCCCTTGAAAAAATTGTTCACGCGGGCACAAGCTCCAGGACCTGGCCCCTTTGGGTCCCTCGGCTGTAAGTGACCATAGCCTGACTGAGGAAAGGTATTTCCTTCATGCTGGGGTGAGAACCAGGGGCTGTGAGAATCTACAAGAGCTGAGGAGAAAGGGCGCTAAACTGAGTCCAGAGTTCTAGTCCAGTCTCCACCGCTGTATAACAGCTGCTCTTGGCCTCAGCCTGCTTACTGGTAGAGTGAATGAGTTTACCTATCTGTGTACTTCAACCCTCAAAAGTGTGGCAAGCTCCTTGGTCTGCTTTGCTTGCCATGCTGGGGGTGACAGCCCAGTGGGGACAGAGGGGGAGGGATGAGGGAAGGTTAGTGCCAGTAGGGCTCCACCTTGTGTTCAAAAGGGAGCAGAGCTGCTGTCTCCTCGACTCCCTTCCTGCTTTGGGAGGGGGTGGTACTGGAAGAATTAAGCTTCACCTCTGAGCCCTTCACCTTAGTAGCCAAAAGGGCCCTAGGAAGAAGCTAAGGGTTCTGATGCCACACTAAAGTAGACTTTTGGAGACCCCTTCTCAGCTTTAAGAAGAAAAAGACTCAAGGGAAGTCCAGGACCCACAGAACTCAACAGTGCCTCTTCATAATCAGGACATATTCCTCTCATTACTGATTCCTTGATGCCTTAGGTACAATCTGGTGCATCAAAACAGCTTGTACCAAGTGACTATGGCTGCATTAATTCCTATCATAAAGGATCTGGGTATGCTCCTTTATGTTAAGTGACCATAGCCTGACTGAGGAAAGGTATTTCCTGGGATCTGGCTGGGCATGAAGAAGGCCACCGTTCAGACAATCCAAACTGCACTTGGCCCAAGATAAGATTGAGGGCCCACAGATGATTTTTGAAGGACCAGGGGCAGAAAGGGGCTAAATTTTACAATCCTTCATCATGACTTGGTTTTTGAGCTGGTTTCATATTACAGTAGAGGGGTCTTTGAAAGAAAGAGCTGTCACCTTGGGGTTCCAGAAACATGACTTTAATATGAAGTGGAATGGTCTGATAAACCCTCAACTGAGCGGTGATCAGGACATTATAGCTCCAGGCAAACTCTCCAAGATAGAACCATAGATGGCCTACACAATAAAAGTCTGCTCCCAAACCAGGCCCAAACACAGCAAGAGGCAAACACCTGGAAAGTCACTCCTGGATTTCAAACTCAAAGAAACATTAGCACATGTCTGGGCATAGCCAAAGGTAGGGGGAAATAAGCTTGATGAGAAAGGGCAATGGAGCTGGGCACACTGGTGTCCATCTGTAATCTGAGGGGACTTGGGAGGCTAAGGCAGGAGGATTGCAAGTTCAAGGCCAAGCCTGGGTAACTGAATGAGTCCTTGTCTCAAAATAAAATAAAAAGGTCTGGAGATGTGGCTTGGTGGTAGAGCATCCCTGGGTTCCAAAGAGAGAAAGAGAGGGAGGGGCAGTGCACACAAGAAATCAAGGCATCAGTAGGGGAAAAGAAACATATTTCTTCATTGTTGAGTAATATTTAACATGATCTTATTTGTTTCCTCCAATAATCTTATCACAGACCATCATTAGCATACTACTTATGAAGCAATTCAAGTTTTTGAAAGACTATTCCACTCTTTGCATGTTACCTGAGATGTCCTAAAAAATATTTTGCATTCTTGCTTGAAAAGACTAATACTGAGCTCTTAAATCAGGTAGACAGCATATCATTCTTCTTGCCACCATTCCACACCCTACTGTGCATCTGATGTTAATATTTAGCTTTTTTATGTTTAGTCTCCACCCATTTATATATAGTAACTGAGATAATTCTTGTCATAAAGCATTATGAATAACAGATACCAAAGATGTTTTGATGGCATCTAAAATGCCAAATCTACTATTTTCATGCTTTAACATGCCCCTTAGCATTCCTGCATCAGAATGAAATTAACTATTAGATGCAAAATATGGGTTTTTCTTGGCTGGGTGTAGTGTCACAAGCCTATAGTCCCAGCAACTTGGAAGGCTGAGGCAAGGCCAGTCTGGGCAACTTAGTAAGACCCTGGCTCGAAAATAAAAAATGGGGCTGGGATTGTGGCTCAGAGGCACAGTGCTCACCTAGCATGTGTGAGGCACTGGGTTCAATCCTCAGCACCACATAAAAATAATATATAGATATTGTGTCCACCTATAACTAAAAAATAAATATTAAAAAAAAATAAAAAGGGCTGGGGATATAGTTCAGAGACAGAACACCTCTTGGTGAAATCCCCAGTAGCACAAGCATACACCCACAATGGGTTTTCTTGTGTTTAGCTTTCATAGAACACCCCTTTTCCTTAAACCGTGGAGGGCAAGGCAATAGAGCAAGGTATGTGTCAGTCCAAGGCACTTCTACTTGAGGAATTACTTTCCTTATAGGAATTACCTTCCTCAAAGTATCCTAAACAAGGCCTGAAACATTAACAAGTAGACTGAAAATAAGGATAATTCTGCTTCTGACTAGCACTGCAGCCAATTTTTCTCTTATTTTTGTCACATTATAAAGCAGACACCATACTAGTATCATTTGTTCAACTTGTGCTTCTAAGGAACAGACACCTTTGGGGTTTTCACCATTTCTGAGTCTGCTTCCCCCTACTGGTCTCCATCTCCTTGAGGGTGTCTTACCTGTCTTCACACATGTGACACCTGGGAACTCCAAAAGCACAATGCTGAGTGCCAGGCAGGGTAGGTGGTTTGTTGGTTGCTGTCACATGTTACTTAGTCATCACAAGAACCCCTTGGGAATTCTTTATTTTTTGAGCAGGGGCACTGGGGATTGAACCCAGGGGCACTTTACCACGGAGGATCCCCAGCCCTTTTTAATTTTTTTTTTCTTCTTAAGACAGGGCTTCACTGAGTTGCTGAGGCTGGCCTTGAAATTGCAATCCTCCTACCTTAGTCTCCCAAGTCGCTGGGACAACAAGAGTGTACCAACACTCCTGGCTCTCTTTGGGATGTTACTCTCACCTCAGAGTAAAGAAACTGAAGAGTGAAGTGACTATCAAAGAGTCACAAAATTAAGAAACATTAGACCAGGGCTCAAACCCAGTTCTCTTGGACTGGAAGTCTAACACTTTTCTGCTCACCTGAAGTAGCCCTGGTGTTCAGTTGATCTGGTTATAGCACCAGCGAGGTACCTGATACTCTCAACTAAACTTGTTTACCAACAGGCAAGGACTTTCTGATAGCCAGGCCTCTGAATTACCTGGGAATGGTAATATTCTCCCCAAAGGGTTTCTCTGCAGATCACCTTATGAATTTTTGGGCCAAATACTTGGAAAAACTGTTAGATGTTATAAAAATGAAGCTAGGCATGATAAGTAAAAGGTACTTTTTTTTCTATGAAAAACCATCAGAAGATAGCCTTGCCAAGTGAATTCAGACTTAAGAGAGATGAAATATTCTCTTCAAGCTTTTAATGTATCAGTAGGTTCAAAGTATCCTAAACTTCAATTGTCCATGAATCAAAAAAAGAAAGACTATTATGTTGGGCTTGGGGTGAGTCTGCTCGCAGGCCACAATGTTCAAGTTAAAACAGGCTAAAAATGAATGAAGCTGTGTGCTCCTGGAAAACAAGTGTTTGTGAATCCAGCTGAGCTGCTTTGAGTTGCCTTTTTCTTTTTTTCCTGTGGTGCTGGGGATTGAACCCAGAGCATTGTGCATGCGAGGCAAGCACTCTACCAACTGAGTTATATCCCCAGCCCTGCTTTGAGTTCCTTTAAGCAGATGTTCTCAATAGGAGGATAATAATCAGCTGGGTAACTATATCAGTAGTCTGATATTCCTGAGGGGAAGAAGGGAAAAAAAAGTATTCTGCAAATAGCTCCTGGGGTGATTCTGTTCATACCTCCCTCTCCTGGTTCAGCTGAGAACTGCGGCTTTAAGTTAAATTGCTATTTCCACTGAGCAGAGGTTTATTTTGTCCACCCCTCTTTTGGGGCCTCCATTCAAATCATAACTCCTTTGTGTCTGTGGGTGGGAACCACTGTACTGCTTGAATATGGTGAAAAGCAAGGAGTTAAGCTATCTAGCTTCTTTTATACAATGTCGTTCTGATAAATTGGAAACTCTAGTAATCAAATCCCACCTACCAGTTGCCGGGCCTCATGGCAGATTGGGCAGCCCTGAACCTGCAAGCAAGGTATGGTTTTTATCTGTATAGACAATAAAGCAAGGGAAATCAGAAACAGGGTCACAAAACCAGAGGGTTACAACTAGGGTTTTTCTTAGATCACCTGACTAAACTACCTTCCCCTTTAATACAAGAGAATTCACATCCAAGGATGTGAGTGGTAAAGCACTTGCCTAGCATGCACAAGACCCTGAGTTGGATCCCCAGCACCACAAAAAAAAAAAAAAAAAAAAAAAAAAAAACCCACAAAAAACTCCCAAATGTTATGTTAATGTGACCTGCCTAGAGTCACTGTAGGCGTAAAGCCTGGACCCACAGCTTTTTTTCCCACTACCCTGCTCTATCTCCCTAAAGAAAATGGATTTAGATGGGTGTGACAGTGCATAACTGTAATCCCAGCAAGTTCAAAGCCAGCCTGGACAACTCAGTGAGATCCTGTCTCAAAAATAAAATTTAAAAAGGGGCTGTGGATCTGCAGCTTACTTGGAGAACATTTACCTAGTAGCATGCATGAGACCCTGGGTTCAATCCCCACTACTGGCGGGGTTGGGGTGAGGGGTCAGTTTAAAATGAAATGTATTATTACCTAATATTTAAGGCAGTCTGAAAAATCTATCAAACAGTCCTTAATAAATTGATTACTGCCTCTTTAAGAGCTGGTAGCTTAAGCAGAATCTCTCTACTAAGGCCTGAGAGGCAGTTCTCTCCCTGGTACTGGGCAGGGGTCTATAGGCTACAGTTCCAGTTATGACCATGGGGCTCCTGCCCTGTTCCCAACAAAAAACAAAATGAATGTCTTCTGTCTTCTGTTGCCATTTTAACCTCTTACTAGAGGGATCAAAATATGGCTAAACAGGATGCAACAGGACTGACTAATCAATTTCCAAAACAATGCCTTGGCAGGCTCTAGAGGGCGGAAGAAGCAGGTGCGTCAAGGTCCTACCAAGTCAAGGAGTGAGTCAGGCTATTGGTTATGTTATAGAGCATCCCACCTCACTGGACAGATAACTGGTGAAATGTCCTATCAACATGACAAATGGGATGACTTTCACTATCACACAAGAATCCCAATGAAGACACACAAAATCCACTGGATCACACTAAAGACCAGTGCGCTGAATGGGATTAACTTTATATCATCCTTCCTCTAAGAGTCTCTCCAAAGCAAGAGATCACAAATAAGCACACCATATTATCAGAATCCCAGCACAACCTGTCTCTTATCACAGAGTAATCTGGCAAAGGGTATATCTTAGTGTCATGAGTGGGTTGTCACTCACCACTCCTACATCTCTAGACAGTCCTCTTGTCCATTACCTACATCTCATTTGAACACATGAGCCAAGCGGCTCACCCCACTGCTCACCTTCAGACAATGGCAAATGACAACATTCTGGACCCTGAGAAATGATATGTTTGATGGAGAGATTATTGGACTTTCAAATAAAACCCAAGTTCAGACCCCTGGGAAAAATAAAAAGGAAACAAAACACAATGGACCTCAAACATGTTTCATATACATATTTATATATATTTCATGTACAAAGTTACATTCCGAACCCCAGGGATTCCATAATAGAAATAAATACTGAAATAACTACATTGCTAAGTGAGCTTTTTGCTCATAGAAACAAAGCCTCAGCCTCTAAGACAGTCAAGTGGGACACTCCAGAATCCCACTTTATGGAGGCAAGTAAAATTCTGGATAAGATGTCTAGAACAAAAAACAAATTTAGAACATAAATTGTTAAAATATATTCAAATATTGAGAAATGCAAGACAAAATTAATAATAAAACTTAATTATTTAAGAAAAAGACAATTAGTGTTACAGAAGAGCATAACCCTGTTAGAAAAGCATTGATGACTTCCACATTTCATCTTCTCTCCTCCTCTTCCCCTGTCACAAAGTGAGACCAAGTAAGTCACTTTCTCAACATGATCAATTAAGAAGAGCCCTACTGGCAATGAAGCATGGTGGTAGAGCACTTGCCCAGCATGCACAAGGCCCTGGATTCCAACCCTAGCACCATGGGGTGGAAAAACAGGGCAAAGAAAAGCCCTAACTCTGGTTGAGTCCTTTGGTAAAGGTCATAATACTCACAAGAAAATAAATATTCAGTTCCACAGCATTTCCAAGACACACATCCTTTAGGACAGTTAATATTATGAGATGTTTTATTACTAAGGCAGCCTATGTCAAGAGTTCTCTTCTCAAATGCAGGAAGAAACGAAAAATATTGCAACTGAGAATCTTTTTTTTTTTTTTTTTTGTATTGGGGATTGAACACAGGGGTGCTTAACCACTAAGCTACATCCCCAGCCCCCGCCTTTTTTTTTTTTCATTGAGACAAGATCTCATTAAGTTTCTTATGGCCTTGTTAAATTGCCTGGCCTCAACCTTGCAATCCTCTGGTATCAGCCTCCTGAGTCACTAGGACTACAGGCATGCGCCAACATGCCTGGCTCAAGAGAATGTATTTTAGCCTTTCTTTTTCTTATTTTGCGGTATTAGAAACTGAACTCAGGAGTACTCTACCACTGAGCTATATCCCCAGTCCTTTTATTTTTCATTTTGAGACAGGGTCGTACTAAGTTGTTGAGGCTGGCCTCAAACTTATGATCCTCCCGCTTCAACTTCCTATGTAGCTGGGACTACAGGTGTACACCACTGAGCCTGGCTTTCTACATAAACACACTTCATCTGGAAAGTCACGTGCTGAATATTCTGTGCTAAAATGTTTTACACTCTCAACAAGTTGCAATTTTTAAGAGACTGATTCCTATTTTAACAATTTAGATCCACACAAGTTACAGAAAAATACTCTCAAAACTGAGTCCATAGAAAATATTCTCCCTTTGCCTCATGGAGATTTTAACTTAGACTTAATAAGTATTAGATTGAGGCATACAGTGATGCCATTTCTATAGATCAGCTATGGCTGAACAATGATAATTTCATGACTCAATTTCTTCTTCTTTTTTTGACAGTTTTTTAATATTTATTTTTTAGTTTTCGGTGGACACAACAACTTTATTTTATTTTTATGTGGTGCTGAGGATCGAACCCAGTGCCCCACACATGCCAGACAAGCACGCTACCGCTTCAGCCACATCCCCAGCCCTCTTCTTCTTCTTTTTTAATATTTATTTTTTAAAAGTAGTTGGATACAATACCTTTGTTTTATTTTTATGTGGTGCTAAGGATCGAATCCAGGGCCTCGCACGTGCTAGACGATCGCTCTACCGCTGAGCCACAATCCCAGCACCTTATATGATTCAATTTCATACATAACCCAATGTAACAAAATGAGAATCCTTAGTACCCCTGATTTCTTCCAATAGGGGCAAATTTTCTATGTGGAGAGACCAACCCAAGGCACTCAATCCTTGTTCGTTCTGGATTTGGGAGCTACAGCCCTCTACTGCTTTTGAGAAGCTTACATTTGGTCATTTCTTCAAAAGACTACCACCTTGATCAAAGTAGACATTACAAGAATATAAACCTATTATTGGGGGAAAGAGGAAGGAAAGTAATCTATAGAAAGTGTTTAACTGAAATTACAAATATACGCACAAGTCTTTAAAACAAATTATACAGGCATTTTTGTCCTTTTTGGTCCCTGAAATTAATTAACAGGGCCACAGACAATCTGATATCTTTAGGTAAAATGATTACGCACCTATATTCCTTAAGTCAGAGCTGGTAAGTTTAAAAGGAGCATTTACAACTACGTTTGCACAGTTCATTGTTAATTCCTGATTTCCTAAGTTACATCAATCATACAAATGTGTGAAAGGCTTCTGAACAAGTCGGGCATCTGACTCTGGGATGCTTACCTCTTGGGATTAAAATTCCCAACACTTTGGTGTCTCTATGAATTTATACAACATTCTTAACAAAGGTTTAATAATGCTTTTTTAGGAATTGCCAAAAGTGGCTAAGATTAAAACAAAAACACATAGCAAACAAGCTATGGAAAAGTGGCCTAAATTTTGTTTCCTTAAGTGACTAAGCTCAAGCAAAAAATTATCTGTTACATACAGCTTTTATTAAAATAGGTTTTTCTTCTAAAACATACATAGCCACAGTTTTATGGTGTATACAGTGTGCTTATAGACACATGTGGCCAAATGGATCCAAAGGTCTTCCAAAGCTCAGTAAATCCCACGTATTTTATGTCCTAGCCAGATCATGTATATGCGTTAAAGTCACTGGTATAGTTTTTACAGATATCTTTGTGTAATAGTTCAGAAGAAAAAGAAAAAAAAACAAAAACAAAAAAAAAACCAACCCTGGTACCTAAGAATGTTTTGACAATTGGAGACCTGTGTTTGCTTTTTTTTCTTTGAAGTCCTTACAATGACGGGGGAACATTTTTCCCGTAAGTTTGTATTTTTCTTTTTTTTTTTAGTTGTAGATGGACACAATACCTTTATTTTTTATGTGATGCTGAGGCTCAAACCCAGTGCCTCACACATGCTAGGCAAGCGCTCTACCACTGAGCCCCAGCCCTAGCCCCAATAGGTTTGCATTTTTAAAATAGCATAAAATTATATTTAACTTTACCTAGAGTAACAATAAGAAATGGTAAACCATACATTTTCAAGAAGCTTGAGAGGGAAAAACCTAAAGCATCATGGTTTTAAAAAACTTACTAAGGGAAAAAAAAATCAGTCAAATCTAGATTCTAATCTATTTTTTGAATGGATACTGTTAATTGAAAAGATATAATTATCAGCCTTGACTTTATATATATATATGGTATATCAGCTTTGTCTTCTTCCCCTTCATAGTTTTCCTTTTTGAAGATAAAATACTATCTAAGCTCAAAATACTGAGCTTAGAAGGGCGCAAAAGCTTAAACATGTTACTTACATCCAAAATACCAAGTATTTAGTAGTTTTACACAGAAAAAAGAAAACAACCCTCCTGGTCAAATTTCTTATTCAATGGGCTAGTGATGTAGCTCAGTGGTAAGCATACTTGACTGGCATGCATGAGGCCCTAGGTTTGGTCCTCAGGAACACACACACATATACACACAAAATCCTCACTTAATTGGTGAGGACAGACTCTATCACCCTCCATCACGACTTCACTTTTACTTCTAACAGGTCAGAGCAGCCCAGGAACATGTGGCAAATAGGTGATATTTTATAAGGAAAAAAAACCCGAATTAACTACCATCATCTCTGGTAGGATGAATGCAAAACACAAGGCTAAAGCTTCTTCTAAGCTTTATAAATTATAAACCTCTCAAACGTGTCAGTTTGAAAACAAGAGAAACTAGTCTCAAAAAAAAAAAAAAATCAGGATATTCAGAGAAGCAGGCCTCATAAACTTTAGAGCTCTAATAAGTCAGAAACAGGAAACTTTTATTTAAATAGTGTAGTCTTAATTTCTTTAATATAAAACCCCCTGAAAATCTGATGAAAACAAAGTTTTATATACCATATAAACAAGATTTGTCAGACTTGAAAAGTGAAAGTTAATTTACAGTTAGCTTTTAGCCTTTTTGGGATAGTTAGACAAATCCTGATACTCCATCTGATAGTAGTGTGTGTCAATTTTATATACACCGGGGAAAACTCTGTTATAGTACTTAATGGTACAGTTTCATTTATCAAGTGTTTTCCAATAATTCCATTATTAGTGACAGCTAAAAAGTGACCCCATCAAATGAAGTGAGTGACATTAGACTGTGGCAGAAAAAACCACATCTGGATTGCTTTCTGTAATTCACCAGTTTGAAGAAAGTAATTCTTTGATTTGTTCATAATATACTGAAATTGCCTATAACACTGGTGCAGTAAAACAGCTAATTCCTCTGTATTGTTACGGCAGGACAGATTTTGTAATATAAAGTTAACAGGAAGAAATGCTCACATATTATGTGGTGAAACTTATTTCACCACAAAAAAAAAAAAAAAAAAAAAAAAAGCATTAAATAAAGGGGAAAAGGAAAAATAAACCATGCAGAAGAGACATGTCCCTATCTCCACCTGTATCCTATGGGCTCACTCACTGCCATACATCACTTGCCATACTATCAAGTGACTTCTTTCTGCTTTGGTGACAGATGGTTCAAGTGGAAGATCTTCTCCAAGAAGTTCTGATTCTCCACCTTCATCACCTAGTGGATGATAAGTTAGATTAACATGGGAAATATAGAACTATTTGAATTACATAATGCTCATGGTTAGCCTATGCATAGATGCACAAAACTTGTCTGACTTCCATTGCAGAAAAACAGTAAAAGAAATACCATAAGTCAGAATCTTCACCCACTCATGCAAGTCATTACAGAGCTTTGAAAAGGTTTATTCGTTTTCCCCTATACTTACAAAAACGAGTTCACCATAGTATGTTGGTAAGACATTGCAATACATCTGCACACTGATGTTAACAGAAAAGGGAAGCTAAGACAACAAAGCTGTCCAAATCTGTGTTCATCCAAAATGGACAGCTGGGGCTGGAGATACAGTTCACTAGAAGAGTGTTTGCCCTAAGTTTGATCCTCAGAAGGCTGAGCCAGCCTCAGCAAAAGTGATGTGCTAAGCAACTCAGTGAGACCCTGTTTCTAAATGAAATAAATACAAAATAGGGCTGGGGACGTGGCTCAGTGGTCAAGTGCCCCTGAGTTCAATCCCCAGTACCAATAACAAAATAAAAGAATTAAGATTAAATAATGCTATAAGTGTGCACAAAGAGACAGAGCACACAAACTAACTAAATCCCAAATCCAAACAGTTTATTAAATCAAGTGACAGAAGAAAAGTTCTTCAACGGAAGATAACCCATTAAAAGTCTCCCTGAAAGACAGCAAATTCATCACCTGCTAAACTAGGCTTTTCTTCCCATGATTTTCAGGTTTAGGACAGGTGATGAATTAACAGCATATGGTAAAGATTGAGAAACAAAAAAGGTTGGGGCAGTAGGGAGGCCACAGGTCCTCTGCAAGGTGGCTAAGTGAATGTGATGAATGAGGTAGTGGGCGCACTCACTCCTCTCCATGCTCACATCAGTTAACTTTTGTACAGAGCAGGGTTATTCTGACACAACCTAGTGACAACTTGTCTGGTGGGATGAATTCTTCAGCAAAATCCTAAAAATATGCATACCAAAGAACAAAGATATTCTACTGATGTTCTAAAATTTTCTAATGTGTCCACCTGAATTTCAGCTACACACAAAAAAATATAGAATAAAAAATAGAAATAGTGTAAGAGAAACAATCTTGATTATTTGCATCTTTCTTTGCAGGCCACTCCCTCCCTTATCCACCCCACTAATTTCTGCCCTTGTCCCACAAGAATGCCAAATCACAGAGATAAAATTCATTTTCTGAACTAAAAAATCAACATGGTTAGTATGTGAAAAAAAAAATTAGGCTTGGCTCTTAATAGCTGTTGAGACAAAAAGTTGTTGGTACTTGTTTTCTGAGTTGTTTTGAAGATTCTATTTTATCCTGTTTCCAACAGTCTCAATTCAAGTTACAACATTAAAAAAAATAAAGAACCGATGGAGATCTGTTTGTCATTGTTAAAATATTGCAGGAAATAAAAAAGGAAACAGAACAACAACAACAAAAAATTAATTTCATTTTTTTCAATATGACCCAAAATTTATTTATCGAAGTTAAAATACTTTGAAGTGTATACAAAATTGTAAAATAACTGATGCATTTTTCAATAAAGATATCCAACATAAAATGTAATAACAGAAGAAAACAAAGGATTCATCACTTTTGCTCCAATTTAAAGTCACCTTATTGATCGATACATCATGAAATCGATAGTTATACATCTAGGAAATTTACCAAAAGAGCTCTCTTCTACTGATGTGTATATTTTAATTTGTTTCATGTGGGTATCTCTCCCATTTTGGTGACTGGCTAGAACAGCAATCTGTATCATGAATGTTCGAGTTGGCTTCTTATGATTATCAGTTAAGGGAACATGAATCCAGCCATTTGGTTCTACCAATTCAAGTTGCTGAACTGGATGTTCACTAAATGAGGCTGGGACCCATCTGATTGCCAGTATGTTTCTAGACTGACATCTCGTAACTGATCCACTCCAAATCCCGGTTTGCAAGGTGAGAGTGACTAAACAGCTTGTGACCCAATTTCCCTTACTGTTCCAGTCCTTTCCAATTAATTGCTTAGGATCTGCACCAGGAGGTGTGTGTTTGGTCATTTTCTAAATATTACCTTCCAGACTTGGTTTGCCACAACTGAGGGTCTCAGGGATGGCGAGAGATCCACATCCCTCCCCACTCCACTTCTATGACAGCCTGGCTTCCCCAATGATGACTTAGAATGGGGGTCATAGCCCTTCCAATTTTTTTTTTGTATTTTATTTATTTTTTAGTATTTGGCGGACACAACATCTTTGTATGTGGTGCTGAGGATCGAACCCGGGCTGCACGCATGCCAGGCAAGCGCACTACCGCTTGAGCCACATCCCCAGCCCCAATTTTTTTTAATTCACTACAAAAATTAATTTATAAGCCAGGTGTGTGGCACAGCCTATAATCCCAGCATCTTCAGAGGATGAGACAGGAGGATTTCGAATTCAAAGCCAGCCTCAGCAACAGTGAGGCCCTAAGCAACTTAGTGAGACTCCGTCTCTAAATAAAATACAAAATAGAACTGGGGATGTGGCTCAGTGGTTGATGTCCCTAAGTTTAAATCCTGGCTCCCCCCAATCCCCCCAAATTTAATTTTATAACAGGGCACAGTGGTGCGTGCCTATAAACCCAGCAACTCAGGAGGCTGAGGCAGGGGGATTATGAGTTCAAAGCCAGCCTCAATAATTTATCGAGGCCCTAAGCAACTCAGTGAGATCCTCTCTCTAAACAAAATACCAAAAAGCGTTGAGGATGTGGCTCAGTGTCGAGTGCCCCTGAGTTCCAATACCCGGTAAAAACAAAACAACAACAACAAAAAAAACCATAATTAATTTATACTTAAAGACAAGTTTATTTTTCAGGCTGGATTACTAGAGATATTGCCAAATCTAGTTAAGCAATTTTTATGCTAGTCTCAGGAGCTACAATGGAAGGAATTTAGTGGAAATAGAAAAACTACAGAGATTTTACTAACATATTCTTTTTTTTTTTTTTTTTTTTTTTGGTACTGTGGATTGAACTCTGGGGAGCTTTTACCACTGAGCTACATCCCCAGTTCTCTTTAATTTTTATTTTAAAACAGTGTCTCACTGAATTACTTAGGGCCTTTGCTAAATTGCTGAATTGCTAAATTGCTTGCCTTGACTTGTGAGTCATCGGGATTACAGGGAGTGTGCCATCTTGTCAGGCTCTACCATATTCATCGTATGGTTCCAAGTGCCTGCTGTATTCCAAGAAAAATCTATAGAGATCATCCCAGCCAAGTGGAGTCCTTATCATTACTTTCTATAAAGAAATGCTGTACTATTAATTATTTAAAACATTTTGAAACTAATCCATTCCTGGCGATATTAACGGGATCAAATCAATTTCTAAGCATTACTTCTCCTTCCTTAAAATTATGTCTAGAAGCCTCTTGTATTAGATATTCTGTAAAATCTCTTGCATTAGATTTTACACTAGTTGCATATGGCACACTGTAATTTAAATGACCTTAAATTTTTACAGAATTCTTATCTAAAATAATAATCTATCACTGATCTATATTTTTATATTCTTTAAAAATCATTCAGTACTTTATGTTTGGAAGCTTTTCAAATCACTGAGATTTTTAGGTTAGTCTATTTATAGCTGGTAAATTCACATTGGCACGTTGCTTTACAGTTTACTAAGCACTACTCTTTTCCTCTGGATTTGCTGCCTCTGTTTGGAGTTCTGAGTGAATGGATCATTCTCTTTTGCCACATCCCACTAGGTAACAATTCTTCATCATGCTGCTTCTGTATTCCCACTGTCCCTACCTCACTCAGGTATTCATTTTTTTCTAACTTGCTTCCCTATCTTTTAAAAAAATTTTTTTTTAGTTGTAGATGGTCACAGTATCTTTACTCATCTTTATGTGATGCTGAGGATCGAACCCAGTACCCTTACACGTGCAAGGCAAGTGCTCTACCAATGAGCTAGCCCCAATGCTGCACTTCTCTTTAGTCTTGAACCTTCAATCCACCTTCCACACAGATCTAATCACATTGCACCTCTATTTAAAGGCCTCCAGCAATACTCCTTTTCTTGAAAGATAAAGTGAAAATCTGGTAAATAAAGGCCTCTCATAATCCAGTTCCTCCCTCACTTTTTAGACTAGAAATTCACACTTCTTTTCTACTCCATGTTCCTGTCATTTAAAAATGTTTTTTCTTCAGTTAAAATGGTTTTGCCTCTCTAAATTTTGGTCAAGACATTCTCTTACCTTGGAATGCCAATCCTCAGCCTTCCCCAGTCCATTCCCAACCTGATCCTTTAGACTAACACTATTCAGTGATGAGTCACTTCAAGCACCATTTCTTGACTTCCTTCTCTCCCCACCCATGGGAAGAACTGACTACTCTTTACCAGAGCATTTATAACATTTTAATACTGACATGTCCTCAGCCTGTATTGTTCTATAAGCTATTAGAGGGAGGCTTTATCTGACTTGTTTCCACATCTCAAAGTTAAGTCTGACATGGTAGATTATCAATTAATATACAAAAAGAAAACAACAGGTGAAATCACTTTTGATATGAGTGCTGCTTTATACAGTATTTTTATTTTCTTCATTTTGCAGGTGAGAAAACTGTAGTAGAATGATTTGCCCTGGGTCTTTAGATTCCAGGTCTTCACATGAAACTTAATGACCACTTCTTGCTATTTCTCATATTCCTTCGAACAAATACACTTTGGTATGAAAAGAAATGTGTGTGTATGTACATATACATACATACACAGAGGCAGAAAGAAGGCAAAAAAGAAATATACAATCCTTCTTCAAGCGAAGAATTTAAAGAGAATATCATAGAAATTATTATCAGAGTGGTTTCTATTTACTATGGCTGAAAGTCCACATTGCAGAACACTGTGGAAACTGAGCCCCCAGAACCAAAGACTTACCCATCCGGAAGTCAATGTAGCCCTCTCCTCCACTGATGACAAGCATAGACTTCAAGGGTGTCTGGCTGCTGGACTCCGGTGCAGATGGTCCTGCTTTATCACCTGTTAAATCTGTGCCACTACTGCCACTTTGTGGGCTAATGACTTGACCTATTTTACACAGGAGCAGAAGTACATATTACTTATATCACAGACGAGGACAGGGCATAGTATTTTATTCTTTCTCTCTGAATTTTTTCAGAGTTAAACAAACTGGCAAATACATGCTCAGTACAAAGTACTGGGGATGCTATAAAGTTCTGCATGATCAGAAAACAATGATTAGAAAGTCATAAGGTCTCAATCTGAAAATCTTTAAAAAAAATTTTTTTTTGTAGTTATAGATGCACAGAATGTCTTTATTTGTTTATTTTTATGTGGTATTGAGCATGGAACCCAGTGCCTCACACATGCTAGGCAAGCACTCTGCCAATGAGCCACAACCCCAGTCATTCAATCTTTCAATCTGAAGAGGAAATAGATCCAAAATCAGTGTAGGATATGTATGGCAAGGCGGGTCTTAGCTGCCTGTTTTCAAATTATTACAATCTCTACCTTCTGGTTTGAGGGACAGTAGAAAGGTCTCTCTCCTGAAAGGAAATGTTTGCATTTGTTTATGAGACAGAATAATCTTCAATTGAAGCCTTATTGATTTGCATATTTAAATTAATACTTAAATTTATTTCAAATCCATGGCCTTCCTTTCATAGTTAAGTATATCTTATTTTTAGTTTAGAGTATATAGATAAAATTGCTAATTGCTCCATTTGTTCTAAAGCTTTAGTTCTACAGTAAAACCCATGATCATGAAATGATAGATAAAAACCTTTAAATGTTATTCACACTGTGAATAAATGAATAGTCTCCAAGGCATCCCTTTTAGAAAGCTTTGACTATATACTTTTTTTCTTGCCAGAACCTGCTGTCTTTTGGTCAAACTACCCAGACCATGACTCCAGAAGCTAGCAGGACATTGTTATATGACATGATATACTCTAAATTAAAAAATTAATTTATCTTAAAAAAGTGTATAGGACAAGCCAGGCACAGTGGCACATGCTTGTAATTCCAGCAGCTCAAGAGGCTGAGATAGGAGGATCGCGAGTTCAAAGCCAGCCTCAGCAACAGCGAAGCGCCGAACAACTCAGTGAGACCCTGTCTCTAAATAAAATACAAAATAGGGCGGGATATGTGGCTCAGTGGTGGTCAAGTGCCCCGGAGTTCAATCCCCAATAACCCCCCCCCCCGCAAAAAAAAGAAAGTGGATAGGACAGTATGATGTATCCCTACAGGGCTTCATTAAGATCTGATTTAAGCATTTTCTAGAAGAAATCAAGCTTATTAGAAATAACTTATATTAGTAGACTAGTTAGTTCTGCTTCAGAAGCAAGGATATGAAGGTATGACAAGGATAAACACGATGGTTGGGGCTGTGGTTGTAGTGCCGCACATGTGAGGCACTAGGTTTGATCCTCATTACCACATAAAAAAATAAACAAAAACAAAACAATGGTATGATAAGGATAACCAAAATTCTTTAATCTTTAGGGCCAACTGGCTTCACATGTACATGTACACACACACACACACAAATGTTGCCAATTCTACTTTTAAATTTATACCCAATAGAAAAGTCTTATACATATGCATAAGAAGGACCATCATTTTTTTTAAATGTCTTTTTTTTTTTGGTACTTTTTTTTTTTTTTTGGATTGAACCCAGGGGGCACTTTGTCACTAACCTTTCTATTTTTTATTTTGAGACAGGGTCTCACTAAGTTGCTTAGGGTCTCTTGCTAAATTGCCGAGACCGATCTTGAACTTGTGATTCTCTTGCCTCAGCCTCCCAAGTTGCTGGGATTATAGAAGTGTGCCACAATGCCTGGAAGTATTTATTTACCTTTTAATGGTATTATGATTTTGGTTTGTATTTTTTTGGGGGTTGGGGGTACCAGGGATTGAACTCGGGACCACATGACCAATTTTGTATTTTATTTAGAGACAGTATCTCACTGAGTTGCTTAGCGCCTCGTTGTTGCTAAGGCTGGCTTTGAACTCACAATCCTCCTGTCTCAGCCTCCCCAGCTGCTGGAATTACAGGTGTGTGTCACCGCTCCCGGCAATGGTATTGTTTTTAATACTGAAAAAATGGGAACAGAAACGCAGCAGCTCATCAATTGGAGAATGAATAAAACCAAACACATTTATTTAGACATGCAAATATTATGATTAAGTAAATAAACTTGATTTTTATGCAAAAACATGGACTTTATATTTTCTAAATTTCTTTATATTTTCTAAAAAAGAGAAAATTCTGTTAGTTGCCTATACACGCATATACATTCTGTACATGCCTATGATCACAGCCACTTGGGAGGTTGAGGCAGGAGGATCCCAAGTCTGAGGCCAGACTGGACAACTCAGCAAAACTCTGTCTCAAAATAAAATTAAAAAGGCTGGGGATATATATATCTCAGTGGTAGTGCTTGTCTAGTATGTGCCAGGCCCCAGGTATCAAGTACCACAAAAACACAGAAAAATCTAAAACACCATTATCACAATGTTCATTCTAGGAATTTATCCTAAGAAAATGACTGAGGCTAGCTTTGAACTCATAAATGTACAAATGAGGTTTCAGGAGGTTCATTATCATGTGAAGAATAATTGAACAACTGGTTGGACTACCATATGCCAGCTCTTGTCTTATGTACATTTAATCATTTAGTCTTTGGAACATCCTTGGGACATGTGATCATTAATTTTATGCGTCATTTTGGCTAGATCAATGGGTCCAGATATCTGGTCAAATACCAGATATTGCTGTGACAGTATTTTAAAGATATGCTTAATGTTTAAAGTAAAGCCCTTCATTATGTAGGTGGTCTCACCTAATCAGTGAAAGACTTAAAAGAAAAATACTGAGGGCCCCTGACTGGTTTCAAATTTAGATGCAACATCAACTCCTCTCTGGGTCTCTAACCTGCTGGCCTGCCCTACGGATTTCAAATTTGCCAGCCACATGAGCCATTTCCTTAAAAACTCTCTCCACATACCCCCAACTCTCCACACATGTTGGTTTTCTTTCTCTGGAGAACAGTGACAAAAACACAAAAACACTATTATTTCTACGTTACACAAAGTCAGATTTGAACTTTTTTTGGTATAGGGAATTGAAACCAGAGTGCTTTACCCTGAATTATATCCCCATACCTTTTAACTTTTAATTTTAAGATAGGACATCACTAAATTGCTGAGGTTGGCCTTGAGTATGCAATCCTTTCCACGTTTCGAAGATTACAGACCCGTGCCACTGCATCCTGGCTCAAATTTGAATTATATCTAACTCCTAAACTTCCCTTTTAGGAGAAAAAAAGTTAAAAAACATGGGTGAGTAACATAATTTTTAGTATTCCCAATGGACAGAACTTTTTTTTTCCCCTGAATATCACTACTACCATGTTGTCTGAATTGTGTTTTACAAATTCAAATGGAATTTTCACAAAAAAAGGAAGTGGGTAGGCATCCATTCAGGAGACAAGGAAACAACTATCAGAGGTTTAAGTGACTTGCTCAAGGTGAGTGATGGAGAAGGAGAACCCACATTCCCAGGCAACTAGCTCATCCTTAATACAACACTGCTAAAGGCGCCAGAGCACATTCCCCATTTCTTCTTGCATGTGGTCTGGATGACAAGAGGCTAGTGATTTCCTTCATAAGTCAAGACTATCTTTGGCAGTCTATGTGGCAGATTACCCCTGCTTTTCAAAAGTAAGCAAGTATCTTAAATAAAAACAAAGGAATTTGGTTTTGGGGGGGTGGGGAGAGATTGCAAAATAACTTCATTCAAGTACCCTATAGCACTTTTATCATACGTCATCATAGAACTTCTTTCATGTGTTATATTGAAATTGCCTATAATTCTAGTACTTAGCTTTAGACTAGGTGGTGGAACCAAGAGACCTAAAAGCAACATCTCAATGGAATAATCTAACTTACCTGGGACTGCCACAAAGAATTTCACAGCATCCCGGTGTCCATGGAAGCAAAGCTGTGCATGTGCCATTGAACAATAGGGTATAAATGTTCCTGGAGTCACTTTATCGCTGTTTTCATCACCATATACACGGATTACACTGCCAGGACGATTTCCTGTTGCTCCTGAGGTTTTATTTGCTGCAATTAAAAAAAAAAAAAAATCAAATGCCAACTATTTTTTTCCTAGAAGACAGTAATAATGCAAAAGGTTACTGGTTAATCCTTATGATATTATCTAAAAGCTACAGCCAGTTGAGGTAAAACAAGGGCAGCAACGCCAATTCAAGGCAAAGCTGGAAAAAAGAGATACATAGCATGCTAGTTATTTTTAAGTACCTCAGTAAATGGAGTAGGGGATTTTGCCAGTCTAGCAACTAAACTTATGTTTTAAACACATCAATTGATTTTTTAAAAAATCAGTTTAATTATCCAAAGAAAATGGATTTGATTCTTAGGTGTATCTGTTTGGTTTATTTTTTTTTAAGTCCTCATTAAAGGAATCTAACTATTATGTAGTCTAATAGTTTTTCTTCTTATTTTTCTCCCCCCTGTAAGAATATGTCCCTTGAGAGGAAATGCTGTTTAATAGAATCCAGCCACAACCACAGAGTAGCTTCACTTACATCAGACTAATGGTTTGCTGGGTTACTACAGAACAACCAGACTCACAAAACATCCCCATTCCACCAGTAAGTGAATGAAAGAAACATGGTTGGTAACAAGAGTAAACAATGTAGATTAATAACAGTTTTAAGACATGTTTCATGTTTTTATTGGAAGGAAAAACAAAGTCTGAAAGAAAGTTCAGCTGCAACAAAAGATGATAAATACACTAAGCTGCTGAGCAGTTGGTGGCCATGTAACAAACGTTAAAAAAAAAAAAAAAAAAAGTCTGCTGCAAGGCAGTGACTACGAGTGGGTGACATTGAAGAACATTCAAAAGAGTTTCTAGAGAAGAGGGAACAGCCTCACAGTGGCTGAGAAGCCAGAAAGAAGAGTTTGGTTCAGGATCTGCACTTACCCCTCAGCCCCAGTAAACGTCCCTGGTGGAGGATTACGGCTAAAGTGAGAAAGGAGGAAAGGGGACATGGAGAGGCGCATGACAGGGAGGAGAGGCATTACTGTGAGCCATCACTCTGAGCATCTTCTATCTGGTCCCCAACAAAATTAATAATATCCAACTTGGCATAATACCAAGTAACAAAGTTCTCACCAATGCCTCTACAGAACATCTCTGCTCAAAAAGCACAATTTGATTTACTATGATTTTGATTTCTTTAATCATAAAGCCACTTTTGTATATCCAAATAAAAATCCAAGAGCTTGATGTGAAATATTTCCTAACTGCTAAAATTTCCCCTTTATTTTTTCTTCTCTTCTGTGTATTTTAAAAAGAAACTAATTTAAATACATTAAAATGCAACTCCCATGAAGAATTGGAATGAAACCCAAGGATCCTGGACTATTTAGGATATGAAAAGCAATATGAATACATAGACTTGTAAGTCACTGAAGAAGATACACTTGGGATCAAGAACTTGAGTTCTTTCAAGGCTCCAAATTCTCCTTCTAGTCCTCTTTCCTCCCCTTTCCCTAAGAAGGGGTAGGGTGACTGTAACTCTGAGGTCTGTATTTATTAACTTATCTTATGGTATTTTTTTTCCCAAAACCATTCCCTGCTCATGAATTCTGCAACACAAAAACACTTAATGCATGACTGATGTAATGGAACATCACATGAGAAATACACAAGGCACACTTTGCTCACAAAAATAATAAATCAAATTATTTTCAAGCAGAAGATTTTTTTTTTTTTTGTACAAAGAAAGGCTTGCTGACCTCTTGAGGAACTTCTTCCACAACTTTTTTTAAGCCTCAAATACAAGAAATGGGACATGCTGGACTATTTACTGGCCTAGGAGATAGAAAACTATGACAAACAATAGGCAGTGTTCATGGATACTGGTATACTAAAACTGAAGAAAACTGGACTTAAACTTTTATTTCAAAAACAAAATAGGGCTGTGATTCCTGAAATGAGAAAAAGAGCTTCTTACAATGAAAAACTTAATTCTGAAACTGGTCCTGCTCTTCTCTCTCTAGAGTTTATACATTTCATACAAAGAGTGAAACATCAGCTTGATTTTCTGAGTTACTACTTATTTGACAATATCTAAACAATCCCTCTATCTGTGTGTTCTGGACATGATTATTTTCTACAATTCTCCTATTTGTCCTGTGACAATTATCTAAAAATGTACTTACTTTCTGTCAATGGGATGGAGATAATGACACCATTTCCTGTCCCCACCCACAAACGATTGCAAGACACCATAAGAGCTGTAATCCTCACAAAAGAGAAGCCCAATTTTCCAGTACCTGTAAGGGGGGTGGAAAGGAGTACATTTTACTGAGAAACCAAAGCAGACCAAATTTTAGATTTCAAATCCCTTAGAATAGGTGGATTAATACAACAGAGGAAAAAAAAAATGTGACCAGAGCTAGATGAATGTTTGCTGAAGGTGCACATCAAAGCAAACTCTTATTAGCCTTATCATCAATCTGACAAGTCAGGGTTAATGGAAAAAAGAAAATTCTAAAAGTACCTGGCATTATATTATCATCCAGAAGGAAGGTACGCAGGAAATAAGATATATCAGGAAATATGATACAGAATTTAATTAGGGAGCTACAAAACCCCAACAAAAAAACAGTTTACTAGTTTGGGAAATCAAATGTCCTTTGGTTTTACAAGCTGAAGAATTTTGATTTGCTTTAAATTTGTGTGGATAAAAACAATCTTTGCTAACAAAATTTATACTTTTCCTTTGTTTATAAATTTAGATTCTAAAGTAGTTTAGATATATTAGGATATCATCTATAAATAATTTAGGGAGAAAGAATTTTTTTTTATTTTAAAAGAATTTTATAATTATAATAATTTTATGTAATTGTATAACTTATTTTCAAAAGAAACTAATTTAAATACATTAAAATGCAACTCCCATGAAGAACTGAAATAAAACCCAAGGATCCTTGACTACTTTAGGATATGAAAAGCAATATGAATACGTAAACTTGTATGTCACTGAAGAAGATACACGGTTATCAAAATGATTAAATAGATAATACACTGAAGACAAATACCATAAATCACTCATAAATTCTACTCATAAGAATTTGAGGGCCTGATCATAGAATCAGTGTAGAAAGGAACTTTTAACTCTGATTCAGCCTAAGCTGGGAATCTTTAACCTATAGTCAAGAGTACATCTTTATAGTTAGAGTGTTTGTTTCCACATGCCTGACTATAGGGCAAGGAAACACAGTTGAGTCATGTTCTCCTAGGGCAATGATTCTAAAAGGCTAAAAGCCACTGATCTGGCTCAAACTTTCTTCATGAAATAGTCCTTTATGATATTCCAAATAAAAATACAGCACTGGATTAGGTGCTAAAAATACAGCAGAGCACAAGACAGAGATGATCCCTGCCCTTCACAGGGGTTACAGTCTATGGAGAAAGATAGTAAACAATAACCATGTAATACCCATATAAGCACAATGATAAGCCTGTGAAGAAAAAAGACACAAATAGAGATCTTTTCTGAATTGGACACAGGCTATGACCTGAAAGCTAAGTAAAAAAGAGAGCAAGAAGAACTTGCTACAGCATATGTGAGGGCCCCAAATGGGAAAGCACTTGTTGAGCTGAGGGTCAGTGTGAGCAAAAGAGAGTCTGAAAGGAAAGTGGTCCAGACCACGTAAAGTCTTCTGCTTATGGGACAAAACGTCACCTCCCCTAAAGAGAAGAGTGGAGGAGTATCAGGGCAATTTTTGCAAGCTGGTTTCTATGCAGAAAACAGACAGTGGAAACATGGAGATCAGTTAGGAGGTACATGGTTATCAAGTGGGGAACATGGTAGAGATAAAGAACTGATTTAAGGTCTATTTAGATTTGACAGAGTTCTTGGCGATGGACTGGAGGTAGAAAGCATGAGAGGAGTCAAAGACATTCTTAAGCTTTGGTCAAGAACCACAAGGTCAACTGGAACATCTGCTGAATACTTTCAATAATAAGAATTCACCATTCCTGGGAAACTTATTCACTGGTCTACTTAGATCATGTTTATAAATCAGGGTTGGGAATGTAGCTCATTTAAACATAAATCAGGTTGGGAATGTGCTTTCCCTAGCATGTGCAAGGCTCTGGGGTCAATCCCTAGCACTGCAATCAATCAATCAGTCAGTCAGTCAATCAATAGGGCTGAGGATGTAGCTCAGTGGTAGAACATCTGCCTATCATGCCCAGAGCCCTGGATTTGATCCCCAGCACCACAAATAAATAAATAAACCTTCTCTTTCATTGGCAAAGAGAAAATGCTATGGAAGCTTACCTAACATTTTGCTTACATAAGGCTCAATGTCCACATCCTGTAGATGTTGGTAAGTGTGTGCATGATAGAGACGAAGTGTGGAATCCAAACGAATGGAGACCCACACACCGTCACCCACCCATGCAAGCTGCCGCACTTGGCTCTCCTTCCTGGGATGTGCATCAAATGATTTCTAGGAGAGATGTTCAGTCATAGTTACTTTGTTACATAGAAGGTCATGTTTAAAAACTCTGCTAATCTGGACAACAATTTGGAGACTATTCATTAAAAGAGGAGCCTAGGGGCTGGGGTTGTGGCTCAGTGGTACAGCGTTCACCTAGCATATGCAAGGCCCTGGGTTCGATCTTCAGCATCACATAAAAATAAATAAATAAAATAAAGGTATTTTTTTTTAAAAAAAGGGGAGCCTAGTTATCTTAATATGATTACCCTCATATACACAATTTCTTTCATCTTGAATGCAAAATACACATATACATAAACAAAATAAAAATTAAAAGGAGAATAAAGAATCAAATGGCATTGAGCTTTAGCACTGTAGACAACGTAACTTTATGAAAGTAATGCTGGTACCTCCATACTGTGTGACAGTGTTCAACAGAAAGATTGTGACTCTCAGGATTTTGTGTTGCTATAGAATAATAAATGAAGCAATATTCTATTTATAATTAAACAAAAAGGAATCCACAATGTTGTATAAAAAATAGAGATGAAAAATAAATAACATTTTGGAACTTCCAGAAAGGGAATGGGATTTGGGGCTGGGAGGAGAAATTTCACCTTAAAAAAATTTTCCTGCTATAAATAGCTTTTAAAAAAACCTATTAATAATAAATTTATATAGTGTGTCAAAAACATTTTAGGAAAGCAATAATACGAGCCTTTTGTTTTAACAACAAATTCTCACTGTAATGCTATTTCTCAGTTTGTGATATACATGAGGATGTGCCTGGATTTACATGGAGTGGTGTGTGGAAACTTGGGAATCCTCTCAACCAATCCTTCCATAGTTAAACGATCATGCATCAAGTATTCAAATAAAACACACATACATCTATGGATATAAACACAGGCATACTTTAACATTCATGTGTGAATCTTCTTTAAAAAACAACAAACAAAACAAAAAACCCCACCCATTTCCCAACCTTATAGTCAAAAGAGGCAAAAGAGCTGAAATATCACGGAAAGCTAAGACATCCAAAAATAATACTAATGTGTCCCTAAAACACACAGATTCAGAAAACAATCTCTATAGAAACTGAAAAAAAAAAAAATAGTCTTCTAGTCTTTGGATAATACAAATTCACAAAGTACAAAAAAAACCAGATTTAAACTTGCCTCTATTTTCATGGCCTTTGGCTGAACCACATAGATTTTGTTTCTGTAGCCACACCAGACTTTGTCGTGTACCACAGTCATACATCGTATGGAATGGTGAGGCCGTCCAAGGTCTAAGAGATGATAGTTTGATAAGTCCCACTGTCCGTCTTGAAGATAAGAAAAAATTTATAGTTAATAATGCATATTACCTCTGATTGATAAAGCACTCAAATTGTGTGTATTGAGTAAACCTTTTATCTTATCCATACACTGCAAAATTCAAAGCTATCTCAAAGGTCATTTAATCCAACCAGCCACTCAATACTTGGGGCCTCTTTAAAACATGTTTTCTGGTGGATGTGGTGGCACACATCTATAATTTTAGCTATCTGGGAGGCTGAGGCAGCAGGATTGCAAGTTTGAGGACAGCTGTGGAAACTCAGTGAGACCCTGTCTCAAAATAAAATAAAAGGGGTTAGGGATGTAGCTCAGTGGTAGAGTAATTGCCTACCATACATGAGGTCCTGGGTTCAACTCCCAGTATTACAAAAAAATTAAAGTCAATAAGCTGGGTGTGGTGGTGCATGCCTATAACCCCAGCAACCTGGGAGGCTGAAACAAGAGGATTACAAGTTTGAGTCCAGCCTCAGCAACGCAAGAGAGATTCTGTCTCAAAATTAAGAAGGAAAAAAAAAAAAAAAAAAAAAGCAAGGGATATAGCTCAGTGGCAGAATGCCCCTGGGTTCAATTTCTAGTACCAAAAAATAAAAGTAAATGCTTCCCAAAAGCAATGATGTGATAAATTAGTTACAACTTGTTATGATGTTTTTAGAATTAGAACGAACTTTAAAACTAGTGTGTAGCTCAATGGTAGAGTGCTTGCCTTACAATCCCTAACACCAAAGAGAGAGAGAAAAAGACAGAGAGACAGAGACAGAGGGAGCACATGTGAAAATGAATTTAAGGTTATTTTGGGGATAATATCTGATGGGCATCTTGATGTATTTTCCTGAGTAGAAGATGAGGGCAATTCATTCTAACACTTTAGTAATTGTGAATATAGTATGAGTATTCTTAATCTAAAAATCTGAAATCCAAAATGTTCCAAAATCTAAAACTTGATTGCCAACATGACTAGTATGTAACCGTCCATGGTCCATATTTTGCCCAGTTAAACAGAATCAATACAGTCCTAATTTCTTTGTTAAGCTCTGTCTTGTCTTTTCAACATCAAGCATGTTTTTCTTTTGGTACCAGGGATTGAACTCAGAGGCACTTGACCTCTGAACCACATCCCCAGTCCTATTTTGTATTTTATTTAGAGACAGGGTCCCACTGAGTTGCTTAGCACCTCACTTCTGCTGCTGGGGTGGCTTTGAACTTGGGATCCTGCTGCCTCAGCCTCCTAAGCCGGTGGAATTACATGTGTGCACCATTGCACCTGGCTCAACATCAAGCATCATTTGAATGATGTTTGTACCTATCACAGTTTACAGATCTTTATCTTAATTCTCCTGTGTTGATACCCATTGCATAAGTTATTTGGTCAAGCAAAGCAGGATCACCATAAGCACTCTTCTGTACACTTTATTTCTATGAAGTTTAAAATGTTAATTACCTCCTATTGAGTTTATAGTTAACCTTCATGTAATTCTCACTCTTCAGACATGTCTTTCCCATCTTGCTCTTCTGATATCAAATGTAGGACTTTGTGCTGGTCCTTAACTAAATAAATGTATTTTGTCTTATTCTATCAATATAATTTTAGATTCAGTTTATTCAAAATATTTATTATGTGATTATTTTCTAGGCTCTTTTACTTAACTAGTTGAGGGACCATGAATAAACAGGTGACTAAAATGCTCTGCACCTCAGTTTCCTAATCTATAAAACAAGGATAACAATAGAATATTGCTCATAAGATGTTGTGAGGAATAAACAGAAAATTTCATAAAGGGCCTCTGAAATAAAATAGGACCCTATCTCTTTGATAACATGGAGTTATTAACCAGCAATATCTAGGTACTGTTTGGTTACAAAGGTACCTAAGTATCAGCTACCTAACATATCTCTAAGCTCAAAAAGATATATGATATTTTGAGAAAGTGCTTTGATAAAACTCAAAAGCAGTGTATAATATTTCCCTGATCTACCACCCTACTGGGTAGGAAATGAACTATCATTTTTGGTTGACACATGTACAAAGGAGTAATAAAGTGATACATACTCAATTCTCTTAATCTAACCCATTCAATATAAGTTTTCTGATACCATCACCCCTTCACCTGAAGTGGCAAAAACAGTGGCTTTAAAGGGGAATATAACTGAGTATGATGGCACATGCCTATAATCCCAGTTACTTGGGAGGCCAAAGCAGTAGGATGGCAAGTTCAAGGCCAGCCTGGGTAACTTAGTGAGACCCTGTTTCAAAATAAAGAATGAAAAGGGTTGAGGATGTAGTTCAGTGGTAGAGTATCCTTGGGTTTTCTCAGTATCAATCAATCAATCAATCAAATAAAATAAAACAGAAATATAAGATATAAAAATATTAAACCTTAAAAAAATAATTTTTAATAAAAACTTAACAAATATATGCCAGGTGCAGTGGTGCATGCCTGTAATTCCAGCTGCTAGGGAGGCTGAGGCAGGAGGATCCAGAGTTCAAAGCCAGCCTCAGCAAAAGTGAAGTCCTGAGTAACTCAATGAGACCTGTCTCTAAATAAAATACAAACTAGTGCTGGGGATGTGGCTCAGTGGTTGAGTGCCCCCGAGTTCAATCCCTGGTACCCCTCTAAAAAAAACAAATAAACAACAACAACAACAAAACTTAACAAATATAAGTAGATGCATATCATTTTTAAGCAGGACAAATGAAAAAAATAATACTCACAAAACTTCTTTCTAGTAAATGTATAAATGCAAAACAAAAGCCTCCATATTTATTATATGAGTACCAGAAAATGCTAAACTACTTGCTCACTATGGTAAATATATTTTCCATGAGTCATACTGCTCATGCATATCTCCATGAAGACATTCGTATTTACTGATGTTTATTAAGTATCACGTCTTTAAAATATTACTAGCTGCAAAGGGCATTGGCGCACACCTGTAGTCCCAGTGACTCAGGAGACTAAGAGAGGAGTATCACAAATTCAAGGCCAGCCTTGGCAATTTAGCAAGGCCCTAAGCAACTTAGGGAGACCCTGCATCAAAATAAAAAAAGTTTATTTTTTTAAACTATAAAAGATAAAGCTTATACATTATCTATTCATAACTCACCAACTCCTCTGTGAAAGATTGCGAGGGTGCCATCAGCCAGGGCCACTAACACAATTCCTTTCACGTGTCTGCAAACAGGAAAAGAGATTTCAGAATCTCTACTGAGGAAAAACCACATGCCACTGCATTAGTGCTGAGCCTTTCAAAGCACCATTATATGACAAGATAAGGAGATTACACAGAACATAAATGAACATACTTTTTCTTCTTTTTTTTTCAGTACTGGGGATTGAACCCAGGGATGCTCTATCACTGAACTAGATCCCCAGATCTTAGGTTTTATTTTGAGACAGGATCTTGCTAAGTGGCCTGGAACTTGCAATCCTCCTGCTTCGGGCTCCCAAGCCACTGGGATTACAAGCCTATACCACCATGTCCTGCCACACTGCTTTCTTCATTGTGAATGTCTTGCTATGCAACAATGTCGTCTGAACTAAATAAACGGCATGTGTGCTATCTCAATTGTTTCACTTTCTGGGCAAACCTCTTTCTCTCACTGCAGATAGTCAAGATGATTCTACAAGTCAAAAAACACACTCTTTGAGTGGAACTAACAGAGTCACTCAACTGAGAGATAAACTGTCAGATCTTTGATAGCCAACATATAGAAAAGAACTAGCAAATTAATCCCCCAACATACATATTCACAAACTATAAGGAATATTGCAAACAAACAGAAATTAATAAGCACTGATTCTCTCCTGGAAATACTGAAGAACTCCCAGTATGGTGACAAATCAATCTGCCAAGTTAAGGTTTTCCTTCTACATAAAAGTTTTCTTTTTTATTTTCTATTATAGACTTTTTCACTCTAAAATCTAGTTTATACCAAAATATGTAGTTTTTCAAGGAAGAATTTCAAAAATAAAACTTACACAATACTGAGAATCGAATCTTTAAGTTTAATGGAATGGAGGCATTTCCTCCACTGGGCTACAGATGAATGGACATACAAACTGCAGAAACAAAGTGAAGACTGGTAAGGCATAGAAAATATCACATTGTTGCTTATTTCTAGTAGTGACCACAAAATTCAATCAAGAGGAAAGAAGAGGACCATTCAGATTTGACATAAAGGTGCTGCTGCTTTTATGCAATAGTCAAAAAACAAAAATGACAGTCAGGGTTAGCTTCAGAGAAATAGGCTGCTCAAGCAAAAAGAAACAACTGGAGTCTGAAAATCATTCAGACTAGTGTTTAATGTTGGAGTATCAATCAGCTTCAACTAACTTCAGCTTGCCCCACAAATTTTTAGCTAAAACCCTTGAATTATCTTAAACTGTCTGCTACTTTTAGGTGACAGGGTGGTGCACATCAGAGAGTGGCTAGCTTAGTTTAATTCATTTGATACAGGTTTTCTGATATGATCACTCCTGGCCAAACCCAGCCTGACACTTTAGTCTGAAAACTAAGAAGTTTTTCTCTTTTTAAATGGTTAGAGGAAAAATTAAGAGAATTTTGTGACATGTGAATTTGAAATGGAATTTAACTTTTGGTGTCCAAAACGTTCTATTAGAACACATTTACACATGTTTGCTGATCCCTCCTTTTATATTAGACCCCTGTGGAAAAGACACACAAGTGATCCTGCTCAACCTCTAGAAACGCACAGGTTTGTAAGATTCTCTACAATATTAGAAAATGAACAAGCCTTGTAATGTTAGTTATTATCCTCTGAGCTTTCAAACTATGATTTTTTTCTGTTTTTTCTAGTACATGCTTGGGATTGGGCTTTCCTGAAACCAGACACATTAGTTCAATCAATAGTATTTCTTGCCAACATAAACCTATGTACACATTCTATACATCCATAATTCTTTATTTTTGTGCTCTTCAGGATCTTCTAGAGAACCCAGACTTTAAAATCTTATTTACCTCTTCTCCTAAGAATATTATTTAAAGAGAATACTCTATAGCAAAAATAATATAGTTTACCTTTCATAACCAATCCAAGTTCAGTTTGTGAACAAAACTTGAAATTTTTGTGTATACCAAATTCTTTGTATTAATATACACTTTGTGTTTACACCATTTTATTCATTTTTCTTCTGCTTTCAAAAGTAAAAGTAAAGGATTAAATATACTGTCATAGTCAAAGTGCTGGCACTTACCAGCCATTTTGAGCTCCAAGCCACATGGTTGGTAAAAGACTACTCATTTTCTGAGCTTCTTCTCTCACCAGGTCTTGTTCATTTGGCAATACTGATACTTGATCTTTATACACATCTGAGTCATTACTGTGAAAGAGGGAACAAGAAAAAAATTAGTACACTTACCTATGATTTTTAGGAGACTGAACATTTCTATATAATGTGTGCATTTTTTAAAATGTTTTAGGTGGACACAATATCTTTATTTTTATAAGGTGCTGAGAATCGAACCAAGTGCCTCACACATGCCAGGTGAGCGCGCTACCTCTTGAGCCACATCCCCAGCCCCTATAATGTGTTTTTAAAAAGTTTTTATTTATCTTATTTTTTGTGGTACTGAAGATTAAATCCAGGATCTTGCTAGGAAAGTGCTCTGATACTGAACTTTCTTTTGTTGCTGTTGTTAAACTTTGAGTCTTGCTAAATTGCCTAGGCTTGTAACCTATACGCCTGAGCCTCCCAATCAGCTGGGACTATAGGTGTGCTCCATCATTCTGACTTCTACATTTAAGTTTATCACTGGTCTTAAAAAAAAAAAAAAATTGAACAGTAAAATTCCAAAAAGCCAATGTTAAATAGTTATATTAAATATTTCAAGCTGGGTGCAGTGGCACACGCCTGTAATCCTGTGGCTTGAGAGGCTGAGGCACAGGATCCCGAGTTCAAAGCCAGCCTCAGCAAAAGCGAGGCACTAAGCAATTCAGTGAGACCCTGTCTCAAAGTAAAATACAAAACAGGGCTGGGATGTAGCTCAGTGGTCAAGTGCCCGTAAGTTCAATCTCTGGTACGAAAAAAACAAAAAAATTCAACAAGTATACCAAAAACCTTAACCCAGGAGTTTTAAAGTGCAGATAAGGGAGTAAGACATGGTAATGAAATTCAGCAGATAATGCACAGATTATAATTATGGGTCTCCTTTATAGTTATTTTGAATTTTACAACAGTTTCTTCTGGGGAGGAAAAGATACACACACACAAAAATTAAAAGAGTTTTCTAAAGGAAATTAAGCTGAAATATGCTTGTATTCTAACATAAAACTTTTCTTTTGAATTGTTAGGAAAAATTAAGTAAAGGATATACCTGGACTACCAAATTAAAAATGTGACTTTATTCTAAATTAACAATTAAATGTTAATGAATGATTTGTTCTGGTTTGAATGTTAGTAGACTTTTGGTTGCTCTACACACTGAGAAAAAATTCAGTTTCAAAAGACCCTCACCTAAGGGCTTCTAGAGAAGGCAAGAAAGAAAATGAAATAATTTACTAAATGGGACTGAATTAACCAATGCTTTAAAGGAAAAGCCTGTTTTCTAAGAAAATGTTTATATGATAACTAAATTCAGAAAGGTCATTCAAGCTCATGTGATGGGAGTATGAGTGAGAATGGGGATGGGAATTTAAATGACCAAGAATTAATAGTAGAATGGAAAACATAATATAATTTAAAAAGACAAAAAACAGGAGAATATGACCAGGAAGAGTTTGAATTGATGGACAAGATTTTTTTATATTGGAAAATACCCAGAAGAAATGAAGGGAAAAAAGTATCCAAAGAGAATGAAGAGAAAGGAAAAGATGAAGATACAGCAGGAACAGGCAATAACATCATTCAGACCACAACACTGATGCCAATTAGCAGGAATGTTTTGGCTACTTGAGGTTATTGTGGTTCCTTTTAGTTGTGCTCTTTACCCAGTTTTCTAAGTTAGTGACTTAGGAAGTATACCTTGACTGATAGACTGGAGAGAGGTCTTCTGGGAGCTGAACTCCTAAAGGATCTGTAAAGACATGCTCTGTGTATACACCAGGCTGGGAGATGTCCACAGTGTCTTCAGTGGATCCTGCATTGCCTTCTGTGGCTTCAGTTGCTTCTTCTGCTGTTGGAACATTTTCATCAACCTCACTATTTTCCGCTTCCATTTCTATAAAATATATAAAGCACTCTGAGTTTGAACTTTTCCACGCCAATGCTTTCCCCACACAAATTCCTGCTATGGAACTCCACTCCATTGATCCTCTCTTTGCATTGTATTATGGAACTGAGCAGGTAACAGTCAATATGGCATCTTCTTCACAGCTCTTTCATTGCAAATTTAGGATCAACAAGTCCCTAATGAGGCATCTGGGATAGGATCAAACTCCACAACACATGGCAGGTAAGAGCAGACATACCTGGTGGTTTGTCTATCACTGGTGAAGCACCATTGGTACTAGGAGAAGTGGCAGTTCCTGTCACACCTTCTGTGGAGCAACCAACCACTGTGATGCCTCCCAACAAGCTATCTGTCTCTGCTGAGCTGTTGCTTGTCATGCTTCCACATAAAGATGCTTTGTCCACCTGACCAGATTCTGAAAGTTCTTCTCCTGCAGGATAGTCTGTTTCTCGGGCTCCTGGAAAATAAGATAAACTTTAATAGTTAAGTAAACTCCTATAAACAGCACTTCCCCGCCCCCCATTAGTCACTTGAAGCTTAAGGTGAAAATGTGCAGGTGATATACATTGCCAAACTGGTAGCATTAAAAATAGGAAATTGACTGAAAAAGTAAAATAATATAGCTAAAACTAATGAAAATTTAAAAATATAAAAAATATAGCTATTAAGGCGAGTGCTATTAAGAACATGACATTTCATGTTCTTTTTTTTTTTTTTTTAGAGAGAGAGAATATATATATATTTTTTAGTTTTCGGTGGACACAATATCTTTATTTTTACTTTTTATGTGGTGCTGAGGATCGAACCCAGCACCCCGCGCATGCCAGGCAAGCGCGCTACCACCTGAGCCACATCCCCAGCCCCCAAAATGTCATGTTCTTAAGTAACTCCTTACCAGCCATGTGAAGTTTAAAACAGTCTAACAGTATGTGATATCAAGCCAGCAAAAAAAAAAAAAAAAAAAGTTTTTTTTTTAAATGAATGAGATTACTATTTGAAATATGGACTATCTATTAAAAATTAAAACCCTGCTGGATGCTGTGATATACGCCTATAATCCCAGATACTCAGGAGGCTGAAGCAGGAGAATCACAAGTTCAAAGCTAGCCTCAGCAACTCAGGCCCTAAGCAACTTAGCAAGACCCTGTCTCAAAATAAAAAATGAAATGGGCTGGGGATGTGACTCAGTGTCCTTGAGAGTTCAATCCCCAGTACTAAAAAAAAAAAAAAAAAGAAAGAAAGAAAAGAAAAGAAAGAAAGAAAGGCCCCTAAGTATATATATACATAGTGCCTTAAGAGATTAATACATTTAAAAATTAAGCATTTACAATATAAAAACAAACCTTCTCAGCTTTATTTAGAAGATTTTTTTTTATTCATGTAATACCAAAAATTTAACTATAATGAAAAGTACAACCAGGCGCAATGACACACACCTGTAATCCCAGTGGCTTGGGAGAGTGAGGCAGGAGGATTCTGAGTTCAAAGCCAGCCTCAGCAAAAGCAAGGTGCTAAGCAACTCAGTGAGACCCTGTCTCTGAATAAAACACAAAGTAGGGCTGGGGATGTGGTTTAGTGGTCAAGTATCCCTGTGTTCAATTCCCAGTAGCACTCCCCACAAAAAAAATACAAGTCAGTGTCATTATTTACATTCACAATGTTGTGTAGCTATCATTATTATCTATTTCTAGATTTTCCATCATACCAGATTATATATATATATATTATATATATATATATATTTTAAGTTATAGGTGGACACAACATCTTCATTTTATTGTTATGTGGTGCTGAGGATGGAACCCAGTGCCCTATGCATGATAGATGAGCGCTTTACCTCTGAGCCACAAACCCAGCTGCAGATTTTTTTTTTTAAATACTGGGGATTGAACCAGGTGTGCTTTACCACTGACCTACATCCCCTGACCTTTTTATCTTTTTTGTTGAAACAGGGTCTCATTATAAGGATGTTATGGACTTTTAATTTTTTTAAATTTATTTACTTTTTTTTTTGGGTACCAGGGATTGAACCCAAGGGCATTTACCCACATTCCCAGCTCTTTTTAATATTTTATTTAGAGACATGGTGTTTGCTGAGTTGCTCAGGGTCTAACTAAGTGCCTGAAGCTGATTTTGAACTCTGCCTCAGCCTCCTGAGCCACCGGGATTACAGGGTATGTGTGACTGCACCCAGCCCTTTTAATTTTTTTTTTTTTTAAATTTAAACCTTTATTTTATTTATTTTTTAATGTAGTGCTGGGGATAGAACCCAGGGCCTCACAAATCCCAGACAAGCACTCTGTACCACTGAGCCACAACCTCAGGCCCCCTTCTAAATTTTTTAACAAATGTCTTAACATCATATATTTAATTCAGAATATTAGAACACCTTCCTTTATTATTTAATATAAATAGCACCCTGTCCTTTGACTCCCATTTATCTTCTCATATTTTATTTTCTTCACAGTATTTTCACCATCTGAAAATATCTTGTTTATTCAAGAGTTTCTAGTTAATTTTTGGTTTTCCCCAACTAGAACTCCATGAGAGCTAGGCAGCCAAATGCAATCCTGCCTGGAAGCAAGTGTAGAGAATGGGAAAAGAGGGAAGAGAAGAGAGATACAAGACTCATTCTTACCTGGGACACTTGCAATGCAAAGAACGTGAGAGTTGCAAACAGTGAAACTGTCAAGGATGTTGCCTGGTTGAATAGCATCAATGATGATGACTTTTGTAGCTGAATGAGTGCTGGTACAGATCCAGACTTGACTGGATAATTCTTCATGACTTTTTAACTCCTTCTGCTGTTCCTAAGTAGGCAAAATGAAGAGAATGAATGTTTAAGATCATAAATATGTGCAAATATTCATAAAGCTGTGCTATTACAATAAAAGGTAATATTATTTCAAATTTATTTCCAGGTAATTTAGGAAGGTAAAAATACAACCACTTGTCAGTATCAATTACTAGACTAAAAAGTAGTAGTTAAAGTGGATCAATGATTAAAACACTTTATATCTTGATTGTAGTGGTGGTTGCATAGGTGTATACTTTTGGCAAAACTCTTTGGACCACAGTCATTTCAAGGATATGCTTGATTATATATGAATAACACCTCAAAAAAAATTGGTTTTAAAAGGGTAATGGGGGATGGTAAGGAAGGGCAGAGTAACCACAACTTAAAAAAACTTGTACCCAGAAGTAAATTTTGGATCAAAAAGCTAAACTAATAGTTTCGTAAACACTTACCTTAAGTTCCTGATCTAACTTATCTAAACTACTCTGAGATGCACTTCGCTGTTTGCTGCCTTCAGTATCCAAACCAGCAACATCTTTGTAAAATACACTTGCTCCAACAACAGAACCACCATCTCTGGTCTTCCCACCAGATAAATTGACTCCAACAGCACACCACAGCTTCTCAGATAGAAAAAAAAAAAAAAAAAAACACGTATTATTGTAATTTTCTCTCTAAAAATGCTTAAAGTGGTTCCTTTTCTTAAAACAACTAAGGGTGGTAAATTAGACATTTAATACACTCTAAGATGACAAAATGAATAATAATCTCACTGAAGAAGCAGTGTTTAAACTTTTCTGGTTTTATGAGGAAAGAAAATCTATCTATCTAAAGTTTAGGGAATACCTGCTTTAGCTTCACAATTAGCTTACCTTCATGGATGCATCTTTTTCATCTAGAGGTCTGAGATAGACAGGCACAGGCAAATTTTTCATCTTATTTTCCCCTTGACCATTGGTTACCTAATGGGGTGGGGGAAGGCACAAATTGGTAAGTCTTATCAAAAGTAAACTTCTAATAGAATCACTGAGACATGGGCAGGCAATGCTGTTATACATTTGCTCCCTGAAATCAAATTCAGGTTCATTTTGTTATTCTTATTTGAAAAGTCAGCAGAAAATCAAGTTGCAATTAAAAGAAAGAAATAAACAGGATACTAGGATACTATTAGTGCTCAGAACAAAGGCACTAATTTTCACATATATACACATGTGTGTACATGTGTATATACAAATGTGCTGAGTCTCTTAGGGGTATGGAATATGAAGTAGAAAAATTCTTGAAAACCTGAACTAGGCTTTAGTTAATTTGAAAGGCTGGATGCCACTGACTTCTTACACCTTTTAAACAAACACTTTTTAAAAAATATATTTTTTTTAATTTGTTCTTTAGTTTTAGGTGGACACAATATTTTATTTTTATGTGTGCTGAGGACTGAACCCAGTGCCCCATGCATGCTAGGCAAGCACTCTACCATTGAGCCATGACCCTGGCCCCCAAATATTGTTTTTTTAAAAAAGAAAATCTTCAAGCCAGGTGCAGTGGAGCATGCTTATAATCCAGTTACTCAGGAGGCTAGGGCAAGAAATTCCAAGTTCAAGGCCAGTCTCAGCAATTTAGTGAGACCCTGTCTCAAAAAAGACTGGGGATGTAGCTCAGTAATAGAGTACCCTAGGTTCAATTCCCAGTACTACAAAAAAATAAAATAATAAAAATAAAAATAAATAAAATCTTCAAACATTAAAACAGCTTGTTCTAGTTAAGGCAGAACCTCAAGTTCCACATTCTGCGAACCCTTTTTTGACCACACCTCTTCTCAGACTCAGGCATTTCATTTGCATTCTAGGGCACTACAAAATAACCTGAAAACCTTCATCACCTCCCTACATGCTTGCCAAGTCTACGCAGCAAGAAATAAACAGGTCTGTGATACGTATTCCAAATTCTTCACACTCAAGTACACTTCTATCACTCACAGAATTTCACAACTTACCTGTTTATACTTCTGAGGCAGACTCCAGCCAAAAGCTTGCACTCGACCATCTTCCTTCTGAACATGTGCCTTTACCTGACGATACTGTTCTCTCTTTTGTTCTCTGCGTGAGGCTAAACTAGCTTCAGTTCTAAAAGGAAGAGATTTCCTATTTAAATTAAGTAAATGTTACAAGACAAACAACAAAAATTACTTGATTTTTTCTGACTACAATAGCTCTTTCAAAAGTGTCATACTTCCTAGCATATGTGAGGCACTGGGTTTAATTCCTAGCACTGCATTAAAAAAAAAAAAGAGTTATACTGGTCCTTTTATATTTGTGTAGTAAAGCTTTAAAGGGTTAGTAAGCAGCCTATTATACAGGATCATTAGCCATCAAACTTCTATCAGGTTATAGATGCTGGCCATATAAAAGGAATAAATTTCTAAGTAATTTTGGCTCTTCTATTTTTGTTGTTGTTTATTCAATAAACTTTTACTGAGGATATTCTACAAGTGACTAAAAGATCACCAAGTCAAAAACTGCTCAGGAAGATAATATAATTAAATTTAGATTCCTCTAACTTCTTTCAGAAGAAAAAATGCCAACAGACTTGAGTAAGCTTTGGCACTATGGAATAAAATATGACAATAATTCTGAAAACAATTTCTCTTCTTTAGGCCATTGAAATTTTTTGTGAAGTGACTTGCTGTGTTGGGAGTCGCCCCGGCTCCAAAGACTAACTTCCCCATCCCCCAAGAAGAGCTGTTTAATGGTGAGCCCTGCTGGCTCACATGATCCTTACCCACCAGTCAAAAAGCACCCCATGCCAACTGTCAAACCACCCCTGGCTCTATAAATATGCAGAGCTGTTCCTCAATAAACGGGCATTTGCTCCCACAACAAGCCTTGTTCGTTCTTTTACTGGTGCCGAAACCCGGGAGGGGAAATGCCTCGCTGCTCAAGGGCCCCCTCTCTCAAGGCTTGCTGTCCTGGTCCACTCTTTCCAGTGCTGTTTACAACACCAGATCTTCAGTAGGTGAGTTCCCCTATCGGGTATCCAACTTCAGATGGGCTACGCAGGGGATCTGACTGTGATCGTCCGGCAAATTTCTGATGCCCAATCTGGAGGAGAGAACGCACCCCACCACGACCTTCATGGTCACAGTGGACTCTCTGGAACCTGGTTCATGAGTGGGAGGTATTGAGGGATGGAAGAACAGGCACTCCCCTCTCCTCTCTCTCTCTCTCTCTCAACCACCCTTGTCCCTCTCCTGACCAATGGGGGCCTCTTCTTCCCTCCATGCAGACTCCCCCTTGTTAAATTCTGCACACAAGATTGGCCTTACTATCAATTAGACAATCAAAGTCAATGGCCCCCAGGAGGATTCCTAGATCCCGCAATTCTCAGAGATCTGTTTAACTTCTGTGAGCGCTCAAAAAAGTGGAAGGAGTTCCCCTATGTTGAGGCTTTTTCTCTTCTTCATTCTCACCCCTACCTATCCGGCAGATGAACCTCCTCCCTACCGACCTCCCCAATCGGCTCCATCCACCCCCTCAGGTGCTCCCCCTGACTCGGCAGAAAACCTTTAGTTCCCCCCAAACTAGGTCCCGCCCCTAGTCCCACAAACCATGGCCCCTTTAAGAGAGGTTGCTGGACAGAGGGCATTATCCAGGTACATGTCCCATTCTCTATGAATGACCCCATGCAACTCGGGCAAAGGTTGGGCTCATTCACCACAAAAGAGAGTTTCAAAAGGGCCCTCCAGGCTTATAGCCTCACTTATATGCTATTGGCTAATACTCTCCTTCTTGAGGAACGTACCAGAGTCTGGGAACTTGCCAGAGCCCATGCGAATGAAACTCACCGAGTTAATCCCAATCACCCTCCGGGGCCACTTGCTGCCTCCAGATCAGACTCCCAAAACCCCAGATGGCCGTCATGTCCTTATGACATATTTCCTCTGGCAGAACTACCCCGACATCTGGCCAAACTAAAAAAGCTCAAACAAGACCCTGCCACCCCCAAGAATGAGAAATTTCAGATGCTCGCCCAGGTCCTGCAGGGTGCTTCCTTGGGTCGCCGCCCATCACCGAAAACCCCCCTGGGCACCTGCTTCAAGTGTGGCAAGGAGGGACATTGGGCCAGGGCATGTCCTGCACCACACACTCCGCGTACCCCATGCCCTAAATGTCAACAACAAGGTCATTGGGGCTCTGACTGTTCTAGATCTCATAGGAGGCCTATGGTCAGGGAACCCTCCAACCTTCTGGGCATGGCAATCAATTGACGATGCCTTGGGTCCTTGTCCCTGGCCATAACGACCAATAGACAGAAACCCAGGGTGCGGATTCAGGTGGATAGGTGCAAGGTTAACTTTCTCCTTGACACCAGAGATACCTTCTCAGTCCTGACAGAATTCTGGGGGCAAACAGTGCCGTCCACCTCTCCTATTGTCGGGGTAGGAGGAAAGACCATCTATCCAAGAAAGACTCCCCTATTACTCTGTTCCATAGACAACTTCCCAACCTCTCAGATGTTCCTATTATGGCCCAAATGTCAAGTTCCTTTGCTTGGCTGAGATATTCTCTCTAAATTCAATATAACAATCAACATACGGGCTCCAGTCAGGCCCCAGAATCGGCCTGTTCATCTTTTCTGGTCCTTTTGGCAGAAAACTGGCGATTCTGCTCCACTTATGAGGCTGACATGAAATACCATACTAACCTAGTTGACCCGATTGTATGGGATACCCACACCCCCTCCACCATTTCCTGATTATTCAGGACCTTCTTAGCAAGGGGTACCTCCGTCCTGCTCATTCCCCTTACTCCCATACTAGCGGTAAAAAAACCCAATGGGTCCTACCTACGACTCATCAACACTTCCGTTAGGCCCATAAAGTTCTTCTGGGCCTACATCCTTTGGTTCCCAACCCATACACTCTGCTGTCTCAGATCCTCCACACTGCCACCCACTTCTCTGTCATAGATTTAAAGGATATCATTTTGCCTTTTACCTGGACTGTCCTTCCTCAGGGATTTTGAGATAGTCTGACCTCCAATCTTTTCACACCCCAGTGCCCCAAATCCACCCTCTTGCAATATGTGATTATCGTCCGGCAAATCTCTTTGCCCACCTGCGGAGAGGAAAGCACCCCCCCACAGCCTTTAAGGCTACAGTGGCGCTCAGGGACTCCTTCCTTGGGCAGATTCGAAAGTCCTAGTCCTCTCAACTTAAGACTCGGCCGCTAGAGAGACACTTACCCTCCCCTTCCTCTCCCCTCTTTCTGGCCCTGGGAGTATCCGGCCTCTCCAGGAGGGGTCCCGAAAAGCCTTGGCCAAGGTCTCCCACGGCTCCGGCTCTGTCTAGAACGAGAGCTTCGACTGTCAGGATTTGATGACGACCAATCTCTGCAGCTCAAACCTGCCACTTAGGCACTCCTGATTTTTTGGCTCTAGCGGGGACGCCCCTTTTGCCAATAAATCAGTTTCCTCCTTCTCTGCGTCCTTTTCCCTCCTCCTTACATGGGTAATGTGTCCTCTCCCCTACAATGCCTCTTGGATCAAATATAGCACCCAGGCCTGGCCCACTTATCCCTTAGACAACCAAAGCAGATGGCCTCTTTTTGGGTTCCTGGATCCCTCCATTCTAAGGGATCTCTTCCAGGCTTTCTTCTTGCTCTGATCCAATCCTGCTCTCTGCACCTCTTGCAAACAAATTCTTCTAGCCGTCCAAAGGGCGCTCAACAGATGTCAGAGTTCTCCTACTTAATTTCTTGGCCTTAAAGGGATATCGGGCCTCTCCACAAAAGGCCCAAATAGCATGTATCTAGGGTTCTCTATCTCTCAAGGGAAAAAGGCCATTATTGTGTCTATACCTACACCAAAGACCAAAGATGACTCTCCTTCTTGGGTTTGACTGGGTACTTCAGGGCCTGGAATCTGGCCAAGGGCCCCCAAGATGAACCCCTACTCTCAGCGGTAGAGAAGCCCTTTAAAAAGGCCTCCTCTGGGCACACCCACCCTGCATCTCTCGGACCTCTCCCGACCCTTCACCCTCTATATAAAAACAGGGACAAAGTCTGGCATTCAGAGTCAGGAATATGGCCCCACATTTGCACTAGTGGCCTACCTATGCAAACAGTTTGACCCCACCGTCAGGGGTTGGCCCCTATGCCTCAGAGCCCTAGCAGCGGCCCATGACCTCCAGAAAGAAGCACACAAGCTTATCTTTGGCTCCCTGATAACCATCTCATCTCCTCACCATTAAAGGATTTTCTCACTTACAAGGGGGCTACAGTCACTTCCTCCTTCCAGGGTTCTATCCCTCCTTGTCTCTCCTTGAAAATCCCTCCATCTCTTTTCAGCCCTGCTCTCCATTAAACCCTGCCTCCCTCTTCCCATCTTCTCACTCAGAAGATCCCGTCCACAAATGCCTGGAGGTATTAGAGACGATTTTACCCCACCCTACCACCATTTCTGAGGGACCCCTGCCCTCTTCGGACCTCATATGGTTCTCAGATGGTAGCTCCTTTATATACAAAGGGGTTAAAGTAGCAGGGTATGCTGTTGTTTCCCTCTCATCCATCATAGAGGCAAAACCTCTCCCACCCAATACCACCAACCACCAAGCTGAACTCATAGCTGCCACAAGGGCATGCGAACTAGCAGAGGAAAAACCCTCTCCCTATATAATACGTCTTCCATATCCTGATCTCCCACGCAGCCATTTGGAAGAAAGGGGGCTATTGACCACCAGAGGGACGGCAGTCATTAATTCCACACTTATTTCTGGCCTACTACAAGCGCTGCCTTCCTAACTGGGAATAATCCATTGCAAGGCCCACCAAACTGACTCCTCCTTTACTACTATGGGGAATTCCAAGGCTGATCAAGCGGCTCAATCAGCCACCCTACAGAGCTTTACCTCCACTCCGCTACTCTTCATAACCACCGGGGATCAGCCCAAAGATCCCCAACAACTCTTCCAGTTTCTTCACTCTCAATTCCATTCTAGTCCACAGAGTCTTACTACTTTCCTTCACTCCTTTTTCACCCTTTCCTGCGCGATAAGACCCTCCTACAACAGATCACTTCCGCTTGTCAATCTGCCAGAAAACCAATACCAATACTCCATTAAAACCTAAACATTTCCCTTCTCATCAGGCCTGCGGTCATACCCCAGCTGCAGACTGGCAGATTGATTTCACCAACATGCTCCGAATAAAAAACATAAAACATCTTCTTGTATTGGTAGATACTTTTTCGGGATAAACGGGCCTCTACGGTAGTTGATCTATTGCTTACTCACATAATCCCCGGTTTTGGGATGCCCACTTCTATCTAATCAGATAATGGCCCAGAATTCACCTCACAAATAACTCAGGGACTGGCTCATGTGCTATCACTCCCTTGGCATTTCCATTGCCCTTACCACCCCCAGGCTTCCAGAAAGGTTGAAAGGACCAATTGGTCCCTTATTGCCCACCGGGGGAAAGCCCCCTCTAAAACCAAAATGGAAGGGCCCTGCTCAGGTGATTATGTGCACACCCTCAGCAGCCAAACTCAAACTACCTAATAACCAACTTACCCCATGGATTCATAATCCAGACTTAAGCCTGGCACTCCTACACCTTCATCAGAAGAGCTAATGATCGTTCATTACCTGTCATTAAGTACTCTTGTCGATGCTCCCCCTCATTTCTGGCCCCTCTTGGGTCCTCTCTTTGCCCTATGTCTGAAGATTCAAGGCAAGTGACACTAAGGGCCCCCTCCAGCCAGATCCCCCCACACTTGCTTGAATCTGGCCGGTAGTGGGACCATTGTGTGTTGTCCTTCTGACAAACCACTTAGGTGTCCAAAGCATGGTGACCCCTGAATAAGTGTTATCATAAGAGAGCACTTTACCAGTTGCCTTCTGGGCCTAAGGAGAAACATGTGTGTTTTGTTTACCCTCCCAGTTTCATTGAGGTGTAACTGGTGTGCAGGACCCTGCACATAGTTGGCACGTACAGTTTGGGCATGTGCACATACTGGTGTTCCCATCACCACCCTCCAACAGCATTCCCATGCCTGGGTTCCTGGTGAAGTTGTTTCTTCCTTTTGCTTATATCTACCTCTACCTGAGTTACTTTCAGTGAGTCCATGACTGTCCTGGGAGGCAACCTGAGCTCTCCTTGGGGGAGGCGTTGGGTGTGCTCTGGTCCAGCCCACCTGCTCTATCGTCACTCTGTCTTCCCCTGTCTGAAGTGCTCTCTAAATCCTTCCTTTCCTCAACTTCTCCATCCTGTGTGGAGGTTGCCCTGTTATGGTGATCCACATGCCCTGCTTCTGAAAAACCAAGATGCTTCTTTGGGTACTGCCTGTTTGCCAATAGAAGAGTGAGAAGCTTTGGTGTCATGAGCTAGTTACAGGCTTTGATAGAGTTTCTGCTTTTCCTATGTGTATGCATGTGCATGTCTGAGTTCAGTTTTAAGTTCCCAGGGGAAGAAGTCATCATCTTCTGATGGCAGCTGGAGTGTACGTAAGTACCACTGAGACTCGCTGCTCAGACCAGTGGTTAGCTGGAGCATCTATGCCAAGTGTGATAGCATGCACTTAGTGTGTCCACCTTCAAGTTTACACAAGGCTCCAGAGAGCCTCCCAGTTTCGTAAGAATTCCAAGTATCAGTATTTAAAGTTGAGGTGTTTCACATAAAATCTGGAGAGATTTGACTGCTCTCAAAGGGAAATATGGTAGCTGGTACACCCAGGTAAGAGAAAGTTTGAAGAGCAGCCTTAATAGAGAGGGGAGGGAGCTAGATTGGACTAGGAATGAAGAGTGGAATTGAGGGTTTTAGGTACAGGACAGGCTGGTCTGCAGGGACTGCAGGGCATGTCAAACAAAGACAGCTGGCCTCTCAAACCCTCTGTCTGGTTCTATATCACCTGTTTGCTTCAAGCCCAAACGCCCAAGCCCGCAGGGTTGAACACTTAACCCCCCTTGGGCCAACAAGGCAGCTTGCAGACCCAGAGACCCCATTAGATTTGGGCTATAAAAACTCCCTGTGCCTGGTCCTTCCCCCTATCATAAAGTTCATTCAGACTCAGGTGAGTAAAATTTCTAATCAAGCTTTTAACCAGCTTCTCCTCAGGAATTACCAACTCCTGGCTACTGATGATACCTCCAGTCAAGACCTACGCCAAATGGACTGACGTCATCATGGATCTGTGGTGGCAAGGAACCTTCGTTGATACCGGTCTTCTCTGCCCTCCTGTGGGGGCTCCTTACTTCCCTCCTCTTTCTCCCACACCGCCCCATTTCAGCAGGAAGCAGCCAGAATGAGTTGACACCCATTCTCATTTAATAACAAAGAGGGGGGAATGTTGGGAGTCGCCCCGGCTCCAAAGACTAACTTCCCCATCCCCCAAGAAGAGCCATCTAATGGTAAGCCCTGCTGGCTCACATGATCCTACCCACCAATCAGACTAGCCCTGCTGGCTCACCTGATCCTTACCCTCCAATCAAAAAGCACCCCATGCCAACTGTCAAACCACCCCTGGCTCTATAAATATGCAGAGCTGTTCCTCAATAAATGTGCATTTGCTCCCACGACAAGCCTTGTTTGTTCTTTCATGCTGTGTTGATCACAGTTAACAAATCTACCCAAACACACATCAGGCATTTTACAAATATATGAAATATAATTCTAACACCTTTGAGATATGTTAGACTCATTTTTCAGTCAGAGAAACTGGGGCTCTAAGATGTTAGTCTGTCCAAGATATTAGTTTGTCTGTACATATCTAAGCAGTAAGAGAGTCAGGACATCAAAGGAAAAGTTCAAATATTTAAGAAAAACAATTATATAAACCTTTAGCCAGGCATGGTGGTGCACACCCGCAATCCAGTGTCTCAGGAGGCCAAGGCAGAAGGATTGCAAGTTCAAAGCTAGCTTCAACATCTTAGCAAGGCCCTAAACAACTTAAAGAGACCATGTCTCGAAATAAAAAATAAAAAGGAGCAGGTTGCAGTGGCACATGCCTGTAATCCCAGCAGCTTGGGAGGTGAAGTTCAAAGCCAGCCTCAGGGGGAAAAAAAAAAAAAAAGACTAAGCAACTCAGTGATATCCTGTCTCTCTCTAAATAAAATACAAATCAGGGCTGGGGTTGTGGTTCAGTGGTCGAGTGCCCCTGAGTTCAATCCCTGGTACCAAAAGATAGATAGCTAGAGAGATAAGAAGAATAGATAGATAAGGGCTGGGGATGTAACTCTGTGATTAAGTGCCCGTGGGTTCAAACCCCAGTACCTAAATAAATAAACGTTTAGTATTTCTATTAATATTTATCAATGTCATACCAACAAAAATGAGGCATGTAAAAAAAATTCCCCTTATGAAAACTGTGAAATGCAATTTTCTTTTGTTTTATATATTTATTTTTTTAGCTGTAGTTGAACACAATATCTTTATTTAATTAATTAATTTATTTTATGTGGTGCTGAGGATTGAACCCAGGGCCTTTAAGCAAGCAAACTACTACTGAGCCACAACCCCAGCCCTGCAATTTTCTTAATAAGTGCTGACCACAAGTAATTAATGGTAGACAAGTTATAGAAATAGTGTCTTTAGGTTTAACTGAATCCTTATAAAAGGTCTAATAAGGGGCAAGAAAATTTGAAAATGTTAATTATTTTGGTCATGGCCATTCATCTAGAAAATACTTACTCTTCACTAAGGAAATCAAAAGCTTTGGACTTATCCCCAGGAAGCTGAGATAAGGTGCTGCTTCTTTTCTTGACAGAAGGAGTAACATGAGAGGTGGGTGCATTATACTTCAGATTAACAGGTGGTTCAGGCTTCTTTGTTGTATTACTTGAAGAGCTGAAAAGTCGGCTGAAACTAAAAAACAAAAAAAAAGTGTATGTCTACCACATTTGCTGTGATAAGAATTCATGATTTTCCACAAACTTTTAAGCTCAAGAAAATTCCAAAGTGCTTTAACAAGGCAAAGAGGTTAGAAACTGGCAAAAACAGTCTTTGTAGTCACACACTGCAGCCAAACTCAGATTTTCAGGGAAAAGAAACTACAGTTTAGGAAACCAGACCTGTTCTTTAATTAGCAATTTCTATAATGTGAAAGGGAGAAGTTCTTGAGTATAGGGAGCTTCTACTGAATGAACAAAATAAAATCATTGCTTTGCTTGCTCCTTCTTGGTGAATTTAAGAGTGGTTGTTAAGCAGCAAGATTAGGCCTCATGATGTGAACAGCAGCTTAGTACACCAGTTCTAAAAACAGTCTTATAATGAAGTATTAGAACACACATTACCATGTTAACAAACATCTTATGTATTTTCTAAGTCAGCTCAACTTAAATTTCTTTCATGTCCACATTTTAAAAATTTGATGTTTCCATTAAGTTTTTAATTTAAATTACTTTCATTTAAAACTTGATGTTTCCATAGCAGACTAATTAAAAGAGGGTTTTTTTTAAATTTCTTTTTTAGTTGTTGATAGATCTTTATTTATATATGGTGCTGAGAATCAAACCCAGTGCCTCACACATGCCAAGCCATTACACTACCGCTGAGCCACAGTCCCAGCCCCAAAAGGTAAGTCTTAATCATAGCATAAATGTAATTCAAATTCAACACATACACACACTAATAAAATCCCTCAAACACCAACTTTCTCATCTTCACATCTTTCACAATCAATGAATGGGTAACATTTAATGGAGATTAAGGTAATTATCAGCTTTATAAATAGTCCCCCATTATTTTATTTAATTTGGGAGAGGATTCCATCAAATGCATAACCAACATGATGCAGCTTACGATATCGTATTTTTTTGTCCTTCAATAACAGCCTTACCGAGTTGGCATGCTATAAAAAAAAAAATTCAGTTTAGCTATTTATCTCCAATTTTTAAAAAAATCAACTATAATCTTCCTGTTTCAAAATGCTAATAGCCTTAATGTACTTACAACTGCCAGATGCTTGACCTTTTTTTTTCCTGCATGGCTGGATTTTCTCGTGATGCCCTATATTAAAAAAAAAAACAATGGTCATCAGTTAGGTGTTCTGCTTTCTGAAAAACAAAAGACCCAAGAACTTCACAGGATACACAGTTAAGTCCACAGTTAAGTTCAGCAAGTAGTTACTTTGATCCACCATTAGGAAGTCAATCTGTGAAAGTGAATAATACTAGATTAATAAAATACCATCTCTCACTCAAAGAGCTTAGTCTACTAACTGAAGATTATTATCTGTGTTGGAGAGAATAGCCAATATGCCTGAAAGTTAATATTTAAACATTTTTCCATTTCATTTTTTTTTTTTTTAAAGACATGGTCTCACCGTGTTGCCAAATTAGAAACATCTTTTAGCTGGGTGCAATGATGCACACCTGTAATCCCAGTAATTCAGAATACTAAGGCAAAAATATTGCAAGTTCAAGGCCAACCTCAGCAACTTAGCAAAGCCCTAAGCAATTTAGCAAGACCCTGTTTCAAAATAAAAAGAGCTGGGGATATGGCTCAGAGGTAAATTGCCCTGGTTAAATCCCCAGTTCCTAAAATAGAATAAAATAAAAAATTAAAAACAACTTTTAGCTAGGCATGGTAGTGCTTGCCTGCAATCCCAGTCTTTAGGGAGGCTGAGCAGGGGCCTTCACAATTTAGTGAGATTCTGTCTCAAAATAAAATATACATTGTGTGCATATACTAATACATAACAACAAATTCCACCATTATGTACAACTATAATGCACCAATAAAAAATGACAGAGCAAACAAACAAATAAATAAACAGGGCTAGGATATAGGTCAGTGGTAGAGTGCCCCAGGGTTCGATCCTTCAGTACTAGAGGGGGTAAAAAGTCTTTTCAACAAAGAATAAGCTACCATTTCCTTTTACTCATTGATTATATCTTGGCTGTGAGAGTTAAAAACAGCAATGAAAAACAGACTCTGGATATATGTCCTCAGTTTTAAAAATATTTAACATTTACTCTCTTTACTAAATACTACAGTTAAGAACACTCTTCTCAGGTTAGATTCCTTGTCCAATAAATAAAGAATAACTTACCATAGGTACTATTTTTATTATTGCTATTATTAGTAAATCAAAAATATAGGTATATTAGTAGGCAACTAATATACAAGCATTTCAAAAGCTCTTGCTAAATTATAGGAATACTGTTAGTGAGAATATGACAATTAAATGGCAGAATTAGGTGAGATTTGAAACCCAATAAAAGACAATACTGCCAGGTATGGTGGTGCATTCCTTTTATTTCAGAGACTCAGGAGGCTGAGGAAGGAGGATTGCAAGTGTAAGACCAGCCTCAGCAACTTAGGCCCTGAACAACTTAGCAAGTGCCTATCTCGAAATAAAAAATTAAAAGGGTTGGGGATGTGGTTCAGTGGTAAAGTGCCTGTGGATTCAATCCCTAGTACCAAAACCCAAAAAGATTGCATAACAAATTTTGATCTTTTCTTAACATTATGAAAGTAGTATCAGTTTCTTTTTTTCTGGTGTGATACTGGGGACTGAACCAAGGATACTCAACCACTGAGTTATAGTCCTAGCTCTTTCTATTTTGAGATAGGATCCCATTAAGTTGCCTTGGCTGGTCTCAAACTTGTGATTCTCTTGTCTCATCCCAAATTGCTGGGATTACAGGCATGTACCACTTCAGTGAGCTCAGTTTTTACATTCTTTTGAAAAATGACCATCATTCCTGAGTAGTAACAACTGCCTTTTATAGATTGTGGGAGCATCCTGGAAGATTCACAGTGACTCAAAAGATACCTGCTCTGATCACTTTCTATTACTAATCCAAGTATTATAGTCTCTCCTAGTAAACAGAGAAAATGATATTTACCCTCAAGGGAAGACTTGTTCTGAATGAAAAATATATAGATTTAAGAAACAATGGTAGGAAAACAACAAAGTACTTCTTTTGTTTTTTAATATTTTTTTTTGGTTGTAGATGGACACAATATCTTTATTTATTTATTTTTATGTGGTGCTGAGGATCGAACCTAGTGCTTCACATGTGCAAGGCAGGCTCTCTACCACTGAGCCCCAGCCCCAGCCCACAGAGTACTTCTTATACAAACCGAATCATCTCTGTCCATCGAACAGCTTCTTGAAGCTCCATTAATCTCTCCTTATACTGGTTTCTTTCCATGAGAACACGGGCCATTTCTACTCTAGTAAACCGCTTCCTCTGAGCTGTGGGTATATCACTCTATAATGACAAGAAAACAACAGATCACTTCAGGAGCTTATATGTGTTTTGGTATTAATCTCAGATTTAAGTAAAATCTTCAAGTTTTTAAACATTCCTTAATTTCTCATCTAATAGATGAGAAATAAAACAATGAAAATTTAAATAGTTACTTATGACTAAAAAGAGGTAGGTGATTTAATTTCTAGATATAAATACTGATATTTAAACATATTATAAAGAAATTACAAAAATTAGTGCAGATTTGAAACTAAAACCCAAAACTGTTTTCTATACAGATTTAATATGCTCTCATCAGTTTTACTTAGAAATGTTGTTCTAATTGTGAATTTTGTGTTCTATAACAATCATCATTCAGAAAATAGCTACAAGCTAGTTCCAAAACCAACAAATACAAATACAAAACAACAATACATCCAAGGATCAATATAAATGATAAACTTATTGCCTAGTTACCAGTGTACCCAAATATAAGAATAACTAAAATATGAGTAGAGATACAACAAAATAGAGACTACTGCATTAACTAGACTCATTCTTAGAACAAAGATGTGAATATGGAGGATGTGTAGGGTTAGGTTCCGAAAAGGGCATGCCCAAGTTAACTTCCATCTGCTGCTGCTTTTTCAATGCTCTTGTGGGGAAAAAGGTAGGTTTAACTGTAGGTATTTTGCTTTGCTGAAAGGAGTACGAATATTTGGATCAAAGCTTGGGATATTAAGAGAAAAGCTGAGCTTAACCCTCAGCAGTCATCCTCCTTTGATCTCCTGTCACAGAACCTGGCCCCAGCTTTAAATAAAAGTTAATGACGAATAACAAAGGACCTGAATTTTGCAATACAGCAAGTAATCCCATTATTAGGTAGATAACCTGGAAAAGTTCCTATACGCTGAGACTTGCACTAAAATGTTCTTGATAGCAGCATTACTTATGGTAGTAAAACACCAAGACTAACCTAAATATTCATTAACAGGAAGACAGATAAATTGTAGAATATTTATGTAATAGGATATTATGAACAACAACACTATTCTACAATACAGGTAAATCTCAAAAATATGCTATTGCGTAAAAGAAGCAAGTCTTCAAGACTAAATACATATGAAACACAAAAATAATGAAAACCATACTTTGTAAAGGGACATACATACACATACACACATGGTATGATACAATTATTGTTTTTTTAAAGTTGAATAAATGATAAATACAGGATCAAGGTTTCCTTTGGAGTGGAGGAGCCCAGAGTAGCTCAACGTTTGGTAGTGGCCTAGTTCTTAAACTGGGTAGTAGGTTCATAAAGTTAACTTATTCATAACTTACATGTTACATGTTTTCTGTCTGTATTAATTAATATATTAAAACAAGAAAGGGGGGGGGTAAGATGGTAGAATGAGATGGACATTATTACCCCTATGCATGGGTAGAATTGTATGAATGGTGTGACTCTACATCATGTACAACCATAGAAATGAAAAGTTGTGCTCTACTTGTAAAAAAAATAAAATTAAATAAATAAATACACAAATACAGAATAAACTAAAAGGGGAATCAAATGATAATTCTCTTCAGGACTCCAATATATCTCAAGTCTGATCTTTAGTGTGAAGCACCTGTTATAAGAATGACAATAAAGCTACTAAAAGAATTACCAGCATGACAACACTGGCATGAAACTCATACTTTATTCTTTTGTATTGATGTATACAGACTGCAATATGGGCTAAATTTTAGTACTTGAAGCTCATAATTTATTCTTTTGTATTCATGTATATAGAAAGCAATATGGGCTAAATGCTTAGTACTTAAAATTCTAGATTTCATCTTTTTATGTTAAATACTATTAAATAATTTTATTGTTATCATGTTTCTCTAAACCTTTTATTTTTGCAGTGCCAGAAACTGAACCCACGCCCACCTAGACCAGGCTTTCATATTTCTAAGTTAAAATATGAAACAAAATAAATGGTAAACAACAAAACCCAAAATGTTCCAGCTGGTCTTTGAACCTGAATAGGCAAACCACAGATCAGAGCACAGAAACAGAAAAAACATAAAAACACAGCATGTAGCTAGAAAGCTTAGCACCTGAACACTCTGGGGAAGCATGAGCTATCCTTTTCATTACCCATACACATGTCTTCTAATTATTTAAAAGATTTACAATGCTATACATCCAAATCTTAATTAGCAAGATTTTCCAAAAATATCAAAACATGGTAAGATAAAAATCCCAAAATTATAAACCTACATCATCATCATCTTTTGCTTTCTGCCTTGCATCTTCAGCTTCTGCACGAGCTCTAGTGGGAAAATAAACAAAACATGTTATTTAAACTGAGTTCATCTTTTCAAAATACTGAAAGTGTAGGTGAAGAATTTTAACTACCACTAAAGTATTATTTTTCTTGTTCCAAAAGGGCATTTTGTTACCTTCAATTCAGAAAGATATTATCATAGCATTCCTTAAAAAATAAAACCAAAAATAAAAAACTGGGTGAAGAAAAAAATGAATTTTAATTTCCTTATTATCAAAGATACGTGAATAGTTTTAATACTTTTCACATCAAGACACAAACAAAAATGATAATATCTGGATGACAAGCTGGTAAATGGAAGGCCTGCTCACTGCAAAGATAAGGGCTGGGGGCATTTCACACTCTCCAGGGAGCTCTTGGCCCTTCCTGACTTGAGAGAGTTAAAGGTCTCAAGCTCAGGATTATACCTATAACCTTTTGTGGCATCCTGGCAAAGACAGTTTGGTTTAGAGCAGTACAGCCAAAACTTACTTTCTGAGCTCCTCTTCCAATTCTTTGTTCTTTTCTTCTAGCTTCAGTTTGGCTTGTTTCACAGCCTCTAATTCCCCTTGCAGCACGTCTTTCTCACAGGTGAGTTCATCCACTTTTGCTATCAGATCATTCTTTACTACATTCAAAGCATTTCTAAGAAACACATATTTCAAGTGCAAGATTACACGAATATTCTTTTGTCTTTCAGATTATTCCTTTGTACCCCAAAGTAACTGTACAATCATAAAGCTAAATAACTGAAGACTTTTGGACATTCTGCCTGATGCTATTTGTAAACAAAAGCAAAAGAATAAAAAATATTCAAGTGCTTACTATTCTTCCCACTTATTTAAAGGAAGAATGGATAAAACAAGACAGACCAACAAAAAAATCAGAATTAACCAAGATTAATCCCAGTGTGGTGGCACATGCCTGTAATCTCAGTGACTTGGGAGGCTGAGGCAGAAGGATTGCATGTTTAAAGCCAGCCTCAACAACTTAGTGGGGCCCTCAGCAACGTAACGAGACCCTGTCTCAAAATAAAAAATAGAAAAAAAAGTGGGGATGTAGTTCCATGGTTAAGTGCTCCTGGGTTCAACTGTAAGTACCAAAAAAAGAAAGCAAATTAACGTTAAGGCAACTACTATTATTAGTAAATTCTTCTTTTTTCTTTTTTAATACTTTTCACATCAAGACACAAACAAAAATGATAATATCTGGATGACAAGCTGGTAAATGGAAGGCCTGCTCACTGCAGAGATAAGGGCTGGTGAATTTCACACTCACACTGGGGATTGAACCTAGGACACTTACCACTGAGCACATCCTCTATGGTTTTTTTTTTTTTTTTTTTTTTGAGATGGGAGTCTTGCGAAATTGCTGAGGCTGGCCTTGAACTCGAAATTCTCCTGCCTCAGCCATCCGAATCACTGGATTACAAGTGTGTGCCACTACACCTAGCTTCTATTGTTTGTGAGTTCTGAAGAGAGATTGCCCAATCAATAAAGTTGAATAACTCCTTGAAGTTAAAATACTCTGAACTGGAGAGAAATTTAAGAAAAAAGTTCAAGAGGTAGTTTCTTTAGATATAGTGGACATAGGACCTTCTGATAGTTGTATTTTGGGTGACTATCTATACATGTTCCACAGTGATCTGACATAGCAAATTGATGAGGGGACCCAGTCTACTTTTTATCCACATGACAAATGATTTGCTCCATTAAATAAAATTTCACATTGCTTGAGGGCCTAAGACTCCATAAATTGTACTAGAGAATATACAACCTTGGTGGAAAGTTCCATAGAAATGGGCTGGGCATGTATCAAATCATTTGTGCAGAAATAGAGATAAGAACATAGACAAATCTTAGAGAAGAGAGCAAAAAAAAAAAAAAAAAAAAAAATCAAAAAACAAGTACTGGACACATCCAGAAGATTAAGAGAAAGGCATGGATACTTATAAAGTGGAAAGAAAACAAAAATTTATGTTCTGCAAAGGTCCTATTACATATTTTCACAGAGGGAGAAAAGACAGAATTAGTGCTGTGTTAAACTGATGAAGTGTCACTGACTTGGACCAAAAGAAAATTTATTATCTCTTATTCCTTGTTAAAATTTCATACTTACTTGGTTTCCAACAGTTGTGTATTTTCTAGTATAAGATTCTCAACTTCACGACCCATTCCTATCAAAAAACAAATGATAAAAGACCTTGAAAATTTGTGTAACAAATTATATATAAGCTATAGTCATAAATTTTATCTATCCTCTAAGAAATCTTATTGTGCATCTAGTTTCATTTGACATATATGCTTGTAATAAATTTTAAAATTATAAATAATTATCACAAAATAAAGCTAAACATCTTGTTGTCCAATTTTTCTGTTCTTGTTTTTTTTTTTGAGACAGGGCCTTGCTATGGTGTCTAAGACAGTTTAAAATTCCTGGACTCAAGCAATCTTCCTGTGTTAATCTCCCAATTAGCTGGAGTTACAGGTTTATGCTAATGCACTCAGCTCTTGCTGGTCTTCTTTAAATCTGTTAGTCTATATTTTATTTCTCATAGATAATATTTCAAAAAGATCAAAATCTTTTGCCAAATATTCTAACAAGTAGCATTATTTAGAGAGAAAAAAGAATGGCATTAATGTAGATCAGAAATTGTTTCTAAATCACAGCTGATATTAGGTTTCTGCCTAAAAATTTGGTTTTATTAATACAGAATAGACAGAAACAAGGTCAAAAAAGAGACAGAACCCCAAGGCAGATGAAACCTTACCAAAGAAATTATGGTCTTAAAGCCCATGCATTCCATGTAAAGCAAAAACAAAGAACAAGAAATGTTTTATGTAAGAAACAGCATGAAAACAGATTATTAATCTATAAAGTTTTATGCATGACATGAAAAACATCTGGAATCAGTGTTATGATTTAATGCACAATGATGTGTAAACAACAAAAAATAAAGATGATTTCCTTCATTCATAAGGATGCTCTCTGTACACTTAAAAAAATGCTTTACCAATTCTCTCTCACAATAAAATTCAATATAATTAGATTGAAAAACCCACAATTTGGGTTGGGATGTAACTCAGTGGCAGAGTGCTTGCCTAGCATGTGTGAAGTCTTGGGTTCAATCCCCACACAGTATTAAAAAAAGAAGAAGAAGCCCTAAGTCAATAATACAAGGTTTCCTATAAAATACCACCTATGAAATAATAATACGATTGTTATTTTATAGAATTATACTTAATATTTTAATTGGTACTGTAAAACAGGCATGTAGAACATTTAATGCCATATCCAAAGCAGACTTTAAGGAGAATAAAGCTACTTAATTAGCTTCTCATAAGAAAATGAAGAAATAAAATAACACATTAAAGAATATTACAAAACAAGAACACCCCAAATCCATCACTTTACTCATCCCAACAAACAAAACAAACCTAGGCATGCTAAAAATCCCATGGACTTATATTTTGTCTTTACCAACATATTTAACCTGGCAGCCATATGTTTTTTATAAACTGAAAAAACAAAAGGAAAACTAAAAAACTTTCTAAATCCCAGCCCCAAAATAACTTCTGCCAAATTGTTTGCTTTAAACACAAATGTTAACCTTTCAATAAAGACACAGAGACAGAAGAAACTGAGTTTGAACTAACTGAAAAAGTTCAAATAATAAATATGTTTACTTGTTTACTATATCACAAACAATATATAAGCATAAAAGATGAAAATATATGCAGGGCAAAAAAAAAAGTTGAGCAGGAAAAAAAAATGATGAGAAAGCATTAAATGAGAACAGCAGGCAAGAACACCTAGCTTATAAAGCAGTAATATAAAATAATTTAAAAGTATACACACCAGAATATTCCCCTGGGTAAGCAGCCCAAGAGTAAAATGAATGAGAATCTCAATTAGATTATTTTCTGAAAGCAAGAAGTAAACTCATTTATTTTAAAATGAGAGAGAGGTAACAAGAAATTGAAACAATATAGGGAAAATATTAAAGACAAAGTATAAATAAATATTATAAATGGAAAAAAAAAGAAATATATGCCCATGAGAACCTTTTCCTAAAATCTAGCTTCTAAAGTTTAAACTTAAACATTGAAGAGTTAAAGAGATTTTTAAAATCTAGTGCACAGAGCTGGGAATGTGGCTCAGTGGTGGAATGCTTGCCTAGCATGTATGAGGCCCTGGGATCAATCCCTGGCACTAAGGAAAAAAAAAATCCAGTGCATAAGTTAAGTGGGAATATTCAAATTTTTTCACTTCAAAATATATCAATAAAAACTAACTCATTATAATTATAGGAAAAATACTACTTGAAGAGGTCTCATCTCTATTCAAGACTTAAACTAAGTATAAACTTAAGTCTAACATATTTGAAACTGACTACTAAAAACAAGGGGGTGGGGAACTCCCTGACAGTTTTTAAATTATAGAAGTCTCATTTGAATATTAGTACTGATGCTCAAGTTAGGTCCACAGATAGGCTTCAGAGTTATCTAGTAAACCCTTGAGAAAGTATGCCCCATTATATCTTATTGTACACACTTTTCCAAAGGTACATTGCTCTCTTAAAAAATTCTCCCGTAAGGGATTTTTAATCCCTAAAAGTGAAGAAGCAGATTTAGAGATGAAACAAAACCGTTAGAACTATTTCACAACATTGTTCATTTAGTTTCTGTGCTTATGTGCTAAAAATGCAGTAATGCAGTTGTTCTATCCACACTGAACATATTTAGGAGAAAACAAACAAACTGGGGACTGGCTGCAAGAGAAGAGATGATGAGGCTGTTCATTCACCACGACAATACATACTGGTGCAAGAATAGGAGACAATCAACAAAGATTATGAGTTAAGCTTGAGGCATGTCAAATACAGAGTCCTGTAAATCATCACAGGAGCAATAGGTAGGCAGTTTGGAAATCACAGTCTGTGACACTAGGAAAAAAGATGGGATGGAGATAAAAACTTACATTAGTCACAAAAATTAAGAAACAATGACAGCAAATATGATTTCCCAAAGAAAGAAGCAGGCCTAGGACAGGAAAGCTGATATCTGAAAATTGAGCAGAGAAAGCATATCCTGGTAAGATAACCAAAAAGGAAAAGCCAGAGGCAGAAAAGGAAGAAGACAAGTCTGATATTACAGAAACCCAACAAGGATAGTTTTATAGACAACTACTTTTGAGAAGTCATGTAAAATAACTGAGAAAGAATCACAACCAAGAAGGCTATTGAAGGCAAGGTTGGTGAGAATGCCAGACAGCAGTAGAATGAGGAGCAAGTAAAACTGTGAAGTCCTGCTGGTTAAAGACTACAAGAAGTTTTGAAGTTTTGCTCACTATCATAGATACAGTGCTTTGCACATAGCACATATTGTAGCATAACAAGTGTAACTAGAAATGAGAAGAAAATGAGTGATAGCTGACAGACAATGAGTTTCAGGGTCAAAAGAGGGAAATATTCTTATTTTTAAATAGAAAAGACCTAAATATGTTTAAATGATAATGGGAAGAAGTTAATAGTGATAGAGAAGTTGAAATATGTAAGATAATTAAGAAAAATCTCAAGAGTTGACTTATGAACATATGATTTCCAAGTTCTAGGGATGTAGTCATGAGTGACAAAGTGGAGAAAAGGACAACTGTATAACGATTAAAGAACTAAGTCCTGGGAGAAAACCGTTTTATAATAATATAGGAACTTAAAAAATGAATAAAGAGGGCTGGGGTTATGGCTCAGTGGTAAAGCACTTGTCTAGCACGTGTGAGACATTGGGTTTGATCCCTAATACAATAAATATATAGATAGATAAATGGTGTTGTGTCCATCTACAACTAATTTTTAAAAAATGAAAATGGATAGTGGATTCAACAACCCAAGGTTAATTAAAGGCCTTGGAGAACAATTTTATTAGCTAAACTATCTCCCATTTAGTGAGTATTACTTAAGCTGTTATCACTGAATTGCACACACAAGAGAAGCCAAGGAACAAACATATTCCTTAGAAATTTCATTTACCATTTTGGACACAGGCACTGAACTTAATATATTAAAATATTCTAATCTGAAATATACTAATATCTGCAAATGCAAAAGATAGCAGTTTACATTTTCTTTCTTATCTTCATCATGGAAAGGAAACCAAAAGAATCAAGATTTTGTTTTTAATCAATTTATTATGCTTAATTTTAGGACTTTCACCAAATACTTGACCTAATTAAAAGACCACAAGTGTTTCAGAGTACTGTATTGTTTTATTTTTTATAGGGACAGCTAGGGATGTAGTCAGTGTAGAGTACTTGCTGAGTGTGCACAGGGTCTTATGTTCAATTCCCAGCACTACAGTTACTGAATTAATTAAAATTGATTATTTTAAAAACATTTTTATAGTTGTAGATGAACAACATGCCTTTATTTATTTGTTTAGGTTTTTTTTTTTTTTTTTTTTTTTTTTATGTGGTGCTCAGGATCAAACCCAGTGCCTCACACATGTTAGGCATGTGCTCTGTCACTGAGCTATAATCCCAGCCCAAAGTTAATTCTTGCAGAGAAAGAAAGTTTGGTGCCACCAGCCTCTTTTATTACTCACTATTGAGTTATGAGGCAACAGAGTGTACAAATTATATCCAAAAATTCTTCATGCTGATTAATAATAAAGAGAAGCAATATGAAGGATTTGGAGAGGGGAAGTATGTTGATTCTGTGGTGTTTACACACTGTGTGGTAGTTACACAACACTAAGCACCTGTCAAATCTCAAAAAGTTGAACACAAAAAACAGTGAATTTTATTGTACTAGTAAATATGAATATAAATTTTAAAATCTTTTAGTTCTTCAACCTAATATTCTTGGCATCCATACCTCAAATTTGCCAAGGAGTAATTTATCAATCAAATCTTGTTTGTTTTCTTTGTGATACTAGGATTGAGCCCAGGGGCATTAAACCACTGAGCTACATCCCCAGTCCTTTATTTATTTATTTGGGTGCTGGGGATTTAACCCAGGGGTGCTTTACAGCTGAGCCACATCCCTAGCCCTTTTAATGTTTTGAGACAGGGTCTCACTAAATTACTGAAGCTGGCTTTGAACTCTCTATCCTCCAGCCTCAGCCTCCTGATTCACTGGGATCACAGGCATATGCCACCATTCCTGGCTCAATCAAATCTTTTTTTTTTTTTTTTTTAGTTGTACATAACACAATACCTTTATTTCTTTATTTACTTTACGTGGTGCTGAGGATAGAACCCAGTGCCTTACACATATAAGCTCTACCACTGAGCCACAACCCCAGGCCCTCAATCAAATCTTAAAAGGAATTTTTAAAGTACAATTGAAAACTAAGGTATAAATTTAAATGTAAAGATGGCATATTCTCTAAAAATTAATCTTTCCAACCTTCCTTGAGAAATAAAATTCATACAATTTTTCTTCCAATGTTTTACTTAGACTTTCAATGGTGAGAGTATGTTGATATCGAACTAGGAATAGTTAAATTTATATACTTTCTACTAGATGATTGTTTAGATAGAACTTGAGGGTTTTTATTTAATACTTCACTATGTCAACGATGTAACTGGCAACAAATAAATTAAACAATAATTAATACAAACAACGTCACTTCATACTATATTCACAACAATTGACAAATAACACCTTTTGAAAACAATATAATCTATAGATTACACTAACATACACAACATTTTTTGTAGCTCTATATCTATTTCAAGGTCACAGATTTTTAATTCTATGTAGTTTTCAATTTCTAAAAAGTCTTAGAGGATAAAAAAGGTACAGCAATGCTAATTTACATGAGTCAGAATCATGTAATTATTATTCAAAGGAACTTCAGAGATCACCTAGAGTAGAAATTGGTAAACTTTTCCTATAAAGCAGCAGATGGCAAGTATTTTAGGCTTGTGGGCCACATAATCTTTGCTGCAAATTATTTAATCCTGTTGGGCAAAAGCAATTATTAAGAATAAGTAAACAAATGGCAGGAAGGACTGTGTTCCAATCAAACTTCACTGACACATAAAGGTCAGATGGATCTGACTCATAAACCACAGTTTGCTGGAACCCCTTTCATTTATACATAAAGAAACTAAGGGCCAGAAAAGTGAAAAGGCCAAGTATGTTTGTTTGGTATTTTTTCCTTGTTTTGTATTTTCTTTTTCTTTACTTTTTGTACTAGGGATCAAACCCAGGTGCTTAACCATTTGCCCACGTCCCTAGGCCAGTTCAGAAATGAAAATGCTTTCATTTATATCTTTTATGATCTCAAAGAATATTTTTTATTTGAGGCAAGTCTCACTCAGTTGCTTAGGGCCTTGCTAAGTTGCTGAGGCAGGCTTTGAATTTGCAATCCTCCTGCCTCAGCCTCCTGAACCCACTGGGATTATAGGTATACACCACTGCACTCAGTCCAAATGTGTTATTCTTTTCAAACTACATGTTCAACACAAATATTTTTGCGGGGGAAGAGAGGATAACTGAGGATTAAACCCAGGGCATCTGAACTACATGCCCCGTTCAACACAAACTCTAAAATTATTACATTTTCCATAGGTAAAACACTATTAAGTTCAAAAAAATCAAGTGTAATGATTGCGTATTTTATTAAGGTCAGCAGTAAGATTTATGTAAGTCAGAAAACTGTCCAAACATACATTTATGCACACATACATATCACTGTTATGACTGTGTTCCTCATATGTTAATATTTGTTCTCAGAATACAGGAGGAGTTCAATAAATTGTTATATGAATTCAAAACAAATTTAAATGAATTCAATTATAAGCATATCCATAAGAAAATGTTTTCATTTATATATTTTATGATCTCAAAGAATATATCAGTCATTTCCTAAAAGAGCAATAATTCTGTACCAACAAGCACTTGGGAAAATTTTGAATCAAATCATTAAATAAATGTATTTTTAAAGCATGATATTTCTTCAGATGAGCTGCCATACCTAGTAAATCTGCTCCTTCATCCACATCTCCAATTAGGCCTGAGCCAGCTGAGGACAGTTCTTCAAAGAGAGATTCTGTATTGCGATCAAAAGCTTTGTTCTCTATGCCTTTGGTGGGAGTGCTATGCAACAAAAACAACAAAACCAAATCAACTAATTACAAAAACTTTGATAGTATATTTTTAATACAATGAGCAAAGCAACATAAGAATACCTTACCTATAAGTTACATTTACTATGAAATATAATTTTAAAAGACTTCTCAAAGGTTTCCTAAGAAATTCCCACAAAACTATTCAGAGATAATTGGTAAAGAAAACTATAGCATGTTTCGTTGTGAGATCCCAGGACATCAGCAAAATGAAAGCTATACTGCTCTGTATCAGGTACTGGTTGGTCTAAGTGTCCCATACAGATTATCTATTTCAGGCTCATAATTACTCCACAAAGCAAGTGTTGCTATCACACCAATTTTAGAATATAAAGACTAAAAAGATTAAGGAATTTGCCAAGGTCACTGAGTAAATGAGTGGAAAAACAAAAAAACAGAATTCAAATTCAGGTAGTCTGGTTTTAGAATTCATGATGTTATCTACCATGTTTTATGTTGTCTGGTATAAATTAGCATGGCATTTTCATTTTTCTTTTAAGGACAATATGACAGTATTAAAATTGACCCAAGAACACTATGTCCAAAAAGAGTCTTTCGAAAGTCCTGTCACAAGCAATTATGTATGAAAAAGATGATCAGAGTAAGTCAGGTGCAATGGTACACACTTATAATCCCAATCATGGGAGAAAGGAGGATCACAAGTTCAAAGTCAGCCTTGGCAACTGAGTAAGACCCTAACTCAAAATAAAAAATAAAAGGGGCTGGGGAGAGGCCGAGGTTGTAGCTCAGTGGTGGAGTGCTTGCCTAGTACTGGGTTCGATTCTCAGCACCACATATAAACAAATAAATAAAGGTCCATCAATAACTAATAAAAATTTAAAACAGGGGTGGGGGGAGGCTGGAAAGTCGCTTAGAGGTAGAGCCCCCATGGGTTCAATCCCCAGTATCAAAAACAGAAAGTCAGAGCACCATTTTTATAGTGGCAAAAAGTTGAAACAACCTGTGATTATTAATAGGGTACCAATGAAATAAGTTATGGATATACATATAAAGTCAAAATGTTCAACTCTATGATTAAAAACATTAAAATAGAACTTGTAAAATAAGAAAACCCATTATACAAAGATTTTTTTAAAAAAAACAAACTAAGCTGCAAAATAGTATATACATTATAAGCCATTTTTTGTAGGGGTATGGAGGGAAATGGGAAAGTTTGTTTTTACCTCAATGCTACACTGATAGAAACACTCAGTACAGGATTTCCATTTAATCATGGTGAACTAATAAACACAGTCATTTGCACCCAATAATTCAGAAACCTGACTAAGATGACAGTTAAGAAAGTAGAAAGGTATATACCACCCAAAATGAGAAAGGAAATGGGGGAGTGTGTGTAAAAAAAGGATTAGAGAAGATGAAACGTGAATCAGTTTCTATAAGATAGAAAACAGATGAGCAAACAGTAGAAACTGATGTAACAAACTATAGAAAGCTGAAACCTAAACTGTCAGGGGGTTTAAGGAGGAGGACAATGTGATGCCAGAACTCATGAAAGATGTAGGACTTAAAGATACCAGCAACTACAGAGATGAGCATTCAATGGAGAATGTCAAACAGAAGGACAGGAAGACTGCACAAGAAACAATACCAGACTGACCTGTAATCCACCAGAATAAAGGAACCACCTTTCTCAGCACAGTTTGGGCAGTGCTTGGGGTCAAACCCAGGGCTCATGCATGCTGGGTAAGCAATCAACCCCAACCCTTGGAAGTCAAGTTTAAATGTTATAGACAAGAAACCAGAGAATCAATGTTTTTACACAAGTATACACAAAACAGTCACAGAATGCCAGACATTTAAAAAAAACTTTCATGGGGGAGCCAGGCAATCCCGGTGGCTCAGGAGGCTGAGTCAGGAGGATTTTGAGTTCAAAGCCAGCCTCAGCAAAAGCAAGGCATTAAGCAACTCAGTGAGACCCTCTCTCTAAATAATAAATACAAAATAGGGTTGGGGATGTGGCTCAGTGGTCAAGTAGTCCTGAGTTCAATCCTCACTACCCACCCCACTCCCACCCCCCATTCCTCCCACCCCCCGCAAAAGAGAAGACTATTATGAAAGAGTCCAAACAAAAGAGTATGGGGACTGGGGCTGAGGCTCAGTGGTAGAGTGCTTGACTCACACATGTGAGGCACTGGGTTTGATCCTCAGCACCAAATAAAAAATAAATAATAAATAAAGATACTGGGTCCATCTGCAGTTGAAAAAATTAAAAATAAAAAAAAAAAAGAGTATGTGAAGAAGGTGCTAACTCAAACAATGAGGCGGCACCAGCAACACAGAAAAAAAAAAAAAATTTCCAGAATAAGTATTGCATCCAAACAAGAACAGTAAGTGGTTTAAGAAGCAACCATTCAAGAACAAGGAAAAACTTGGGGCGAAGGGGAGAAAAAAATCAAGTTTTGCTTGAAATTAAATAAAAAATAGAGGAGATAGAAAAGAGGAAGCAGGAATGATGAGGATCAGTCCAATATGCTTGATATCTACCTAACAAATGTTCTAGAACAGGAGTAAGAAACAAAAATAAGGGGCTGGGGATGTGGCTCAAGTGGAAGTGTGCTCGCCTGGCATGTGCAGGGCGCTCGGTTCGATCCTCAGCACCACATAAAAATAAAAAAAATAAAGATGTTGTGTCCACCGAAAACTAAAAATAAATATTAAAAAAAAATTCTCTCTCTCTCTCTCTCTCTCTCTAAAAAAAGAAACAAAAATAAGGAGACATAGAGAATTTCTCATACCTGGGAGATAAGAATTTTCAGGTAAAAGGACTTAGTTTGTATAAGAAGATAAACCAAGTACAGATTAATGATTTTTTTTTAAACAATCAAAAACCAAACAATAAGACCTAAAAGTTTCTGAAGAGTATATACAAAGACTTGTGAACCTAAATGGCACCACTTTGAACTCAACATGATAATGAAACCATATCTCTGCAATTCTAAAAAAAAAAAAAAAAAAGTTTTCCTACCTGTAATTCTATATCTAGTCAAACTATGAAACATATCTACAAATGATATTTGTCACAGTTCTCAGTTCTCAAAAAAATTATAGCTCATGCATCCTTTACCCAGAAAGCTAGTAAGAATAAGCACTGTAGAAATAAAGGCAGAAATCAAGAAGTGGGATGCTTTGGGAGCTAGGAAATAGAGAGAGGTGAAAGAGAATTCCTGGGGTTAATAATGAAGCATATCTCAGAACCAGAGCAAATACCGAAGTCCAGATTGATGAATGGCCAATAGAAGGCCACAGGAGGGAGAGCTCTAGAAAAGATTCTGGGTTTGGTCATAAGGATGTTTATACTTGAGAAATATACGGGGTGGGGGGGCTGGTACTATGGCTCAGTGGTAGTGCTTGCCTAGTATGTGTGAGGAACTGGGTTCAATTCTCAGCACCACATAAAAGCTCAGTGGTAGAGCGCCTGCCTACCACATGGGCTCAATCTTCAGCAAATTTAACCTCTAAGACTACAATAATTTCAGAAAAACACAAAGTTGAAAAGAAAGGAAATTAAACTATATTTCATTCTGTGGATAATCTGTGATTAATATTGGTAGTTATTATAATAATAGAAACAATGAGGGGCTAGGGTTGTGGCTCAGTGGTAGAGTACTTGCCTAGCATGTGTGAGGAACTGGGTTCAATTCTCAGCACCATATAAAAAAAAAATAAATAAAATAAAGGTACTGTGTCCAACTAAAAAATATTAAAAAAAGAAACAATGAATACTAGCAAAAGTTGAGATAAAATTATAATTCTACAGTATTATTTGACTTTAAAATTTCAGACACTTATTCTACTAAGAATAAAATTTAAGGCTAAGCCAAGAAAATGAGTCTCAAAGTTTGAGGACAGACTGGGCTACTTAGTGAGATCCTAACTCAAAATAAAATAAAAAAGGATTGTGGATGAGTTCCGTGGGAGTGTGTGTAAACGTGTGAGGACCTAGGTTTAATCCCCACAACTGCAAAAATAAATACATAAATAAATACATAAATAAATAAAAATTTAAAGAGGTCCAAAATGTCAAAAGTTACAACAGATCCAAGCTATATAAATAAGTAGTTAAATTTATGCTTAGAAGAAGGTGAATTTCTTAACCAGTTTCAGCTGGGGTTGTGACTCAGTGGTAGAATACCTGCCTAGCATGCATGAGGCACTGGTTGTCCACCCCCTGTACCACATAATAAATAAACAAACAAATAAAATAAAGATATTGTGTCCATCTACAACTAAAATATATTTTAGTTGTATATATATGTATGTATGTATGTTGTATATATATGTATGCCAGTTTCATTTTTACACTCTGATTTCAGCTCTGTTTTTTGCTAGTTTGGTGATTTTGGATAAGTTACTATACCTTTCTGAGTTTCTTTATCTGTAAAATGAGGATGAAAACATCTACTTCATAAGGTTAGTGAAAATTACAACAGAATTATATAAAATAATGATGAAAACTATTAGTCAACTTTTGTTGAATGGGGTACTTTGCCTGTGATTTTATTTTTTGCAGTACTGAGAGTTGAATGCAGGGGCAGTCTAACACTGAACTACAACTTTTTTATTTTTTTTATTTTTGAGACAGGGCCTTGCTAAATTGATTAGGCAAAGCCTCAATCTGTGATCCTTCTGCCTCAGCTTCCTAAATCACTGGGATTATAAGGTATGTGCCATAGTACCTGGTTCACTTTGCCAATGATTTAAAGTACATTGGCTCTTTTAGTCCTCATAACTATCTGGGGTATTATTATAATCCCCTTTTACAGATAAAGAAACCTAAAATTCAAATCCAAGGCCAAGATTTGAACTCATACAGTCTTACTCTTAGGCGTATGTTTTTAACTTCTGTAGTGTAATGCACAATGGATTAGCAGAGATTAATAAATGGCATGTATTCTTTTTTTAAAAAAAAATTTACTAGTTGTTGTTGGACCTTTATTTATTTTTATGTGGTGCCGAGTATCAAACCCAGTGCCTCACACAGGCTAGGCAAGTGCTCTACCACTAAGCCACAACCCCAGCCCATAAATGACATGTATTTTTATGGTCATTATTAATTAATTAAAAGATAAAATTTATGGAAGAAATCTGAATATAGTCAATAGCTTCTATCTGACATTTGCGAACATCAACATATTTCAGATAACCTTGATTAAGATGCTACCTAACCATTCTTAACCATTTTCTTCCACCATCAAACAGCCTTCTCCTGTAAAATGACACTGAAATGAGACTATTTTCTTTTAGTAATGGAAATCATTAGTTAAGGAAGGCAAAAGTACTTTCTCTTTTTCCTTATCTGGAGGAAGGAACAAAGGTTGCTCAAATTATTACTTCCTTCAACTCTCTTTTTTGTTTCCTCAAGTGTATAGAAAATACGGAATACCAGGCTGGGGATGTGGTTCAAGCAGTAACACGCTCGTCTGGCATGTGCGGGACGCTGGGTTCGATCCTCAGCACCACATAAAAATAAAATAAAGATTTTGTGTCCACCGAAAACTGAAAAAATAAATATTAAAAAATTCTCTCTCTCTTCTCTCTTAAAAAAAAAAAATATATGGAATACCTCTTAGTTTTCCTTTCCCACATCTACTATGGTACGAATGTGTCCCCTCCAAAATTTTGGTGTTGCCAATGTGATATTATTAAGAGGTAATGCCTTTGAGTGATTAGGTCATGAGTGCTCCTCCCTCCTGAATGGATGAAGGCCCTCATAAAAGAGGCTTCACATGGCATTAGGCCAACTTGCCCTTCTGTCTTATGCCATGTGATGACACCACATTTCTCTCCTCCAGAGGATGCAGCAACAAGGTGTCATCTTGGAGGCAAAGAGTAGTCCTCACCAGACAAACAAAACTGCAGCACCTTGTTTTTGAACTTCCTAGCCTTCAAGCTGGAAGAGAATAAATCTCTTTTATAAATCTCTGTTTCTAAATTACTCAGTCTCAGATAGTGTTATAGCAGTACAAAACAAAGACACCATCCATCCCTGTACGCCAAATCCCTGATGCTGCAAGAGTAACATTTCACAGTTTAAACCATGTGTAATGTTCACTTTCAAGAACAGAAATTGGAATATAATACCAATATTTCTTCAGAAAAACATAAACTACTCTTGTCTGGTCACATGCCAAAGAATAGAGTGCTTATGGTAAAAGTAAGGAAAAGGAAAGATAAAATGTCTTAATCTGACACTTTCAGTACCTTGAACCTTTGTATCCACTGAGATCTTTGTCCATATCCAATTCAGGAGTGGACTCAATGATTGCTTGAACTTCTGACTTCTCTTCATTTTCAGCAGAGCCTAAAGAAGGACATGATGAAATAAACAAAACGTGTATCATACATGCCTTCATATGCAAATCCTGTTGCTTTTATGGTTGTGAATATATCATTTAAATATTTTTAAAATGCAATCATTTTAAAAATGGGTTTTAGGAAACATAGGGTTAGCCAATGTCATACATTCAGTTAATAGTCAATCTCAGAAATTATTAAGTTTTCATTTGTGTTTCTTGAGGGGACATAGTGTAGTGGTACAAGGCACTGCTTCCATTTCTATGTAAGGGGTGAAAAATAGAGAAACTAAAGTAACAGATTAACATACTTAGGTAGAGGACAGAAAAGGGTTGTCCTCCTGCCTTTTAAGCTCTCTAGCCTCCCAACCCCCAATATCTCTTTCCAAAACTTTATTATCTCTTTAATGTTTATTTACATTAAATATAATGAATTATCTACCATCTTTATATATCTAAAGCAGGCAACACCCCAACACATTCTTCTCTTTCCCACATCATCTGAGTTTTACTCAACACTTTGTTGATTAAGAACTAGGGTCACTTACCTGTAGATGCATTTCTAGTTTCTTGGGCTACCTGCACTTCAATATGTTTGCTTATGTCTGACTTATTTGGTGTGTCAGTACCCTTCACAGATCCTTCATTATCTTCCTTTAAGGGAGTATCAGGAGGAATTGCTGCCACATCTGAAGTAGCTATTGATGCTGGAGTGGTAGCTTTAGATCCACCTTGGCTAACATCAGAAAGTTCATCCTACAAATAAAGATAATTGAGGAGGCAATTTTAACTGAATAATTTATTCTAAACCACTTAGAAATCATCTAGGGGCTGGGAGCACAGCTCAGTGGTAGAGTGCATGCTTAGCATGAACAAGGCCCTGGGTGTAAACCCAAGCATTGGGGGAAAAAGAGTTAAGAAACAACTGTACTAGAGAAAGTCCTACCCCCTTAAAAAAAGAAAAGAAAAACAGGCAATGAAGAGTCACTGATTACCAATAAATAATCTGTCTAGATCATTTGCAAATAATATTTAAGTAGAACATATTTTTCCAAACATACATGAGATTTTTCTAAACAGAAAACTGGAAACTAAAGATGTATTAGTAATAAAATTATAAAACTACACACTCATTTGTTAATAATACTTTGTAATAGCCGCTCTAAAACAGCAATGAATTCAGCAATGATTCAGGACAGTTTTGTGATCTTAAAACATCCTGCCATCCAAATCACTTAAGTATTTGTCAAAAAGACAGATTCTAAATCCAACTCCCTACTTAATGCACCCAACTTTAACAGTGAGGTCAGGTTATCTGCAATTTTATAAGCAACTCAGGTGATTCATATACTCATTTAAATTTAATATAAACTACTATTCTAGGATCTCCAAATAGAGTTAAAGGGACACGTGTTCATATGAAAATGTATGCAAAATCTATGTACTGTAAATTTTTCTGAAAAAGAATGTACAGTTTTTAACAGATTTTCAAAAAGGTCCAAAATAATGAATTAAAAACTGTCCAATGGATATCAAGAATGATATAATTCTTTTAGAGCAAAGTACAAAGGTCTATGGAGAATAGAACATGACAAAAAGTCTACTTCTAAGCCAGGAATAGTGTAGTCCAGCTACTCAGGAGGCTGAGGCAGAAGAATCAGCTGAGCCTAGAAGTTGAGGGCCAACCTGAGAAACACAATGAGGTACTCTCTCTTAAAGAGGGAAGGAAAAAAAAAAGTTTTACTACTGCTAAATAAGAACAAGGGTAAATTCAATAAATTTACCATTCACTAAATGTATGATCTCAGGTAGATTATACATTCTTTCTATATCTATATTCTGTAATCTGTATCTACTTTATAGGATTATTATAAGTTTTTCTATATACTAGTTTAGCAATGCACTTCATACATACTACATGTTTAAAACGTCAGCTGTTACAATTTCTCATGGTAATTATACTTACATAATTTAACAGTTCCCCTATACCCTATCCCAGCCTTTTTTTCTTCTTCTTTTTAACTGATGAGAAATGTAGAAAGTTAAAGGACGTAGAAAATTAAAGAACTGGTACATCCAGTGTGGAGTAATCCACTAAGATTCTGAAATATCACTCAGCACAATGGCAAACGCCTGTAATCTCAGCTACTCAGGAGGCTGAAACTGGAAGATCACAAACTTGAGGCCAGCTGGGACAACTTAGAGAGACCTTGTCTCAGAATAAAATAAAAAGGGCTGAGGATGTAACTAAGTGGTGGAACATTTGCCTAGCGTACTGGAGGTCCTGAGTTTAATCCCCAGGAGCAGAGGATAAGGAAAAAAAAAAAAAAAAAAGATTCTGAAATATTTTAGCTGTATTGGTAAATTTGGGTTCTAACACATGGGTAAAACCGAAGTGTTTGCTTAAGACCCTTGGTTCCAGTACATTCTTGCTATTCTCAACTTTTAAAAATGACTATACTTGCACTTGTACAATAACTGGTCAGCTACGTTATTTTATCAATCATCATTTTGTGTATATCCATGGCAGACAATGATCCATTTACCAAAATAGAATTTCCACTTGGACTTTGAATCTATTAAAAGAAAAATAAAACAATATATCCATTTTAGAGTATAATATCTACTTAAAATGAATTTTCAGTAATACAGTAAAATGCTTATGTTACATTAGGAAGAAGTATACATTCTTCAAGAAATAGTTAAAGATGTACACATGCTGTCATTTATAACAGCAAAAAAAATCCCAAACAAGTTTATAGAAACAGAGTAGAATGCCGGTTATTAGGAGCAGGGTGGGGAGAGTGGTATGGCAGGGAGGGAGAAATGAGGAGTTACTAACCAAAAGCCAGAAAATTTCACTTGAGCAAGATAATTAAGCTCTAGAGATCTATTGTACAATACTAGACAAAACTGTCAACAATAATATATTGTAGACTTAAAATTTAAAGAGGGTAAAACTCATGTTAGTGGTTCTTATCACAATAAAATACTGCAAACAACCTTAATGATTCAAGATAGGAGAATAAGCAAATTATGATACATTTGTACAACTGAACCCTATGCAGCAATTAAAGTTGCGTTGAAGGGGTTAGGGGTGTAGCTCAGTGGTACAGCATTGGCCTAGCATGCACAAAACCTTGGGTTCCATCCCCAGCACCACAAACACACACAAAAAGAAAGTTTTGCAAATACAACATGGATTAATACATTTTTATAAAGCATCATCAACTAAAATAATATATTAGAATATAAAACAATATAAGAAGTATGGTCCCAAAGATTCTTTTGTTTTGTGCAATACTGGGGTTTGAAGAAGGGCACTCTACCACTGAATTATACTGGTAATAGGGGAGAATTTTCAAGAGTCAACAAAGAATGGAAACTTCAGACTTACAGCATATACTAAGAGTAGTAAATCTATATATGAATATATATGAATATATACCATAAATAAAATACAAAATATCAAAGATGTCTACTGCTAAGGTCTGAATGTTTGTCTGTCCTCCCCAAATTCGTATATTGAAACTTCAACATGATAATGTAAGGAGTGAGACCTTTGAGAGATGCTTAGATCTTGAGGCTAGAGCCCTCATGAGTACAAATATAATACCCCTATAAAGGACACCCCAGAGACAGTCTTAATCCTTCTACCGTGTACAGACAAAGCAAAAAGGTGCCATCTGAGAACCAGGAACTGTGCCCTCTGCAGACACTGAATCTGCCAGTATTGATCATAGACCTCCCAGTCTCCTATATCCCCAGCTCTTTTTTATTTTGAGACAGGGTCTCAAGTTGATGAGGCAGGCCTTGATTGCCTCAACCTTCCAAGTTGCTGACTAAGATTACAGGCCATAAGCCATCACTCCTGGCTCTTGGTCCCAAAGTTTTTTTAAAAGCATGTAAATCAACTAAGCATAGGGAATAAAATTTACTTTCTTTTTGTGACACTTTTTAGCTTTTCTGAAATTTTTTAATAGGCAACTGGTACTTTAAGGGGAAAAAGTAAATACATTCTAAACAAATTCAAATGAATAGAACTACATGAACTTTTCTTCAATTTGAGGTAAAGTTTTGAGGGGGAAAAGCATTCATACTTATTTATACTTTTTATGAATAAAGAAAGCATTTTTAATGGCTTGCATTTAAGATTAACTTTGTGATCATCTGTCATCTTAATTACAATACTAACCATACGCTAATAAAGTTAGCTAAATTATACAATTATTTTCTTCTGTGGATCTCAAACACTGGACTTAATTCCAGCGAAAAGATAGACGATTCAAAGAAAGAAATAGTTTAATTCTCCATCATCTCCACCTTCCTTAAGTTAAAACATAAAACTGCTATTTCCTTGAGCTGATGATTGGCACCTAATATACGACACACAGAAGGAAGCCCTGAACTTAATCCCCCACATGGCAAAACAAAATAAACAAACAACAATAACAACAAAACCGTACTAAGTCAAGCAAATTATCTTGTTTAGAGTTGAGTCATAAACTTTGATAATAATGTTTCTGGAGCCAAAGAGGACTATAGAAAAGACAAGTAACTATAAGCCACCACCATCCCAGAATGACTCTTTGTCTTTGCTTTGATATGCACTCAATAAAAAATAAAAGTCCCGTATGGTGTGGTGATACACATTTGTAATCCTAGCAGCTCAGGAGGCTGAGGCAGGAGGATTACAGTTCAAGGCCAGCTTCAGCAATTTAGCAAGACTATAAGCAATCCAATGAGACCCTTTCTCAAAATAAAAAATAAAAAGGGTTTGTTTCAGGGGTTGAGTGCCCCTGGTACCAAAAGAAAAGGGGAGGGTGGTGGATATTATTTGGTTCATCTAACAGCCTGGCTAATTCATATTTGTGTTATCATATACATGAATTCCCATCCTTCAAAGGTTCAGAATGTAACACATGTTTAAGAATATAAAACTCCATAGTCCTAATGAAAGCTCTCAAATCCATCAAGACTGTGGATTCAGAAAGTGTTATAGAATATCAAGTTCATCTATACTAAGAAAATTATATGCCTTTGAAACTATTTGAAAAAAAAAATAATTTGAGGTCAGTCTTGGACTTGACATTTCCCACTTAAATAAAAGTAGAGAAAATATTTCTTCTTTATCCTTACCATTCCAGCCATCAACACACTTCTTCCAAAGCCTGGTCATTGTCATCTTAAATTTTTTAATTAATAATTAAAGAGTTAACAATATAAACTCATGGGCAAAAGCCCACTTTCCCAAATTCATTTATGAACCTGAATGCATGAAGTAAAAAGAGCCAGGAGAAAGGTGAACCTAAAACAGGAAAAGGACTATAATATCTCAGGGATCCAAAGATTTCAGGCTAGAAGGAAGTCGAAAATTAAGATCTCAAAAGAAAATGATATCCTAGGCTATCTGAATAACAAGATTTATGTATCAGTAATCTACTTCCACTTTTTACGTTTGCTGCACAAAAAGATTTTATGCTCTTTAAAACAAAGTCACTTCTGACAACTAGATCCCAGGGATGTAGCATGAGAAAGAAAAGCTCTGTATTTTAGGCAGATAGTTGTCAAAAGAGGTACTTATTTCTCCTCGGTCTCCCAGGCAGTGGTGATATAATACTCCCAAGATTATACTTAAACATAGTCTTTGCTATAGCGTTTGGGCAGGGGCATGACATTCTTGTATTGTGTCTCCAACTAAAGACAGAATGAAAGCAACAAGCCCAAATACCTATGGCTAACATGTGGCTCTGTGGTAGAGCACATACCTAGCATTCATAAGGCCCTGAGTTCAATCCCAGGTGTCACCAAAACAAAAACAAAGGAACCAGAAAATTACAATGAAATGGTATCTTGTTCCAAATAGGATAGCTACTATTCAATTAAAAACACAGAGTAACAATCCTAGCAAGGATGTGAAGAAACTAGAATCCCTGAACACTGCTGGCAGAACTGTCAAAACAACACAACTGCTCTAGAAAACAATGTGGAGGTTCCTCACAATAATTTTTTTAAAAAATAAAACTACCATATCATCCAGCGATTTCACTTTGGATATATACTGAAAAGTGAAAAGGCGGTCTCAAAAGAGCTTATTTGTACAGTCACATTTGTACAGTCACATTTGCACCATACGAGCTATTATTCACAGTAGCCAGGAGGTAGAAGCAACCCAAATTTGCCACTGATAGATGATTGTATAAATGAAAGGTGATACATACGATGGAATATTATTTGCCCTTAATAAAAAAAAAAAAAAGAAATCCTACCACGCCCTGTCATATGGACGAGGACATTATGCTAAGTGAAATAAACCAGTCTCAAAAAGACAAATACAATATGATCCTATTTGTATGAGGTATCTAATACATGGGGTCAAATTCATAAAACAAGGTGTAATGGTGTTTTCAAGGTTGGAGGGAGGGAAATTACCATGTAACTGGTATAGAATTTTAGATATGCAAGGTGAAAAAGCTCTGAAATCTGTTTCACACTAATATGGATGTACTTAAAGATTATTAAGATGGTAAATTCTTTGTTGTTGTTTTTGGGTTTTTTTTACCATAACCACAACAAAGACTCAATATTTTGGTTTCACTTGAGACACCATGGTTGAAACAATCTGGTCTTTGTATACATTTTCCTACTGGTATTATATATCAGGCTAAAAGTCTATAAGCCTTTCAAAATATTTTTAGTTGTTCCATTCATCAAATGGGTCATGCACTCAGTGCTAGGGTGAATATATATGTCATATGTTATCTGGCATTACACCATCACTATTTTCTAATAAACTACATGCATAATTATAGAAAGTAGATTATTCCATTAAGAACAGCTTACAAATACTACATGTTCCAATGTAGTGTTTTACCTAAGTAGCCTGCCTTCATTTGAAATAAGCTAAATAAAGGGCCAAGCAACTCTGTTAAATTTGTCTACCATTTATTTATTTGTTTGTTTGTTTGTTTATGGTACCAGGAATCAAACTCAGGAGCACTCGACCACTGAGCTACATCCCCAGCCCTATTTCATATTTTATTTAGACCCAGAGTTTCACTGAGTTGCTTAGCACCTTGCTTTTTCTGAGGCTGGCTTTGAACTTGTGATGCTCCTGCCTTTGCCTCCTGAGCTGCTGGGACTACAGGTGTGTGCCACCACACCCAGCTTAACCTTTCAGATTTTAAGGTTTTATAAGCTGAAAGTAAAGAAAAAATTACAATTAAGTAACTAGATCCATACAGGATGTCCTACTATATAACACACACCATCTTATAATTTTATATTTACCTTTCTTTTTCTCCAAATAAGTCAGACTCTAAAGCAGTGGTTATTAAACTCTCAATTTACAATTCTAAGGCACAACAATCACACAATTCTGTGTGTACATTCATTTTTTTGGAGTTTCATGTAAAAGAATTTGACCCAAAGAAACACTGAGAACCAAAACTCTAAACACTCATATATAGATAAAATATATTATAGGTGTAAACAATATTGCAGGATCAAAAGAATTCAGATTACTAAAGGAATGATAGGATTATCCTAAGGATATTCCTGGGGGGAATAAAGAATGTTATTTCAGTGTCAATGTTGAGGGGCTTCCATACAGACCTAGGTTAACTCCTGACGTAGCAGAGAAAGTCTTGTCTTTTTATTCCCCATATCCAACATACCAAGACTCACATGTACTAGGCTTTTAACAGTTGTCTGCTGAATAAAGCTGAAGAAACCTATTAAACTAGGGGAGCAATTCAAGGTAAAAAGACAACAAGGGCTGTCTCCAGGATCCATACAAAGTTAAGTACCTTTACCTTAAGGAAGATATTTGTACAAAGTGTACCAGTTTTCTTACCTAGAGCTGATAAGTGGAAACAGGCAGAATTTCCATAAGACTTACTTGTCCTTTCTTCTCCTTTATTTCAAAATATTTATTTTGGAGGAGGAATAAATTTCAAACTACAGTAAAACCCTGACAACTACTGTATAATAAAGTATTTCTTTTGTATTTTAGTGAATAACATCAATAGTCTTCCAAACTGACCATATGATATTTTGAGAATAGCAGTTGAGGAAGTAACCAATAGTTAAACACTTTTATTTTTTTGTAAAATGTTTTTAAAGACCATTCTCACCTCCTGTTCTACAGCCTTCAGAGGTTCAGGACTATTGCTGACCTGGGAAGAGGGAAAGATTATAAAAGAAAAAAATTACGTATTTACTAGGTGTTAATATCTTTGGCTTATACTATCTCTTAGGCTACAATGTTCATCTCTCTATTATCTACTATATTTAAAATGAAAGTTTGGTTTTGTTTTGATTTCAAATAACCTCCTCTAAGACTCTAGTTTAAGTTATATTATGAAGTAAAATTCTGCATCAGAAGCTACCACTTAGATTAGAGTCTTACTATGTACTTTTAATAAGCAGCTTTTCACTTAACCCTTTTTTCTACTTACACAACTCTATGAAATTTTCCTGACACTTATGTCAGTCACCTTGAATATTTAACTTAGTAAATATTAAAGGGTACTATACAGGCAGGTATGGTGGCACACGCCTGTAATCCCAGCAGCTTGGGAGACTGAGGCAGGAGGAATGCAGGTTCGAAGCCAGCCTCAGAAACTCAGCAAGACTGTAAGCAACCTAGTGAGACCCTGTCTCAAAATAAAAAGTAAAAAGGGCTGGGGATGTGGCTCAGTGGTTAAGCGCCCCTAGGTTCAATCCCTGGTACCAAAATATAAATAAATAAAGTATATTATACTTAAAATATTCACTACAACCTCTTCTCCTATCTACCATCACTTCTACAAACAAGAGTACAAGTTTCAAACTCTTTTCCATAAAAACATCTATTTATTCACATTCTTTATTTCTATATGTACCTTTTCCCTCTATGAAACAAAAGTATATCTCTTAAAGACAAAGCAACCTCAAGTTTTAAAAACTCTTGGGCTAGAAATTTATCAAAGTCTTTTTAGGAGCTGGGGCTGTAGCTCAGTGGCACAGCGCTTGCCTTGCATGAGGCACTGGGTTCGATCCTCAGCACCACTTAAAAATAAAACAAATACAAATAAAATAAAGGCATTCCGTCTATCTACAACCTCAAAAAAAATTTTTTTAATCTTTTTGTAAGGTTACACTATAACTGCTAGTTCAGTCAATTCTAAAACAAACAAAAAACCCACAGACTGCCTCTCCCTTAATAGATACTATTTTTTCTAGCATTGTTGAGGTATAATTGAAAAGTAAGAATAGTATATAGTTAAGGTGTACAATTTGATGTTTTGATATGTGTATACATTGTTGAAATGATCACCACAATGAAGTCAATTAACACATCCAGCCACTCAGTTACCACATGTATGCATACACACACACACACACGATGAGAACACTTAATGCTTGTTTATATATTTAATTCTGGATTCTTGTCATTTTTATTCTCAGCTATTCACTTTATTAAAAACTAGGTAAACCGGGCATAGTGGCAGATGCCTGTAATCCTGCAGCTTGGAAGGCTGAGACAGGAGGATCACCAGTTCAAAGCCAACCTCAGCAACTTAGTGGGGCCTAGGCAATTTAGCAAGACCTTATCTCTAAATAAAATATAAAAAAGGGATGGGGATGTGGTTCAGTGGTAAAGCACCCCTGGGTTCAATCCCTAGTACAAAACAACAACAACAACAATAACAACAGCAAAAGACCGTAGGTAAAAAAAAAAATACATTGTTAAATAAAAAAGCAAGCTGCAGAAAAATACTTCAGAGTCAGGAGCGGAGGTGCACACCTGTAATCCCAGAGGCTCGGGAGGCTGAGCCAGGAAGATCTCAAGTTCAAAGCTAAGGCTTTAGCAAAAGCGAGGCACTGAGCAACTCAGTGAGACCCTGTCTCAAAATAAAATACAAGATAGGGCTGGGGATGTGGTTCAGTGGTCAAGTGCCCCTGAGTTCAACCCCTGGTCCCCACCCTCTGACCCCCAAAAAAGAAAGAAAAAGAAAAATACTTGAGAGCATAAACCCAATTTTCTTAGAAAGTTTTTATGAGAATGTGTTATCTATGTGCATCCGTGAAGAATAAGGTGTAAAGGATACATTGACTAAATTTACAATGACTGGGGGAAGAAACTTTCCATTTTTTACTTTATGTTCTTCAGTATTACTAAAAACCGTAAACTGAATTAATGCAACTTTTAAAAACACATTATTAACTCCGCTTTGTAAAATATTTAGGCTTTGAGCACCTCAATATCATTTCTAGTAGATGACACTGTGTCTGAAAGACAGCATAAATAAATTGTGTGTGTTTGTGTGTATTGCTAAGGATGGAACCCAGGGCCTCATGTATGGCAGGCAAGCACTTTAGCACTGAGCTACCTCCTCAGCACAGTAAATATTTTTGGATGTGAAATAGCATGGTAGTTTTTCTTCAATAAGAAATGTTTAAAAAACAACCTTTTCTTACCCTAAATATTAAATATTACTAAGTATTCAATAAATATATATGTTCCAATTACTTCAAAAGATGCCACATTCAAAATATAAACTTTATAAACATTATCATTTTCAAAGTGTTGCTTATTTCAAATTTTCCCTCATTTTTACTGGTGCATTATATAGTTGTACATATTGATGGGACTGTTACATATCCGTTCGTGCACACAATATAATTTAGCCAATATCTATTTATATTTTTATCAATTTTTACTCTCAATATATGTAAGCATCTTGTTCAACACGAGTACAACTAATATTCAACAAAACTTACTTATAAACACCTACTGATATTCCATTTCCCTTTCCCCAAGTAAAAGTTTAAAAGAGAAGAAAATACAAAATAATCAAAGAACTAAGTCTTTATACTTTTTTCCCTTCAAACAGTAAGGATCAGCTATGGGTGGCTCCTCAAGTTATCAAATGAGAATATATGTAAGAAAACAGCTGCAAACAAATATTGAGATTATAGAACAAATACCTTATCCACACTCACAAGCAAAAGTAGTATGAAATATCACAAAACTTTTTTTCTTAAAATTCTTTTATTTTACCCTCTTATAAAACAGTAGTATAAACATCTAAAAGGAGGTTATACAGGGTTATAAACTAATGGGAAAACCCAACATGAGCAACAACAAAAAAAGGGGGCTCAGATGCAATCACATTCCAAGAAATAAGAATACTAAGTGCCTAGATCTTGGTTTCTAAATACCATTCTTCAATATAAGGAACCGGGGAACCTGGAGAAGATGCTGACTGCAGAGCTGAGGTGGGGAAAATACAAGAGCCTAGAGCAACTTACGGTGCCAGTAAGGAAGAAAAGAAGTATTCAAAAAAAAAAAAAGGTGGCTGGATTATGGCTCAGTGGTAGAGTGCTTGCCTCTCAAGTGTAAGGCACTGGGTTTGATCCTCAGCACTATATAAAAATAAAAAAAGGTATTGTATCCATCTACAACTTAAAAAAAAAAAAGGGATGTGTTGAAAGATTAAAGAAAACAACCTGAAATAACTCCCAATGTCTAAAGCTGGATTGATTTGAGAAACCAAATAAATGATAAGATTGCATAGTCCACAAAATAAAAAATATATACACTGAGTCCAAATTTAAGAAAAGGAAGAAGACAGGGAAGGAAGATGACAGCAACTTCTTACAGAAGTATACCAATTAATATATGTAGGGTGAAGAAAAAAGAAATAACCATTTGTAGTATTTTACTAATAATTTTGGTAGAAAGATCTACTGATGGATGTTAAAAGTTTGAGAAGAAACAGAAAATTTGTAGTCTTGAAGTATATCCACTAAAATATTATTTAATTATAAATGGAAAAATATTTATTTTACAATGGAGACATCCAATTGGTTGAACAGAGTGATCAAAGCTAACATTACCACCAATAACATTGACGTTATAGTATTTACCTCCTGATATGATTCATTTAAAAAGGCATATAGCATCTATGATATTCTTGCCAAAAACAAAAAAACGGACAACTGTATAACCTCAATCTGATCATGAGAAATCATCAGAGAAGCCCAATGAAAAGATGTTCTACAAAATAATCAACCAGTATCCTTCAAAAGTCTCAAGGTCATGAAAGAATTGTCATGTCCAAGAAATTAATATTTGACAACTAAAAGAAACATGGGATCCTAGATTGGATCCTGGAACAGAAAAAGGACAAACAGTGGAAACTCTAACACAAACCTGTAGTTTAACTCATAGTATCATACCAAAGTTAATTTCTTATTTTGAAAATTGTACTATAGTTAGTTTACATTTAGAGAAGCTGGGTGAAAGGTCTGTTGAACTCTACTATTTTTGCAACTTTTCTGTAAGTCTAAAATTATTTAAAAAAAAAAGGTTTTAAAAAACTTTTAATTATTTGAAAATTTAAAATTACACATGCATTTAAAAATAGGAATCTTTAATATCAGAAAACAAGAAAAAAATGGTTCAACTATTATTAAGATTCGAGTTTGTGAAGACTAAAGAAACAGGAACAATTTTAGAACTTAACCACAAATGGAGGAGGATGGAAAATTCTTTTCAGTAAGAATGCTGGCTCTGTTGAGACATTTCCTGTTCTGTATGCTAAGCACATCCCCTGAAGAATGCAGCACACATTGACCACTGGCTTTACATACCAAACTCTGCTAACAAGGGCTTCTCACAGCAGTATGACCAAAGTATTTCAAATCATATGTTTTGGTTTTTAGTATTTATTTTTTAGTTGTAGTTGGACATAATACCTTTATTTTATTTTATTTTCATATGGTGCTGAGGATCAAACCCCAGGCCTCACACATGCTAGGCAAATGCTCTACCACTGAGCCACAACCACAGCCCCTCAAGTCATATAGTTTTTAAAAGAACACTTTAAAAGTTATGTAAGTAGTTACCAATCTAATTGCTTTTTAATTAGCTAAAATTGTTGCCCTCCATTTTAAAATTCACATTCTACTAATAATCAACAACCCAGGATACTCTTCAAAGAAAAAAATATTACTTTTTTGGAGAATGTATAACTGTGTGGGAGTACACATATATATTATCCCATCTATATAATTTTCATACTTTCCCCAATACTTTTTACTGCAGCATTGTTTATAATAGCGAAGACTAGGAAAACAAAGGTGTCCCATTCAATGAAGATTTAAACTACAGATAGGCATGAGTAATCCACTTCCTCTGCTTATCTTCTCAAGTTCCAATGGTCTTTCTTTACTCATCTTCAATTTCTCCTGCTATTGAACTTTTCTAGGCTCACAAATAATCTAGTCACTCCCATTCTCTACCTTCTACCATGCAAACCTCCACCTCCACCTCAAGTTATTCTTTTACTCTCCTCCCACCATAACCACCTTTCTTGAGCAGGCTATCCTTGCCATGATCTTCTTTTACAATTCACATTCATTCCTATTACTGGCCCTGCAACTCAAACTGTTTAAACCTACACCTGAAAATTTACAAATTCAGTCTCATTCTGCTTGACTTCTGTATACCAACTGATCTTGGAGACAACTCCTTCTATTCGCTTATCCCTGACTGCCAGGGATGAAGTTCTTACTACAACCCCTGACAATGCCCTTCTCTTCCTGAGCATCCTCCTCTTCTCCATTCCAGCTGCCCCTCCCCCCAAACACACACACACACACACACAAGCACGCACACGCACACGCGCGCGCACCCACACACGATGCTTTCCTTACTTGCTCAGGTTCTGAAGCCCTCTGCCTGGCCCCTTTGCTTGGGTAGGTTCTTTCATCCTGCTTAGGATTTCACACCCCAAAGCCAGGCTGCCCCACTGCAGGGGTGTCCTTTAAACTGCTGGGCCCCACATGGAAACCCACCTAACCTTGCTTGAGTTATAATGCTTGCTCCACCCTGCCCCACCTTACAGACACCAACCTTGCTCTGCACTACCTACTGGCTTTGGGACTGAATTGTGCAGAAAGGAACGGGTAACGGAAGATAAAGCAATACTACATCATTAGAGCTTTATAGTAGGTTTTAATATTTGGCAAGGCAAGTTCCTATGCTACTTCTTCAGGTTTGTCTTGGTTACATTTGACCTTTTGTTCTCTGATTTCTTCTTGTTTTGGCATCTTATTCATGAATATAATTCAGTTCCATTAAAAAAACAAAACAAAATACATCATCCCAACAATTTTTTTGCCCATCCCCACCCTTAGGACTTAAAACAACAACAGCAGCAGCAAATTTGGTCATTTGATGTCTATTCTATCAGAAGTCCCCCAGTAAAAAATTTCTTTTAATGATACAACATATGTAAAACTCCTTTCTTTCTACTTTGAACTAATCTTAAAGCTCAATTTGACAATCATCAATAGAGTATCAAGTGAGGCTTCATGCAAGCTGGCCTTGAAAGAGGGTATTTCTCCTGGTAGGCAAACTAGGAAGAAAAGTATTGAATACAGTCTTGAGTCAGGGAGGAATCAAGGTTGGAGATTCAAATTTGTGAACACCCACATGTAGATGACATTCGCAGACATGGAACTTGACTTATCTAGATTAAGAGATGGGCTGAGTTATGTGCCCTGTGATATTCTAACATTTAGAGGACAAAAAGTAGAAAAAACCATCAGGGGAAAAGGGGCAGGAAAAAAAACAATGAGAGGGGGTGGTTGTATCCTGGAAGCAAACTGGAAGAAACTTTTCAAGAAGTTTAATGTATTTGAATGCTGCTAACAAGGTAAGGCCAGAGAATCTTCTACTAGACTTGGAAAGAGGGATGTTTTAGGAAACCTTTGACAAAAGGGATGTTGGTACAGGAGATAGGACTCAAAAATCTGAGATGAACCAGACAAAGAAAAATACAACAAAACTTCAAACACACAAGTATGTCTCCAGCCCAGGGTCTTACAGTTGCTATCTCATCTTCCTCACACACTTATTTCTCCAGACCATTCCATACACCTACCTGCACATCCCCATGCCGTCACTCTAAAATAAACACCTTTCCCTACTGACTACTCTGTAGCTTACCTTGCTTTCTTAATAGCACTTAACAATACTTGCAGTGCTATTATTTAACTTATGTTTACTTGTTTGTTGATTTCCACAGAATGTGATAAATCAAGAAATATGTATAAATTCTTTTTTTTAAGAAGTTTCTAGGCACATATCATTCCTAGAAAACCCACTGAATTATTTATAATCTCACTAACCACAAGGCTCCCACAATGGGAAATTTCAATATAGCAACAAAGATAGTCCGTAACTTTATAGTCTCCTTTATTGTTTTTTTTTCCTCTACAAAGTTTTCTAATATTTTGTTCTCCATTTCCTTAACTCATGTGGTTTTATTACAGAATATTTTCACCTTAAACTTATTTACCGAAAGAGTGCTAGTAAAATGAATGTTAATTATAATTTTAACTTTTGATATTTTTCCCATTTATTTTAATGCCTCAAACATAGCTAGTTCATCCCCAAAGTTCTCAGGAGAAATGAGAATAGCAGGATATTTTAAATTAGAGATAGTCTAGTTCAATTCCTGAATCACATGGAAGCCAAGATGAGAGAGTATGTGACATGCCTGGGATAGGGCCTACCAGTAAATTCAGTCCTTGTCACTTAGGCCTTGGTAAAAGTTAGAGAAAAACATCTGATTATAAGGGTTTAGGCGAAAAATAAAATAAGTCCTAATTATTAATAAGCATATTTTGCAAACAGGACTTGTGCCATTTTACAATGTACCATCTTGTTCCTGAAAACTGTTAGCTTTAAAATAGTTGCCATATGCTATGTGTGTGTATGTATGTATGTATGTATGTGTGTGTGTGTAGATATCTATATCTATATATATCTATATCTATATCTATATATATATATATATAATTTTTCTGTAAAGATGGACACGATATCTTTATTTATTTTATTTTTTATGTGGCACTGAGGATCAAACCCAATGCCTCATGTGTGTGAAGCAAGCTCTCTACCGCTGAGCTATAACCCCAGCCCCCGGTATATATTTTTGATATACTAAAAGTATCCCTCCTACTTAATTTTGTTTTGGGAAACGGGATATGGCAAGTGGGCGATGGGTATTTTGAAAATCTACTAAACCTACAGGCAGGCTAAAAAAAGCCAGTATGGCTGTGGGAGTAAAAACTGAGAGTGTTTCCTAGTGTTTCCACAGTGGAGTAATATTAAACATAATTGGCTTCTAACAAATTGAGCAAGAAGGGGGAAAAAATGGGGCAAACCTTAATGTTGAAAATATCTTTAAATGGGACAAGAGCTACCAAATATTTGCTATGTGCTTACTGTTTTAAGAACATTCCAAAGGTCAACAGCATTAGTTTGAATGTTTATACCAACTGAAGCTGAGAGAAAAACCATTTTATCCTAAAAGATACTTTCTAACATTTAAAACATAAAATTCATTAGAAAAACATGTTCTCAGTACACATTTATATATTGTCTATAATATGCTAGCTATACATTTTTCCAAGTGCCAGGGATACAGATGAAATTTATGTTCTCAGTGGAGAGAATATAGTAAAGTAAACAATGTGAGGGAGCAGTGATGCATACCTTTAATCTTACCTTATAAGCACTAAGAATCACAAGTTCAAGACCCTGTTCTCAAAAAATCAACAAAAATGGCTAGAGGTGTAGCTCAGTGTTAGTATGCATAGTATGCATGAGGCCCTGGGTTCAATCCCCAGTTGGGGGGAAATGGAGAAGGATAAACAAGTAAATGACAGTATTTTAGAAGATAGTGAGTGATATCTTTAAGTACTAAGGTCATGATAAGGATTATGGAAAAAATACAGCATGAAAAGGAAATTATATACAACTAATTCATTTGTATTCAAAACAAATGGCCTGTTTGCATCACAGAGAGTTGATTATATAATGTAACAAGGCATTTTTATAATCAATATTCCTTTCATAAATGTCCTATTTTATAAAATATAGAACTTTAAATTTTTGTTTATTTTCTGAAACAGGGTCTCATTATGCTGCACAGGCTGGTCTCAAACTCCTGGGCTCAGGTTACCCTCTTGACTCAGCCTCCTGAGTAGCACAGGTTACAGGTGTCACCATCAGCCCAGTTACAATGCACTTTTGTACATTACTTTATAAAGTGGTTTGAGAAAGTAACAGTGGTTTGTTTTTACATCTTTTCTTTTCTCGTGATGAACACGACCTTGAGCATGTTAGGCAAGTGTTCTACCACTGAGCTATACCTTTGGCCCTTGTTTTGTTTTTAGAATCAAGCCCTACTAAATTATCAAGTTTCTACCAGTGAACCAAGGATTTTGGGTGACAATGATTCTTAACTATAAAAAACATAATGAGGGGCTGGGGTTGTGGCTCAGCAGTACAGTGCTCACCTAGCACATGCGAGGCCCTGGATTTGATCCTCAGCATACTAAAATTAAAAAATAAAATAAAAATAAAGGTATTATGTTCAACTACAACTAAAAAATAAATATTAAAAAAATGAGGTTCATTAATCATCCCACCCTAAATTCATATTATGTATGTAGCCTAAACCAAATAGAAATTAATTTTGTTATTACTAATAAAGATATAACAATGTTTAACCTTGTTTTTCTATGTAACTTGTAATAGGATGATAGAAAACTAACCCTGGAAAGAGCTCATTTCTAACTTAAATATTTCCACAAAATAAAGCTTACCTTCAGACTGGTATGAGAACGTGGTTGACTTAATTCTTGAAATTTCCATTGCTCTGATCCTGGGGTCTCACCTCCTTTCTGAGTGTCAGGTGTAAGCAATCCATCTCCAGCAGGTAATGGAAAAATTCCTAAGGATATAGGGCGTTCTTTTCTATTTGGAGAGGGGAGAAAAAAATTAGCAATAATTTATTTTTATTGATCATGACTATAAGTCATAAACCTGAATTGTCACTGCTTTGGGATTGATCCTCTTAAATAATATTGTCTGTCCATTTGAACAGGTAGACCTACCAAGGAGAAAGGACACTTTCAGAAGTTTAAATTCGTTCTCAAAAATTAACTAAGAAGAGTGTCAAGAAACTGTTTAGAAAATCTCACATGTTACTGATAAGATTCTTGCCCAGAATGCAGTGTTCTGGTCTGGTGAGTTTTTAATCATGCTTAGAGTAACAATAGGTGGATGCACAACCTCCTCCTTTGGAAGTGAGCCCAACTCCTGCACTTAGACTTTCCAAATCCTCACACTAATCCCTGCATGTTCACTGAAGCCTTTTCAAGGTATCCTTTTTGGTCTAGAGGAAAATCATTACATTATTTGAATCATAGCTAGTGATTAAATGGTAAAAAAGAACTCCCTAAAAAAGCAGGAAGTTCTTCCTTCCTTCCTTCTTTCTTTCTTTTTTTTTTTTTTTAACTGAGGATTAAACTCAGGGTCACTCTACCACTGAACTGAGCCACATCCCCAGTCCTTTAATGTTGTTGCATTTTAAAATTTTGAGACAGGGTCTCATCTTGATCTTCCTGCCTCAGCCTTGATTACAGCTGTATTATAGGCATGAGCCACCAAACCTGAGTGAAATTCTATTATTCTACAGATCACTATACGAATTCCTTATAGGCACAGTACATATGAGAAAAAAACTATTGTCATTTTTTTTTCAAGGAGCCAAAAGAATTCTATAAAACTCTTGACTTTCCAATGCTCTTGTTAAAGTATAATAGGAGTTATACTTTTAATAGAATTTCAACAAGAAACACATCTTGTGTTAATGTACAAAAAGTTCCAAATGAAGTGTTTTTAGAGGGTGGAAACAAGTCTACTAACATGTCATCCTGGGTTGTTAATTAAAAACACTAAAGATTTAGTGTCTCCCAGAACCCCTACCTCTACTAGTAAGAAAGTAGAAGCTGGGCTAGGTGGCACACACCTGTAATACCAGCAACTCAGGAGGCTGAGGGAGGAGGATCCCAAGTTCAAAGCCATAATCGGCAACTTAGCAAGGCCCTAAGCAACTTAGCAAGACTGTGTCTCAATATGAAAAAATAAAACAGGGCTAGGGATGTGGCTGAGTGGTTAAGTGCCCTGGGTTGAATCCCCAGTACCAAAATAAATAAATAAACAATTAAATAAAGTAGGTTGGAACAGAAACAATAAGGTTATAAATAAAATCAGGAAACATTTTAGTTGGCTAAATAAGTCTTTTATTTTGTAAGTTCATTTTTATAAAAATTTAAGTTTTGAAACCTGCCCTTACTTAATATAAAAGGTATGTCAGAATGCTGCCTTTTTCTTTTCTTTTTTGCAGTGCTAGGGATTGAACCCAGGGGCATTTTACCACTGAGCTATGTTCTGAGTCCTTTTTATTTTGAGATAGGGTCTCCCTAAGTTGTCCAGGCTGACCTTGAATTTGAGATCCTCCTGTCTCAGTCTCCCTAGTCATTGGGTCACAGCCACCAAGCCCAGCTTCAGAATGCCTTCTTAAAGATTAACTGAGAGCCAGCATGATGGCACACACCTGTTAATCCCAGTGGTTTGGGGGGCTGAGACAGGAGGATAGAAAGTTCAAAGCCAGCCTCAGCAACAGCTAGGCACTAAGCAACTCAATGAGACCCTCTCTCTTAATAAAATACAAAATAGGACTGGGGATGTGATTCAGTGGTCGAGTGCCCCTGAGTTCAATCCCCAGCACCAAAAAAAAAAAAAAAAAAAAAAAAAAAAACCATTTAAGTGAAGTAAAAGGGTTGAGAGATTGCATTTTATCAATGTTACATGCATAAAGAAATATAATAAATTTAAAAAATAGAAGTTTCCCTTATCAAAGTTAATTATTCATCACTTCTTTACACTTGTAATACTTTTTCCTATTTGATCTGGGAAAACAATTCAAATACAGGTAAACAGCACAATAAAAGATGAGATTTTAATACCAAATCTAAGTTTGTAACTAAGAGCTGCCAGAATAACCAGATGACAAAAATTAAAGTCAGCTAGTCTGTTTACATCAGTTATTCTCAGAAGTTGGTGAGCAACAAAATTTTCTTAAGTCAATGACAAAAAAAAGGCATCACTGATTATTCCTTAGTGGTAAATATAGCACATATCATACATGTACACATTTCCATGCAACTCAGAGAACCTGTTCTTTTTGGAGAATGACTGAACCTTATTTTAAACTACATCTTTTCTGCTTCTTTGATCTTAAAATGCCCTTTCTTTCATTACATGATGGTGACTGTTGTTAGGAGCTAGATTTTTTTTCTTCATGTCCATACCTGAACAAAATGAAAATTTGTCAATTTGATGTTTATCCCAATTTTGGGGAACATATTTTGGGAACAGAAAATATAAGGTTCTAAGAAATACTAGTTGGACCTTTATTTATTCTCTAACATACCTTAATGCCTACATATAAAGTGGGAATTGATGGGCTGGTGTTATGGCTCAGTGGTAGAGTGTTTGCCTTGCACATGTGAGGCACTGGGTTCAATCCTCAGCACAATATAAAAATAAATAAATAAAATATAGGTATTGTGTCAATTTACAACTAAAATAGTTAAAAAAGAAAGAAAGAAGGTGGAAATTGAGTTTGGCTGAGTCTAAGGGAAAGCTCTCTAACCTAAGATGCAAAGATAATATAGGAAGATCATATAGGCCTCATGCAAATCCATCACACTGCTAACAAAAAACAAAATAGAAATCAGTCATTAGAATTATCTTCCTAAATGAAAGCCAACAATTCATTTTTCAAATGTACCAAATACTGAAAAAGTTTAAAACTACCGGGGAAAGGAGTCTTCTATGAGTCCAATTCGTACTTTCCTATTAAATCTATAATCAAAAATAATGGTAGAATTCCCACCTTTTTAGTTTTGCTTTTATTAGTCATTCAGAAACTACTCTGTAGAAAGGAGTCTTTTCAGAGACTCAGAGCAATCTGTCAAGAGCATCAACAATGCTCTGGGTTACAAAGTTCCAACTCTGGAAAAATAATATTACTACATACTCTCATTTTACTGAAAAACTACACAAGAATTGAGAGAGGGAACTATGTAACTATGAACCATGTAACCATGCAAGTTCATCAGAATCCTACTTTTGAAAAGAAATTCTAAAAGGCAAATATTAGTCCTGTATTATGTTGGTACATGTGTGTTTGCTAATCTATGTGTTAAATGCTTCAGTAAAATTCACAGAAGAAATTCAACCAAAGAATGGGAGATATGTGGAAAAATACTAAGTTGCAGATTTAAGCCCCTACATTGAAACATCTGTTGTCACCGTCTAGTAATATTACTGTCTAATAGAAACAAAGGTATCATCAACTATCAAAATCCTTATGATATATTTTTTAAAAGTGCTTTACTTCCACATATCCATTTTTGAGATGGTTATTTAAATGTTAACTTTTTTTGGTTTTGTTTTTTGGTACTGAGGACTGAACCCAGTGATGCTTTATTACTGAACTACATCCCCAGACTTTTTTATTTTAAAAGAGGTCTAAGTTGCTAAGGAAATCCCTAAATTGCATTATACTTGTACATAATGATGGGATTTGTTGTCACATATTCATACATGCATACAATATAACAATATAATTTTCGTCTCTAGCTTTCGATCCTTCTACCTCAGCCTCCCAAATTGCCCAGATTACAAGCATATGACATGATACCTGGCTAATTGTTAGCTTATTTTATAAATGTTTTTGAAGTAATTTTTTAGCTATACTCACATTTAATACAACTAATCTAGTAAAATTTACTTTGTAGATAAAGGACAGTAAAAAAAAAAGATTACATTTTTCGAACACTTGTCATGTGGCAGGTACTGAGCTATATGATTTATTTATATTATCTCATTCAATCCTTACCAGAAAATAGATATTGCTTTCCTAATTTACAGAATAGGAAAAGTGATGCTCTGGGCAGTAGTAAACCGGCAGTGCTGGTAATAAAAGTCAGGCCTATGAACTCCACCACCGTGTGCTTCTTCCCTTGACCTTACTACTTGGTGCTACCTACTTTCTGACAATGTAACCTTAATATTGAAGACTATTATCTTTAGTCAAATCAATTCTGTGTCATGCAGCTTTTAAAATTTAATCATAAAGTATTGTATGAATAAAACAGCTGGAATTTGAACAGTTCTACTAAAAATGGGATAAAAACATACATATTCATATATTAGTTTACCACATATCTTGCAACTATAATTAAAAACAAAATAATAATCTTGCTCAGTTTTTAAAACCACCTAAATGAGGCAAGTACCTTCAGAGAAGGAAACTCAGACACATAGAAATTAAGCAAATTGCCAAAGGTCCAAGAACTGATCACACGAGGCAGAGCAATTTGTACCCAGGCAGCCCAACTTCAAAGCCTCTCACCCACTGCATAGCACTTGTCTCAAATGGAAGCTAAGACTAAGAAAGCTCCTAAGTATCAGCCTTATTTTAATATTCTACATTTTTTGTAGTTTGAGTATTATTAATTTCCTCAAAACTTAAATATATATATATACATATATGTACAAATCTTTTATGTACTAATATATACACAAGTAATGATTGTTCCTGATTTTTATAAATCAGAAAAGAAAGTAAATGACCATGTATACACAAGTAATAAGGCTATTTCTAATTTTTATACATTAGGAAAGAAAACAAGTGATCATGTATCTAGTATTAGGCACAGGTGCAATCTAATTCTGGGCCTTAAACTAAAACATAATATAAACTGGTCTATGAATAAAAAGGAACACTGATAAGAGCTAACTAATTCTTTATTTGTCTAAACCTATAGTTAGGATTTAAATGTTTGTAGCCATTTAAATAATCAATAAAATCTATACAAAATGAACTTTCACTTAAAACCATACCCCAAGCATAAATTTGAGCAAACTGAATACTTGGGAGTTTGATAAACTAAAAAACAAAAGAAATCAAAACCTTAAACCTCTAAGATATAGAAGATAGCTCTTATGGGCTGCAAGTAGAGTGAGCAGCAGCAAAGCTATAGAGATTAATGACTACCCCCACAAGCAGGCACGGATATTTGTCACCCAGGACTACAAAGAGAAGAAAGGGCGACATCTGACAAAACAATAGTGAATAGGCTTTGTAAAGCTTTCACAACTTTGATGTGTAAATAATGGGATAAATGCATTCATTGCTCTAAAAACTTGAAATCCTTTTACTTTAAAATATATAATTTTTTTTTGAGGAAAAAGCTATTATTAAAAATGTAAAATGATATCTGAACCTTCATCAGTCAAATGATAATTGATATGTAATAAACTATGGCCTGTGTGTAATTGTTTTCAAGAACCAGCATAAAAGATATTTGCCTTTAAATTCAGAAGCTAAATCCAGAGACTGCATAAACTTGGACCAGTGCTCTACTCTTGCTCTCCCTTTACTCTGAACATTCTGCTTAAAATAAGACCACATTGACCTTGTACTTGTGTATAAGTACAATATGAAAATCCTTTTCTTTGGTCCAAAACGCTATTCCTAAGTGGTGACCTATAAATTACTATAAATAAGAATAGGCATCCTAGCTTCAGGCCATTTTCCATTGTTTCAATCTGCAACAGAAATGGTTACAAAGCAGATCAGAGTGGCTAAAATTTAAGAAAAACCAGGTAAGCAGGGGCTTCTAAGAGAGACTGGAGTACCTGAGTATCCTTGGCAGGTTCTGCGTCAGAGCTGGCACACCGGTAGAAATAGAAAAGTGCACAAGCAGCAAAACAGAGAGAGACACTAAGATAGCAGAATTAATGACCACCGCCCCGCCAACGAAGCCAAACACAAATAGCAGCATGCATCCAGGACTCATGGCGCTGTGCTGGCATGGTGAAACACCCGAACCAGGAGGCCTACACGGGGGCCAAATGGGTATCTTTGTAGTGAGGATCTGTCATTCAGCTGCTGCCACAAAAACAATGCCATCAGCAGCAGCTTTCCACTCGGTCCTGCAGCGGCTCCCAAATGATGACGTCATTCCGCTCTCCCCACCTAATAACCATAGAGCGGCTGCTCCTACCATTTATGCAGCAACCCAGAGCGACAGCCAGCCTATTAACTATCTTCCTCTCCACTGAGAGTCCTGGCTTAGCTCATTGGATACAATGCCCAGAGATCTACATAATTTATTCACACTCCTACATCAAACAGATGGCTAGCTAACCCCTTCAAACATGCCTCTCTGGACCAAAAAGGTCCAATTTAATGAAGAAATTTAAAATGTCAGCATTCTCGCAAATCAGAAAATTTTAGACCCTGCATAATCTCCATGAAGAATCATAAACATCAAAATACCTCAACATGCTGCTTATAATAGCATGGCTCACAATTTATCTTTTTAATAATGAAAGCTGTTTCTATTTTTCCATGCTATTCTCTCCTACAGCATTCCAGTCACCATGGAGAGCTTTTTGAACCAGCCTAACTATTGTTCCAGGATTAGAGAACACAAAAAACCAGAAACAATCAGATTATTTATTTCGTTTTTTCTCAAGGTAGAATGTCTAACAAAGCTTACCTAATTCTACTATGAGCTGTAGACTCTAGTTGATCACTCCCTGAGAGTTGATGAAGTTTTGTTCTTTCTAAGTGTTCCATATAATTATGGATCATCTATTTAAAGACAGAAAGAAAAAAAATCACAAAATTTAAGACTAATACCTGGAAATAAAAGCATAGTATTATACCAAGGAAAACATTTTTTTGTATAATTTTCTTTTTTATCAGGTTACCCAATTCCATGTTAAAAAAAAAAAAATGAAGGAAATGAAATTTTTTCATGGCAAACGAATATGCTAATGACTATGTTTAAGATGCCAGTGTCCACAGAAGTACCAATATGTTGCTTAACAGGAAAAGAACTTTTTAAATAATAAGTGATGACATTAAGTGAAACAATACTGACATAAGTAATATGAATTGGTATACAGACATTGGGAGGAGGTGATAAGAGACTGCTGATTAAAAATAGATGGCATTTAAGAAACCTATTCACTAAAATGAGAAACAAAACCTGTGAAACTTGTATGTTGATCTTTTCCATGTTAAAAGTGATTAATAGCGTAAAGATCATTTCTGTTTAGTTAAACAATTCAAATATTAAATATCAAAATATTTCTGGTTTCTGTAGATTTAGTTGAAAGAAAGCTAAAAAATATTTCTACTATGAGCTGCAGACTCTAGTTGATCATTTATTGGTCATTACTTAATATAATTATCTATGTTAATAATAGTTAACAAATGAAAAAAATCAGAACACCATAAGTCTTAGGTAAGAAACCGTATAATAGTAAAGCTGAATATGAAAGTGAAAATTTGAAAAATATAAAGTACATAAACTGGCGCTGGTGATGTAACTCAACAGCAAAATGCTTGTCCAACATGGACCAAGCCCTATGTTCAATTCCCAGAACTGCAAAACCAACAACTACCAAAACAACAAATAAAGTACATGAACTGTTAAGAAATGCTAATAGTCTATTTGATTCTTGATAATCTACACTTCCACTTTTCAGGATACTAAATCTGAAATTAAGACATAAAAATTGGCAAAAAATTTCAATCATTTACTTATTTTTTAGTTGTCGTTGGACACAATACCCTTGTTTTATTTATTTATTTTTATGTGGTGCTGAGGATCGAATTCAGGGCCTTGCATGCGCTAGGCAAGTGCTATACCACTGAGCCACAACCCCAGCCCCTCAAACATTTATTTTTATTGTGAAAATTCTGCTTAGTATGTATAAAAATTTCAAAATATGTTAATTTTAAGGTGCTAATTATTATCAAATAAGATGTATTCTGATACATGAAATAAAATAAGTAATTTTATTAAAGGAAATGTAATAAAAAAATGAATCAGAATGTTCCTCAATTAAGACTAGTCCCAGGGTTGGGGTTGTAGCTCAGTGGAAGAGTACTTGCCTAGCAGTATGAGGCACTGGGTTCAATCCTCAGCATCACATAAAAATAAATAAAATAAAGGCATTGTGTCCATCTACAACTAAAAAAAAAAAAAAAAGGACCTAGTCCAAACAGAAAATGTCAGAAGCAAAAGACACAGAATCACAGATACGGTATGTGAAAACATTTTAACCTTAAATTTACATAATTTTAATTCTAAACTTACAGGTTTTCTCTTTACTTCCATTTTAAGAACAATTTTGCAGAAATGCAGCTATTATTTTTGTGTCAGCAAGTCAGAAATAATGAGCTGTTTTCTTCTTTTATCAGGTAGAACTTTCAGGGGAAAAAAAACTCTCACAAATAGCTCATTCTAGATTGATACTTTTGCTTTAAATGCTTAAATAAAGATTTAAATTTTAGAAAATGCTGGATTCTAAACCTTCCTCAAACAACTGACCAAATAATTACAGATATGATATTCTGACATTCCAAAATGGTTCAAATAAGGAAATTTTTTTTTCTATATTTATTTTTTAGTTCTCAGCGGACACAACATCTTTGTTGGTATGTGGTGCTGAGGATCGAACCCAGGCCGCACGCATGCCAGGAGAGCGCGCTACCGCTTGAGCCACATCCCCAGCCCTCAAATAAGGAAATTAACAACCCAAATAAATTAGCATTTACTGAGAAAGACTAACAACAAAATGGTAGCTATCATTTATTAAGCACCAACTACATGTCAGCCAGTACATTTACAGCCATTTTTCATTTAATCCTCACGATATCACAATTCTATAAACTCCAGCTCTGGGTTAAAACAACTTGCCCAAATTGATAAACTGGCTAATGATTAACTGTTTTAAGGACAAATCTCAGGTCTGTTTGACTCAGTCATCTGAGCAGTTAAGCACTGTAAGACTCATGCTATATCTGCCCTTTTAGTTGATTCATTAAGCAAGCAATGAGCCCATTGTCCTTTTTCCCTCACACCCACATGAAAACCCCACACCCTAAAGCATTCCCTGATGCCTAAAATAATATACACTATATTCCATGAATGCACAAAAAAGCAGAAAAAATAAATTGTGCTTAAAAATTAAAATTTTAAAATACGGCTTCACTTTAAAAAGTGAGAGGGAGGGTTTGGGATGTGGCTTGGAGGTACAGCGGTTGCCTAGCATGCGTGAGGCACTGGATTTGATCCTCAGCAACACTTAAAATAAAGAATAAAGATATTATGTCCACCTGTAATAATTTTTTTTTAAGGTGAGAGGGAGGGCAAAACCTGTGCTACTAGATAGAAAAGAGACATGAAAAAGTAAAACAGGGCATGCTTTAGATATTCTACAATTGGGTCCATCAGTCTCATCCCTCCTGGTCGCAACTGCATCTCAATTTTCTCAAGATATCCAAATTAATTCATGTATATTTCTGAGTCAATTCAGCAAATAACAGTTGGAGTCATCAACAAGGAACACTGGAATCCTCGTATGGGATGTGTCCCAACTCCTTTTCCTCAGGATATCTTCACAACAGAGATTGACTCAGCATTAGCTAAAACCAAAAAGCAAGGTAATAGTGAAGTTTGGGAGACAAATGACATAGATCTCTATAAACATATTAGTCTTAAGTCTTTCCATATGCAGTCCAAAAATCTCTTAGTTGTTGAGATGTCCTAAAGCAAAGAGGCAACGAAAAATGTCTGGTATGTTTAGCCTATGAAACTTTATAATTGAAAGTTCAGGCAACAGAATCAGACCTGTCTTCAAATTCAGTTACTAATTAGCATGGGATTTTTGACAAATCACTTAAGTCTCTTTCTAAAAAACTTTAATCTATAAAATAGTGATGGATAATAGTTTGGTCAAAAGATGAAATAAAATGCCAAGGCATGATGGTACATCTGATAATACAAGCAACTTGGGAGGCTGAGGCAGGAGGATTCCAAGTTGGAGGCCAGCCTGGGCAACTCAAAATTAAAAAAAAAAAAAAAAAAAATTTAAAGGGTTGGGGATATAGCACAGTTAACACCCTCTGCGCCCCAGCCTCTCTCTGCATTTAAATATTCCTTGATATGCAAGACCCTCACAGGATTACACAGGGCATGTTTGTGGTCATTAGCTTAAGAGACTACATATGTAGTCCAACTACTTCATAATAACCCTTATTTTTCCTTTGCTGCTCTCCTTAAAGCATGTCTTGAATAAATTTAATAATTTGCACAAAATTTTTATTTAAGAGCAGTTATTCACATTACAAAAAGAGCAATAGTAGGTTTCCCTTAAAGAGTAAATAATGTGTTTGATAAAAGTACTATTTAAACAACTATTTTGTGCCTGTAAAATGTGTAACCTTCTTTGGAAGCAACGGTGAAAAGGTTACAGATTAAACCCTCCAGATTCCCTTTCCCTGAAGATTTCCACAATTTACCTTGAAAGGGCACCTAATTCTTTAAAAAGTTGGAGAGCTATTTATAATTGCTAATTGAATGACATCTCTAGAACAGATGTATAAACACAGAAACTTGTAGGCTAGAGTAGAACAGATCCAAATTTCAAAGCAGCCATGTTGCATGAACAAGTCTATCAGAGCAGCAGGCAGTTGTTGCTTTTACTTAAGGAGAGGATCCTCTGAAAAGAGTTATAGGCAGCAAGGAAAAGCTGCCTTGGTTATTGGACAGGTGTAACTCTTGACTTGGATATTAAAGATTTTTTTCAAATTGCTTTTTCTTCTTGGACTGTCCTTCGCTGAAGGCATGAAATGGAAAAATTATTGCATCTTTTCATTTGAAGTCAATGTCACTTTTTTCTGTAGAAATAAATCTTCACTTTTATTAAATATAGGGGGGAAAAATAGGAAATTTCACTTGACAGTTAACCCTTCAAGAATGCATATCCTAGACATACTTCAAATACATAATTTAATAATCTTCAATTATTTGTAGGTTAGAATGTTACTTTAAAAAGCATTATTTGCCAGGTGGGGTGGTGTCCACCTGTAATCCCAGAAACTCAGGAGGCTGAGGGAGGAGGATCACAAGCTTGAGGTCAGCCCTCAGCAATTAGTGATTAAAAAAAAAGTAAAAAACGAAAAGACCTGGAGATGTAGCTCAGTGGCAAAGCACCCCTGGGTTCAATCCCCAGTTCAGAGAAGAAAAAAAAAAAAGGCATTATTCATCATTATCAATTTTCTATGATATTTAAGCATGTTCTTCTAAATATAGTTGTAATTACTAACAAGGATAAGCATTATAATACTATGCATAGGACAATGATCAGGCATTAAAATGAATGGTATAAAGAGAATCAACATAGGCTTTTAACAACCAATGTTTTTAATAACAGCTTTAATGTCTACCAATTATCATATTATTAAAGTGTGGGTATTTTTTTCCATACTGAAAAAGCTCCTGTGTAACCTGTTCCTGCCTTCCCAGAGCTTTATATATGGTTTCCAGACTTTGGTAGTCAATTTCTTCTCTCAACCACTTGATATAAATTCTGTGACATTTCACATTTTGGGTGG